ATCGACTGTACCATCTGGCTCATCCAGTGCACCATCGACTGTTCCATCGACTGTTCCATCTGGCTCATCTAGTGCACCATCGACTGTACCATCTGGCTCATCCAGTGCACCATCGACTGTTCCATCGACTGTACCATCTGGCTCATCCAGTGCACCATCGACTGTTCCATCGACTGTTCCATCTGGCTCATCCAGTGCACCATCGACTGTTCCATCGACTGTTCCATCTGGCTCATCTAGTGCACCATCGACTGTACCATCTGGCTCATCCAGTGCACCATCAACTGTTTCATCGACTGTTCCATCTGGCTCATCCAGTGCACCATCGACTGTTCCATCTGGCTCATCCAGTGCACCATCGACTGTTCCATCTGGTTCATCCAGTGCACCATCGACTGTACCATCTGGTTCATCCAGTGCACCATCGACTGTTCCATCTGGTTCATCCAGTGCACCATCGACTGTTCCATCTGGTTCATCCAGTGCACCATCGACTGTTCCATCTGGCTCATCCAGTGCACCATCGACTGTACCATCTGGCTCATCCAGTGCACCATCGACTGTTCCATCTGGCTCATCTAGCACTGAGTCATCGACACTCTCTGTTTCTTCATTTACCGACTCAACTACTCTTTCTGGATCCTCTGCGGTACCAACAGTCAAACCTTCTCAGTCAACATCAACCACTTCATATGCTACTTCAGTTTCTTCTGGAACGACTATATCCGGCTCCACGTCAATCAGCAGTGTTCCACCTTTTGAAACAACCTCTACCTTGACCACTGGATCGTCTGCTTCTGACATCACTAGTAGTGATACCACACATATGACTACCGTCTCGACAGGGTCCAGTTTTTCGGCTCCTTACAGAAATTCTACCACAGTAACTCCTTTGACTACTATCTCATCAACTCCATTGTCATCCTTACCATCTTTCCAAACATCAACAACGAGTACTTCTGAGGTGACCATATCATCCGAGTCCAGCGTTTTGAGCTCGATGAAGACAGATTCTAGTTTCACAACGCCAGAAACCACTAGTACAGTTGGTACCACTACAACATCAACGACTAGTACATATGAGGTGACCATACCTTCCGAGTCCAGCGTTTTGAGCTCAATGAAGACGGACTCTAGTTATACAACACCAGAAACTACCAGTACAGTTGGTTCCACTACAACATCAACGACCAGTACATATGAGGTGACCATACCTTCCGAGTCTAGCACTTTGAGTTCGATGGGAACCCCATCTAGCTTTACAACACAAGAAATCACCAGTTCAATTGGCACTACTACAGCACCAAGAACTGTAACTTCAGAGGTAACCGTCGAGACCATCACCACTGGTTATACTACAACGACGACTGTTTTTAATAAGACGTTCACTTCCGGTTCTGTAACAGTGACCACTATCTTGACTGAAACCACTGTTGTTCCTTGCTCGTCTAGCACTTATACCACAGTGGTTCCATTGACTACTACACCAGCATCTCCAACTTCCTCGTCCTTCCCATCCGCTCAAACACCAACAACTGGAACTTTTGAGGTGACCGTACCTTCTGAGTCTAGCACTTTGAGCTCGTTGAAAACGGAATTCAGCTTTACAACGCAAGAAACCATCGGCACAGCAGGCACTACCTCGGTAACAGCACCTACTAGTGCAGGCCCTACTTTTGAAGCTTCAACCACCAGCGGTGCAAGCGCCACTACGTTGAACACTTATACCAGAAACCCAGGCACTTCAGAGTCTGCCACAGGAACTTCGTCCGGCACCGGTCAAACTAACAGTGTTACTGTCAGTTATTTCAACTCCTCTCCAAAGTCCTCCGTCGGTAACGGCTGGTTGAGTCTCTTTGCCGTTCTGTCAACGATTTTCCTGTTCTAGTTGACGAAAAGATTTCTTTCGTTCAACTTTTACTTCTATCGCTTTTTCTCTTCTCTCCTTTCCGCTACTTACGATTCTTTTCGTCCTAGCTACATAGTTCACTCCGATCTGTTTCTCGGTGAAGGACATTTTGATACCAACACATTTTTGTGACACTTATATATATTACGATTTTTTTGTATTATTAAATCTATTATTTTAATTATATCCCGTTTCCCATCTTTCCTTTATGATGATTATGAATTTAAGTGGGTGTCGGCTTTCTTTCCCTCCCCCTTTCTTCCTCCACCCTCATTACGTAAGCGTGGTAACTGGAAAATTGTGAAAGGCAATTGACGACATCATGAATTGAAGAAGAAACGCTAAAGAAGCTATCAGCCCATTGTAGTTATATGGCAGTTAAAGTGTTTCCAGAAGTGCTATAGAGAAGTTAATCGATAGCGTAATGCCAGACTATTCTCACTTATTGCCCGTTTCCACTCACTGGAAGCAGCAGATTACAGATTTCCTTTCAGAAGACATCCCATCGTTCGACTACGGTGGATACGTCGTTGGATCCGACGAAAAGAATGCATCGTTGTACATGAAGGCCAGCGGAGTCATTTGCGGAATCCCTTTTCTTGAAGAGGTGTATGGGCAATGCAAAGTTAAAGTTGAATGGTTGCGTGAGGAGGGTGAGTTTGTCTCACCTCTGGAGGAAGACCCAATTAACAAGAAGATTGTTGTTGCCAAGCTACTTGGGCCTTCGAAGAACATTCTCCAAGCAGAGCGTGTTTCATTGAACATTCTCTCTCGACTCTCTGGCGTGGCCACACGTACCAGGGAGATTGTTGAGCTTGCTGCAAAGGCAGAGTACAAGGGGATAATTGCCGGCACGAGAAAGACGACTCCTGGTTTGCGGATCATGGAGAAGTACGCCATGCTAGTTGGTGGTGCAGACATGCACCGGTTTGATCTCTCTAGCATGATCATGTTGAAGGACAACCACATCTGGTCGACAGGCTCAATTACGAATGCGATCAGAAATGCGAAGAAAGTGGGTGGATTTGCGATTAAGGTTGAGATCGAGGTGCAGAGCTACGAGGAGGCCGAGGAGGCAATCAATGCTGGAGGAGACATCATCATGTTGGACAACTTCACTGGGGTGGAGTTGCAGAGTGTTGCGAGGGACTTGAAGAAGGAGCATCTAGGCGAGAGACAATTTTTGCTTGAGTGCAGCGGTGGGTTGACGAAGGAGAACTTGTCGGAGTACTTGTGCAACGACATTGACATCTACTCCACGAGCAGCATCCACCAGGGTACGCCTGTTGTCGACTTCAGCTTAAAGATCGACAAATGAGGAGAAAAGAGGAGAGGAGAGGAGAGGAGAGGGGAGGAGCTAGACGGGTGTTGCTGCATGTGTAAACTAACATCATATTTTGTAAGTATGAATATGAAGATATATGAATATGAGTATAAATATGAATATAAATTTGAATATGATATAAATAGTTCATTTACGTATTTACTTTACTCGGTTATTTGGCTATACGGTATGCAGAGACGCATACATGCATACACGCATGCATAGTTATAGAGATAGTCAAACGATGGGTCAATAAGATCAAGTCAGGGCAGGTACGGTGTGACGATCTTACTTTGGCAACTCTTGCTTTGCTTGCATCTCCTTTTGCTTTTGCTTGGCCACGACGTAGACCAAACCTGCGGAGAACCCAACAAAGATGGAGGAAATGGAGAAAAAGTTGATTGGGGCGTCGAAGAAGATCAAGCCGGACAATGCGATCGGCAATTTGTTCAAGGCACCGACCATGGAGTAGGTGGTGGAGGAGGTGACTCTGATGCACCAGCCAGAGCAGTAGGAGATCCCGACGGAGGTTGCGCCGGAGATGATCATAGCAAGCCAGACACTGACCCTGGAGGCTGGAGGGAAGTTCAAGTCCAAGTTGGCAGAAGACCAGTCTTCCAACAAGAGGGAGGAGACCAACAAGATAGGGATGGACAACAAGTTGTTGTAGTACATGGTGTCGAAGTCCTTGAAGTTGGTCAACTTGATTCTCTTTCTCATGAAGAGAACGAAGGAGGCGGAGGAGAAGCAGTTCAAGGCCATCCAGAAGTAGCCGACGTTGAAGTTCATCGAGCCGCTGGCGTCGGTGTCGCCGTAGGTGGCGATGATGGACGAGAGCACCATGAGGACGAAGGAGCCGAGCGCCATCGGGGTCACCTCGCCGCCGAACCACAAGACCTCGCCGTAGGCGATCAAGATGATGGTCAAGTTCTTGAAGATGGTGTAGATCGGAATCGCTAGGTACTTTAAGGCCTTCGACGAGGTGTAGATCATGAGCACCAACAAGAACGCGATCGGCGACCATTTCTTGGCCTCGTTCGCGTTGAACTGGCGGTACGTGATCACGCCAAAGAACTTCAGGGTGGCAATCGCAATCAAACACACAATCGACTGGATCGCCAAGAGAAAGAAGTTGAGGTTGAAGTGGTGCCCGGAAACAACGTACTTGTTGGTCGTCGTCATCAAGATCGACGACGCACAGTAGCACAGAATCGACACTGGCCCCGAGTTGACCACTCTGGCCAGCTGTGAAGGCTGTTGCCCCAGTGCAGCCGCAGCGGCCACTGGAGAGGAGTTGATAGAGACGTCTTGCTTTTCTTGCGACATGTCAACGGTTGCAGACTAAAACTACAACAAACACACTCCAACAGGACCAAAACACCACAGAAGGCCTTCTTCTTCACTGCTGCAAAAAGAAACAAGGTTTAGCAACGAACCAGGAACACCCTCCGATCCTGGCCATCGAAAACAACAACATCAACGTGTCCGCGAACAGAAAAAAGGCGGTGGGAACGAAAAGGGCCAGAGCGCTGGCGGAGCCTACAGTGGGACGAAAAGGGAAAAAAGGCGCGTCGCAGCGACCGACGCGTCGATTGCGTCGATCGACGCAATCGACGCGCCGATCGACCCAAAAAGTTTTCCGCGGAAAAAAAGTGCCGGTGGGGGAGTCCGGTGGGGGAGAGTGAACGGGGTTCGGGATTGCTATAGGAAGGTACAAAGGGGATGATACACAGGGAGGCAGCCGACGGCGTCCACTGATAGCTGACCACCGCAACGTCTCATATATGCTTGGAGGTCGGAGGGAACTTGAAGTCATACACGGTACGCCTAGAGTGGGGCCGGCGGGCTGGGGTGTAGGGGGCCCGGTGCACAGATTCCGCAGTCCCGGGGCCGTCGTCTACGGCGCCGGCACTTAAGCGGAGACGGAGACGGTGACCTCGACATCGACACCCGGCTCGATGGTCAAGGACGTGATGTTCTTGACAAGAGCAGAAGGAGCCTCCAAGTCGATGTATCTCTTGTGGATTCTCATCTCGTAGTGCTCCCAGGTCTTGGAACCCTCACCGTTGGGGGTCTTTCTGGTGGCGATGGACAAGGCCTTGGTTGGCATTCTGACCGGGCCCTTCTTCTTGATGCCCTCCTTGGCGGCGTTTCTGACCACCAAGTTGGACACCTTCTCCAAGGACTTGACGTTGGTGGAGGTGAAGGTGATTCTGATCTTGTTGATCTCTTGTGGTTGTTCGATATCCTTCTTTTCGACAGACATGGTGTGTGGGCGTGTGGGTGCTGAGGTAGTTATGAGACGTTCTCAAGTTGGCGACAGAGGGGGGTCAAGAGCCGGGCAGGAGCACACCAGAAGGGCAGATGTAGCTGTGGTTGCAGTGTGACAGTGTGAAAAAGTTCACCACCCTTGTGCAGCTGGGCGAGGGGGGAGGAAAAAAATGCAAGCGCTGCGACGGGGAGGGCTGGCAGCGGGCGCTAAGCCCTCGGTCTAAGCACGTGACCCGCGCAAAAAAGAGAGGCCGACGCGTCGATGCACTTCTGCCGCAGGGCGACATGAATCGAACGGTCTCTGGCCCAATTAGGAAAAAACATTTTGCTTGCTCTATACACGCTAAAAGACAGTCCCATCAGCAACAAGCTCGATCGGGGGCCCGCCGCTCGGGCGCCGGGCGGCGGCGGCAAGACGTCCGGACTTCCAGCTGCCGGCCTCGATCAGCTGCGGCAACGTGAGCTCGTACTTCGTCCCGGCGACGGCCATTTTGGCATTGACCAGCGGAAGCAGCATGTCCAGAAGACACACGGTACACGAGCGCCACTCGACAATGGCGTCGTCGTCCGGCCGGAACGCCGGCAGCGGCAGCAGGTCGTGTTGGGCGGCCAGCGCCAGACCGCGGGCGTGCGCCGCCGGCTTGAGTGCCAACACGCCGAGGTCGACAAACAAGCCGCCGTTGCGGTACTCGGGCAAGCCGGTCATGCACTCCGCATGGAGAATGGAGAACCCCCCGTACTCGGTCAACGGCTTGAAGAGCGAGTACGTCAGCCACTGCGTGAGCTTGTGGAACGTCACGATGCCGCCCGCCTTGTTCTGCAGCGGCCACGCGTCGCCCACCACGTACCCGTCGATCTTCGTGCGGCCCTCCGTGGGCCACACGGGGAGAAGCCCCTGCATCAACGCGTCCCACAGCACCTCGAGCTCGACCGCCTTGCCGCTGCCGCTGCCGCTGCTCCGGGCCTTCAAGTAGTCCACGAGGTCCCCCGGCCGGCCGCTGTGGAACAGCTCCTTGTTGCTGCTCAACACCTCGCCCAACCGGTTGAGCAGCCGCAACCGCCCGTCGAACCCGCTCATCGGGTTCTGCTCCTGGCTCACCTGCAGGCCCGCAGCCAACTCCTCGGCACCCAGCGATGCTAGCCTCGACCCCTGCACAACGTACGGGTCCCCGCCGCCGGCGGCGGCGGCAAACACACCGCCCTGGAACATGTACAAGCTCGCCACAGCAATGCCCTCAGACCGGCTGATCGCCATCCCCGTGCCGGGCTCCGTGAACTTCCACTCGTTCCCAGCCCCGGCGTCGAGCAACACGCTCACCACAAACAAGTCAATGAGCTTCCTGCACACCTCCTCGTCGTCCAGCCCCAGCTCCTGCCGAAACACCTTTTCAATCAGGTCCGGCAACCTCGACGTGTTGCCCTTCCCAAAGTGCTGCCACCGCCCGTGCACAGGTATCTCCAGCAACGCCGCGTTCGTCGGGAACGTGCCCCGGATCGTCTCCACCACAAAGTCGACCACCTCCTCCATCTTCCCGAGGTCCACCTCGAAGTTCAAGAGCTTGTTGTTTTCGATAAGAGCCACTGTGCTCGAATTGGTCTCTCTCACAGACCTGATGCTGTATAGATACGCTATTTCTTCCGGAATCGTCATGCTTGGCCACTACCGTTACTTGTCACCCTGTGAATCGGTCACCTTCTGTTTATCTCCCGCCTTTGGATACCCTTAACAACCCCGTGTCTCCTTCTTCCGTTTTATTTATATACTTGGCACCAATCTCCCTCCCTTCTCCGATAAGCGTCCTCCGCCACGGGGGACCGGAGATAGACGGTCTCCGCCGGAGACGGCATTACGCGGGGAAAATCGGGTCACGTGACCTTTTATTTTCCAGAAATCTATTTCCATTTGAACTCTTGTGCACTTGTTCCATCAGTTCCTGTAGTTTCGGGAGTTGTAGATCTTCTTGGACCACAAAGCAGGGGTAAACAGGGACCAAAGAGACCACACACAGAGACAAAGATGCTGAAGAGAACGGTGCGATGTCTGGCGCCAGCTGGCGGTGATTCCACGACGCCGGTGAAGTTGCTCGGATTCGTCCCCGGACGACTGACCAGGGCGACAAAGAAGAAGAAGACTTTCAGAGAAATGAACAAGAGCCCGGCTCCGGACGAGGAGCTGACGCGGTTTCTCAAGACGTCGCTGAATGCATACCCGATCAACGTCGTTGTGCGGAACAAGGCCCGGGCACTAAGCTACCATTTGAAGCGCCTCGTGTCCGACATCGAAGAGATACAGGACACGGCGCCCGACGAGGACCCGAACGACCTCCCGCTTCTCATCGACTACAAGGTGATCGACGCCACGCGGAACAAGCCGCTGCACAGGGCGTTTTGCAGGCAGTATCCGCAGATGCAGGGCGTGGAGGACAGCAGCATCGTGGTTGTCTCGTTCACGAAGGAGGGCCTCGACACGGACACAAGCTTCATCAGCTCGTTCCAGAAGAAGTACGAGGACGCGTTCGGGGTGTCGGGCTGCATCGTGAACACACACACATACCCGTACCTGCGAGACCTCAGCAGGTCGAAGAATGGCGGTGTCGGAGAGAACATGTACAACATCGCTGCCCTGGGCCTGGTGAAGGTACACAAGCAGGACGACGGGTCGTTGGTGCTCACGCGGGGAGGCTCACGCGGGGACGACGCATGAGCAGGAGCAACTGTTTCTTGTTACTATATACGATTAATTACAACACTAGCTCACGCACCGTTGATGTATTTGGCTATGTCCTCGGCCACACTGCTCGAGGCAGTCTTGGCCGTCGACTCGAACGCCTGCTGGTATCTCTGCTGGATGCTCTTGGCCACCTCCGAGGCGTCCTCCTCGTCCCTCACCTCCCCCGTGCGGTCCTCCTGGAAGGTGTACTCTCGCTCGCTGTCCTCCAGGTCGATCAAGCCGTGCTCGTAGCCGGCCTTCTCGTCCCGCTCGATCTCGTCCTCGAGGTCGGACAACACGTCCACCTCGTCCTTGTCAGCAGCCCCGCTGGCAGCTTTCTTCTTGTCCTTCAGCCCCAAGTCCTTCATCAAGTGTGTCAACTGCGCGTCCTTGTCTTTCTTCTCCTTGTCCTTTTTCTCCTGCACTATCCGGTCTCTCTCCTTCTGGTAGAAGTCGTTGTACTCGTCAACCTTGTCGTCGACAGCCTTGAGGAAGTCGTCAAAGCCCTCGCCCGTGTAGGCCGAACAGGAGACCACGTCTAGTGTCGAGTAGAACTCCTCGAGCATCAAACTCATCGAGTTGATCAAGGACGCCATGTATCCGGACCCGTTCGAGGTCTCGTCGTTCAACTCCGCGTTGCTCCTCAAGCTGTCCTGGAACGCCTCGAAGTCGGTCATCCAGTCCTTGGCAAACTGCGCATCACGGACGTCGGTCTTGTTGAACACCACAATCATCGGCAACTTGGTCTTGTACAAGATCGAGCACGCGTACAACATGTTGGACATGAACGTGGAAGGGTTGGCGCTGCGCGGCGTGTCGATGATGTACGCAATCACGGTGGGGAACTCGGTCGCAAACGACTCGGTGATGATCGAACCGGAAGCCGACCAAACAAAGCACTCGATCTGGCCCGGCGTGTCCACCACACAGTGCTTGAAGCTGTCGCTTCTCTTCTTCACGATCGAGAGCACCTGGTCGATCTTCGTGCTGAACAAGTTGAGCGAGGTGACGATCGCTCCGTTTGGCCCGAGGTTATAGTCCTCCATCACCTTCTTGTAGTTGATCGAGTCCCGTATGTCGATGTTGCACCCGAACGGGACCTTCAGCACCGCCGGATCCAAGTTTATCACGTACGGTGGCGTTTTCTTCTGGTGCAGATGCGAGTTCAACCGCTGCACGAAGGTCGTTTTCCCGGACCCCGCCATCCCAATGCAGATGATAGTAGCAGGCATGGTATCTGTGTGTGCTGTCTTGTTGGGCCTATAAGTCTTCGAATCCTCCCTATCTGCTGCTTCTCTGTATTCCTTCTTTCTTTCTTCCCCTGCTTCTTCTTCTTCTATCTGAAATCTATGGAAATAAAAAATTCATGTTTAAAAAAAAAATAAAAAAATAAAAAAAGGCAAAAAATTCCAGACCGCTTACGTACTCACGCTTACGTAACGGCACCGCCACAGTTACCCGGCCTCAGCTTGCACCGCCACACTCATCCCCGAGATCGCCGCTGCACCGCCACACCTGTCCGCACCCGCCACACCGGTATCGCATTTGTTTTTTCCCCTTTCTCTCTGTCTTCTCCTTTTTTCCCCTAAAGAGCGGTAGCGGACATCAAAAAAGAACTGGCATTGACTTGGATGGGCTGAAAAGACAACAAAAGCAGCTCTGACGCAGTCGTTTTGAGCAGTAAGGAGGCCACGAGGACTAGCATCATCATCACCAGCACCAGCACTAGCACTATGGAGAACTCCCTGCACATCCCTGTGCACAACTACTATCCACAGCAGGACTACCTGCATGACCCGGGACATATCCAGAACTTGGGCTCCACTCTGGACAACATCAACAGTCTGATAGACACGTCTGCAGGCTCGGTTTCACAGCAGCAACATCAGCAGCAGCAGCAGCAGCAGCAGCAGCAGCAGCAGCACTATGCCGCCTCGGCCGCATACATCCACCAGCGGAATCCGCAGCATTTCTCCAGCTCCTTCCACGACTCTTCTCTGCTGGGCCCCCAGACTGCGTTGTCATCCATGTACAACGAGCATCCGCCACCGCCCTCGGCGGTGGCCGCACAGCTGCCGCAGCTGCCGCAGCAGCAAACACACCAGCAGCAACAGCAGCAGCAACAGCAGCAGCAGCAGCAACAGCAGCAGCAACAGCAGCAGCAACAGCAGCAGCAACAGCATCATCTCCACCAAGCCCAACAGCAGCAGCAGCAACAACTGGATCAGCATAAGGGCCCTGGCGACAACAGCAGTCTTGGTCTTTTGGAGGCAGAAATCGAGACCGAGGTCGTGCCCCAGCCGGGACCTTCAGACTCCCCGATCAATAACAACAGCAGCAGTAGCAACAACGCAGCCAGCCCCACCGACCAGCCGTACTACGTCAACGCCAAACAATACCACCGGATCCTCAAACGACGCATTGCCCGGGCCAAGCTCGAGGAAACGTTGAAGATACAGAGGGTGCGTAAGCCTTACTTGCACGAGTCCAGGCATAAACACGCCATGCGCAGACCAAGAGGCCAGGGAGGACGGTTTTTGACAGCTGCAGAAATTGCCGAGCTTGAGAAGAAAGAGCTTGAGAAGAACGGCACAGGCAAGGACGCCAATGACTCTGCCAATTCGTCGAACGAAAACGAGTTGGACAGCATCAAGCAGTCTCCCACAACAGAAGTCAGCAATGGCCCCAGTAACGACTAAGGAATATAACCGGAAACAGGACCTCACCAGTTAATTATTCTACGACTTTTTATATATATTGGTTTTTGCAATGATAACTTAATTTACTCTCTAACTTTGCATGTTTTTAATTTATACTCAGGATAACGATACTTTTTCTAAAAATGGCGGCCAGAAATGATTTAAAGTTGAGAACCAAAGACGCCAATTCTGGCCTAACCACTTCTTCTCCAGCTTTTCTATCCGAACCACCGATATCGAGAAATGATAACGATTCAGGAAAGTTGCGGTTGAAAGCTATTCCAATTCTCGCAGGCCGGCGTTAAGGGGTCCGCAACCGGCAAGACCGGAAGGAGCGGAAACTAAAAACGTTTCCGAAGCCGTTGCAAAAAATCGCTTGCTGTACTTCATTCGTACTTCCACCGAAAAGAAGAAATCCTCGAGGCAGAGTTTACCAGGATCAAGACCAGTTGAAATAGAATTGTAGACTATTCATCATGTATTGAAGTCAGGATAAAGCTTTTTTTAGTGCCTACTATGTTGTGAGAATGTCTCACGCATGTGTGGACTGTAATGCAGTATAGATCAAAAGGTCTGAACCGCAATGCCATTTTCCTTCTCTCCATTGCTTTAGCCTTAGAGTCTTTAGCGGACTGCAACCAGCGGACTACAATCAACCCGAGTATAAGCTGGGTCTTCAGTAAAGAAGTTTTGAAAGTGTCTATAATCTTTGATATCTCGATTTTGAGGAAAATTAATTAATACTTTCGCCTGTCGGGTAGGTCCCCGGTACAAATCGCAATCCTTTGATATAACATTAAGAAGAACAAACTTTAAGCCTTTATAGTTTAGTAATGATAGGTTCTCAAAAATTCCACTAAGCTAGCACCGGCTCGAGACGGTGGCTACTTACTCTATACTGTATTTTTTGTTCTTCCGTCGGAAGCTTTTGGAGTACAACTTTCGATAATCTTTTCAACGCCTAGACAGTAAGCTATATGTTTCCAATACGACGTTTTTGAAGCCAAAATAACCTTCTTCTCATTGAGGCCTCCAGCCTACAACAAATCCGTAGTCTTTTGGTGACCGCGGTAGATAAGCACTGTGAATTTCCCGATTAGGAAATATTCGTTGATTTCACAAGGTGACAGTCAAATTTTCATAAACCACCACCATGAGCTCACAAGACACTTCAAAGGTTGTGATATTAATAGGGATAAATCTACTTCATTATATACTTAAGAGATTTGCTCTACACTAAAATATTACACATCTGTCAAATTAACCAATACTACATACCCAAAGAAGAAACAATGACCTTGGATTCTGCGTCGAGTTGCTGCATAATCGCATATAGATATTGGCTATCAATAGACTGAAGTTTCAATTTGAAAAATTCAATTAACATAGCCTTATCTTTAATACTGTTGCTGACAGGATCAAAAGGTTTGAGCTGAATGATGTTCAATCGGTTGAAACTAGAACCAAAAGTGTACTCTTCATTATCCAACTCCGTCATTAGCTCGACATTTTCGTCAACCGTCTTGTAATTCTTGATGGATTCGCTGTTCAGCAGCTTTAAGAGTTCGCTCAAAAGTTTCAAAATTTCCACTTCACTAATCACTTTGTAGTTTTCAGCAATTAGGTTGATTAACCCAACCACTAGAATCTTCTTATCCGTCAGGTTACTGAATTTAGTGATATGTGGTAAAATGAAACTGTTCAAAATTTGTTCAAACAAGCCAGGTTGAATACTCTCAAATATTTTTACAACAACGGTTGAAGTCCACTTGTTCTTGTTCACCTCCACATTCAACTCCAAACTTGATAATTTACTTAGAAATATAATGAATCTCTTGACAAATTTCTCAGTCTTGAAGTTTTTTAACCTCGTCAAAAGGATGATAAATATCTCGCTTAAGAAAGGTTGTAAGTTGGTAATGTCAATGTTGATCATTATACTTTCCAAAAACTCAAATCCTAGTATATCATTACTTTTGGATGAAATGAGTTTTTGATAGATACCTAAAATCGGCGTTATATTCTCGGCATTGTTAAACATGGATGGTGTGAATGTGATGATAGCGCTCAACAATCTCTTCACAGCAGGAATGTTTCCCTTAAACTCCCAGACTTGAGGGGAGCATAGTGGCTTGATCAATTGTTGGTATTCTGCAGGTAGCTCTTCGTTAGTCGGATAATTTTCTAGGACAAAGGCTAAAATTTGGAAAGAGTATGGGATAAATTCTTGAATATCTTGGCCCAATATACCAAATAAAGTATTTTTCAATAAAGCATAAAAGTCTTTGATACCGCTTTTGTAGAATTTCATGATTATACAGATTGACTCGAAAGTGTAATGTGAAAATTTAGGATTGGATGGGTTTTTGGATATGGTCTCGACAATCTTGGTTAATTCTTGTAAAACTTGGACAACGGTAGATGTAAGAGAATCTTCACTGATCAGCAAAATTCTCATGATACACTTCATTAAAAATTCATTTTCCGATAATTTCTCAGGAGTAGTGCCCATCTTGAAAATAAGTTTGAAAAGGTTCATCAACAAATCATTCAGAACAGCAACACTCAAATCATTTTTGCTAAAGAGCATTTCTTGATGGTTGGATGGATTTCTTAAAGAGAGTATTTTTTCGATCGTGACCGAAGTGTAGGTATAAACAACGTAGTTACCATCGTTGAAATTACTCGTCAATAATGGTAATGTCTCAATCAACTGTTCCTTTGTTAGCTGGTTTCTGAAAATGTATATATATTTAATGGAATCCACCTTCAAAATAGGATTTGCAACTTGTCCAACTAAATCTGGGTAGATAAACTCGGTAAAAAATTTGATTACATCAACTAAAAGATTGGTACTTGTTATTCCGGAGTTGGTAATCGATCCTTTGGATGCTATTGCACAGAATAAGTAGATGGCTATATCCTTTAGTTTCCAGTTGCCACTTGGGTCTTCGGAATAACTTTTCAAATAGTGGTTGATATATTCCATCATAATAGCAGTGACTAGATTTTCATTATTTTCTTTGAGAGAACGCAAAAACTCCGTGGCAGATCTTCTACGACTGTCAACATCGGAGCCTTCTAAGTCTCTTCTGGTATATTCAATAGGGTCATCTTCAAAAATTTCTAAGTCGCTGTCTCTCAATGTGATATTAGGCAAAATTATCTTTTCTGTGATTTGGTTGACAGCGTCCTCATTGCTGAACAAGGCATTGTAGTTGGAAAGATTGACAACGCAGGTCATATATTGCAATGCTTTTGAGACTAATATATCATTTTTCTTTTGGATTGAGATGTTGTTCAACAAATCCCAAATGATCTGAATTGAAAGCTCAATATATTTCTTGAATTCTTCTTCATATCTTGTGGTATATAACTGAATAAGATCACAAATGTTAACTTTAACCAAGATTACTAAATCCATTTCGTCATCCTCGTCACTGTCTTCTAACAAGCTACTGTGGAACTTCAAATATTTTAAAAGTATCGTCATACCTTCGCTAATATGGTCTTCAAAAAATTCAGGGATATCCTGACAGTTCAAATCGTAGTAGATTTTCACCATAAGTAGTAAGTTTTCAAACAATAATTTCAATTTTGCACCATCTTGTAAGTTTTGGTCAATAAGAAAGTCAATACTTTTCAACATTTCCATGAATGGGATGACAAACTTATCTAAAACCATCTTGATCTCTAAGAAGAGCTCGTCCGATCTGAACAAGGGTCTCCATCTCTTGAAAATCGAGTGTGCAACTTTCAAAACACCCTTGTTCACAACAAGGTCTTCCAAGGTAAGTTTCGACACCAACTCATCAATCAAGTTCCCCCAGAGATTCGGGAACTCACTCTCTGCAATCAAGCTGATGGCTTCTCCGATTTGAATCTGTAGCGAATCTGGCAACACGATCATTAGTTGGACAATCTCAGCTTTGATCATGTCGATATCCTGCTTAGAGATCTGGTACTGTCCATTTTCATCGATCCACTTCCGCTTCACAAGGTTCTTGAAGTACAACGCACCTGCTAAGCGGATTGCCAAAGGTGTGTTGTCGCTGGCTACTACGTGTAACAACGTAATAGGAAACCCAATCTCGGTTTCCATGCCCTTCAACACACCTCCAGCTTCTTTTGCGCTGCGTGGATCAAGAGAGCGTTCAAGCACCTGCACTACTGTCTGCAACTCTGCCATTGTATTTTTCAATGAGACGGTTTGTCGTGGTCAGGAAAGAGATAAGAGGGGTTTCCCAGAAGAAAGTAAGTGGTGGATGTGTGTCAAAGGACCACCCAGGAGCCGAAAAATTTGGAGCTTAAAAAAATCCGATTCCTCACCTTTTTTCTTTCGTCTTCACTTTTTCCTCTTCTGGTCATCTTTCTTAGGCTTTGTTCATGCTATGTCATAAATTCAAAGTAAACAAAACAGTTATTAGAAATACGCTTGTACATAATATAATATACACACTTCACATTTCACACATCACCAGTCATCGTCGTCCTCGTCTTCGTCATCACTCTCTCTACGTGCATGCTGTCTGATCGCTGCCGCCAAATCGCTAGCCATTGTCGTTTCTTCCTGCTTCTTCTCCATCAGAGCGGCAGCTAAACCACCTGCAATGTTGCCGTTACCGGTGGCAGCCTGTGCAGGGGTGGAGTTGGAAAAGCCAGGAGCAGCTGGGGCTGGTGGAGCCGCAGAGTGACCTCCACCGTTGGCAGGAGGAGCGCATTCGGCAATGTAAGCAGTTGGGACCCACCCTTCTGTGGTTTCGTCCAGAGTCTTAGCTAACGACCATCCACTAGGCTCTGACTGTAGTATGTAGACGATATCACCTTTGGCCAGTGGCATGGAACCGTTGGTGCCAGGGTAGTCATACTCGGCTCTGTAGGTTGGCCATTTTGGTGCTGCGGCTGGAGGTGGAGGTGGAGGTGGCGGAGGAGTTGGTGTTGGGTTCGTAGCAGCTGGTACAGTTTGAGGGATTCTGTTTCTAGAAACAGGTGGAGCCTGCTTCGACTTGACGGTTAGCTTTGGCTTGTTTGCAGCAGGAGGTGGTGCTGGAACAGAAGATGTGGCAGCTTCACGGCGCCTTGAAACCGGAGGTGCAGGTTTGCTCAGACCGTTGCTATGGGAATTAGCATTTGGAGTGGCAGGATGATAAGCAGCTGAGGCGGCGGCGGTCATGGAGTTCTTAAGACCACGTGATTGAGCACTTCTCTTGTATGCAGCAATTTTGTCACCTGTAAATGCTGTCTTGATCCGAGGTGTTTCTCTGTTTCTCGCGGTTGGTTCAGTACCTTGAGAAACAGAAACTGTACTTGATTTATAGGCGTCCCCAGTTTTGGCGGAGCTAGCAGCCAGCTTGAATCTGACTGTATGCTTCTTGCCGGGCTTTTTACAGTAGACAACAGTAGACGAAATACTAATTTTGATATTCGGATTTCCCTTTTTGAATCTGGCCAGCATCTCAGTCTTGAAGATACAATTGACAAATAGATCTGCTTCTGTCTTTGAATGAAGATTGACTGCCAACCAATCATCTGCTAAGTTAGATACACTGACTTCCGGGATCTGAGTGATCAATTTGTTAAACTCTATTGTATACTTGGCCTTGTTGTTGACAATAGTTTGTCCGACAACCAAAAACTTGTCCCTCGTTATGATGAAAATCTTTGGTAATCTTTGCGATGATCTACCGAACTTGGAATGTAATTGCTCACCCTTGGCTGAAAATTGGACCTTTTCACGCAAGCCAATGGAGTTCATGATGAATTTACCAAAACCGCCTGTTTTATCGTTACAGCCTAAGTAATCACCATAGAAACCTCTTGAGCCTAACAGACTCAATCTTCTTCTTTGCTTCTTACCGTAGACAATCTTGTTACCATAATCTCTCATCTCAGTGTATTGGTTCTCTTGGGAAATACCCTTTGATCTTGCCCTCCAAAGTCTTTGTACAATTCTGGCTGCTTCTTCTCTTCTTCTCAACCATTTTCTACAAGCTCTTTGGATAACCTTAGCTTTATTTGCCCAGTAATTTTCTCTGAGATCTTCCAATGCAAACAATGTTTCTGGCTTTTTAATAAAGACTTTACTAACACCCAATTGCCATTCTGAAGGATCAAAATTGGAGTCTTTCAAAATAATCTCCGTTGCAGTTCTAGCATCTCCAGTCCAGATGTATTCACCGGCATAGGAAGTCTTGATCGATAATAAATAAAATCTTTCGACGAATTTCTCGAAAGTCTGTCTGTAGGCAAAACCTGCTCTTCTGATTCTAACGTTTTCTTTCAAACCCAAATACTTGACCTGGTGCAGGACAGCCTTTGTGTCGTATTCTGAAGGAGATCTATGTTGGTTGGGCTTGATTGTTCTAATATAGGATGGGGTTGCTTGTGATAAGGTGTCTACCAACAAGTTTGCACTGGTTTTAATTTTATCACCTGATGTTGGAGGTCTTCTCTTATTCGATTCGTCAACTCTGTTTGGAAAGAGTGCTTTCAAGAATGGATCCTGGGAAGTCTGTAGCATTTCTAATAAATCTTTCAACATTTGATCTTTGTTCTTATCGGTCATTGAATTTATATCGTAGGTGACGTCACCCGCATAATGCTTGATGACAAACTTACTACCTCTCAAGTCGAAATGAGCGTTAGATGATAACATGTTCAATCTTTGCGCAAAAGATTGATCTGCAGCGGAAGAATCGGCATGGGCAGTTGCACATGCGTCGTTCAAGGCTGCAAAAATGCCTGGAGGCCTCTTTGATTCAATTAGATCACAGACAATCTGGTTATTAAAGAACTTGATTGGGGTCCATTGAATTTGCTCTTTCACATATTCATCCTGCTCCGACTTCAAAGTCAATTGGATGAAAATCTGTTGCAATTTCTCATTGACATAGTTAATACACAGTTGCTCAAAAGAGTTGTGCTCAAAGATCTCAAAGCCGTAAATATCCAAAATACCAATAGATTTGAATATTGCTTGGTTGTTTTTGGAGAACGATTGATTGACTCTGTCAACAATCCAGTCAAACAAGTTGTTGTATATCCCCATAGCTAAGGCATCTTTGACAGCCGTTGCCTGGGTTGGATTTAGAGGGACGTGGTAAATGGAGCCTCTTTTCATACCATGAGAGGTTTCCATGGTTCTTTCCACCAACGACTTACACAACAACTCTGCATCGACCTGTAGAAGGTAGGCGACAAAGTTGGTGACGGAGGTATCTCTGATTTGCGAGTTACCTTCCTCGTCCTCGACGAAGCTGATGTTACCGATCCACAAGATACCGGAAAGGAGTCTGAAAACGTTATCCATTTCGTCCTTGGATAGGCCAATGGTTTCCATGGCCTTCAAGGTGTCTGCAAAGTCTGTAGTATCATTGATGGAGTCAACGGTGGTACATCCGGCGCTCGCTGTGTAGATGTATTGCTCAGGCTGCTGGATACCGTAAGTCTGTCTGTAGTTGTCGTCGGCCGCCTTGGTTAGCTGGTAGAAGATGTGGAAGTTTCTCTCGTTACTGATCTGGCTGACGATTCTCTGCTTTTCTAAAAGGTAGTTGGTGATGTTGGCACTGACGGGCTCGAAGCTCTTGTTGAACTGGATCTCTAAATACTTCCCGTGTCTGGAGGAGTTGTTGTTTCTCAAGGTCTTGGCGCACCCGAAGGACTCCAACAAGGGGTTGGTGGCGAGCACCATGTCCTTGATCCGCTGGATAGAAGTGGAGTTTGTGAGCGAGCCGGACACCTCGGCAACGTACTGCATGATTCTCTTGGCAGCCTCGGTCTTACCTGCTCCGGACTCACCCGAGATGATCACACACTGGTTGTCGCTGTAGGCAATCATGTTGTGGTACATGTTTTCCGCAATCGCGTACACGTGGGGAGGCACCTCCAAACGGTTCTTGTTCTTGTACGACATCAACACGTCGAGCGTGTAGATGCCCAAGTCTCTGAACGGGTTCACCGAAATCAAGACATGGCCAATGTACGTGTAGATGATGCCGTTTTCAAACCGCTTCTTCAAGTTGTCGTTGATGGCCTCGTCCGTAATCGTCGAAAGCAACGTCAAGTCGCTCACACCGACCTCTTTCTTCTTGGCGTGGTCGTACGTGGCCTTCTTGATCCCTCCGTTGGCTCCGCTGCTGCTGCCTCCGGCCGTGCTTCCGCCCGCTCTCACGGGTGCCGCCGTCTTCTGCCTCGTTCTCTTGTTGAATCCCATCATCTTGGCTGTGCTTGCAATCTAGTTGATGGGTGCTGCCGATGCTGCTGCTACTCAATGGGTTGATGCACACTCTGAACCAGAAGGGAACAACGGAGCAAAGGAGAAAGCCCCCAGCCTTCTTCCGCAGATAGATAGAGGAAGCACATACGGTTCCCAGCTCCGGCAAAATGTGGCAAGGGAGAAAGCGGGAGAGCCGCCGGTGCACGGGTGTACTGATGCAAAAACAAAAAAACCGGGTCGATCGACCCAAAAGCGGAAAACGGGCTTTGCACCAGCGCACGGGGAGAACGGACGGTCTACAGTTAGCATAGAAGACAGTGGGGGTTGCAGAAGCACTGCTGTTGAAGCCTTGTGTCTTTTGGCAAAGTCCGGATGCTCTGGCCCGACTCTACCCCCCGTGAGAGCCCTCTCCCCCGTTGACGAGTAGCAGTCCGAAAAAAGCTCGGAAAAGAGAAAATCGAGCGAGATGCGGAAAAGGACAAAAGCTCAACGATTTGACATGATCTGAGCCACTGAAGGGTGTAGAAGAGAAGGAAGAAGGAAGAAGCGGCGAAGAAGGAGAAGTAGGAGGCAAGGAAGCAGCAGCAAAGAAGCAACAACAAGTGCAAGATGCAGTTTGAAGACTACTTCTCGGTGCAGATCTTCTTCATCATTCTCCGGGAGACGATCGAGAGTGCCATCATCGTGTCGGTATTGCTCTCGTTCATCCGGCAGAACGCCATCGACCCGGCGACAGGCGGGCTGCTGGTGGACCCGGGGGTATACCGGTCGATGCGGTTGCAGGTGTGGCTAGGGGCGTTTGGCGGACTCGGGATCTGCATGCTTGTGGGCGGTGTGTTCATCACGCTCTTCTACTTCATCGGAACGGACCTCTGGTCGTACGCGGAGCGCATCTGGGAGGGTCTCTTCTCGATTCTGTCGAGCGTGATCATCGCCATGATGGGTGTGGCGTTGTTGCGGATCAACGCGATGAAAAACAAGTGGAAGGCGAAGATGGTGCGGTCGTTCAAGACACACCACCGGCTGGCCACGTACAACGACGGCAGCCCGAACGTTGCTGCGGAGGCAGCGGAGGCGCTGGACTTGGATGTGGGCGACCTGGACGTAGTCGAGGCGGTGGCGCATCCGGCGGCGGTGGCGAACGACGCAGACACGCAGCGGAAGCACGGGATGAAAGAGAAGTACTTTCTTGCGTTCCTCCCGTTCATCACGACGTTGCGGGAGGGTCTCGAGGCGGTGGTGTTTGTGGGCGGGATCGGAGTGAACCAGCCGGCGAGCTCGTTCCCGCTGGCGATTCTGTGCGGCGGGGCCCTCGGCTTCTTCATCGGGTACCTTCTCTACAGCGGAGGGAACCACATGTCGATCCAGTACTTTCTGATCGGGTCGACGTGCTTCCTCTACCTGGTGGCGGCGGGCCTCATGTCCCGCGGGGTGTGGTTTCTCGAGCTCGAGCAGTTTGTGAGGCGATGCGGCCAGGACACCAGCGAGGCCGGCTCAGGCCCGGGCAGCTACGACGTCTCCAACACGGTGTGGCACGTCAACTGCTGCAACGGGCTCACGGACGGCGGGTGGATGATCTTCAACGCGTTGCTCGGGTGGACCAACACGGCCACGTACGGGTCTGTGGCGGCGTACCTCGTGTTCTGGGCGCTGATTGCCGGCATGTTGCACGTGCGCAGCGTGTTTGAGAAGGAGGGCCATGTCGAGTGGCTGCCCGTGCGGTGGCAGCTCAAGTACATGCGCAAGCGGATCCTCGTGGACCAGCTGTTTGTGCAGGAGGTGGAGGAGATCGGCGACATGGGCAGCAGTGACAACGACGGCGGCGTCGACGTCCCGGGCGGCAGCCACGGCGACCCGGCGGCCGGCGCCGGGGCCAGCGCACGGTGGAACGACACGACGCCTCTTCTATAGTAGCGTGTAAGGTACTGTAATGCGATTAAGGGGGGGAAAATAAAAAGGAGAGCTAGAGCACGGCCACGGCGCCCGCGGCGGAGAACTCCACCGAGCCTGTGAGGCAGGTGATCATGGTGTCGTCCTTGTTGTACGCTCTGGCGAACACGGTGTACTTGCCTGGCGGAACCTCGCCCGGGATGGCCACCTCCTTGGTGAGCGTGTACGCGCCCTCTGCGACGGGACACGTCATGTCCACGTTCGGGAGCTCCTCGCACAAGTCGTAGGTCTGCGTCAACAACTTGATGTAGCCGTAGTTGACCACCACGTCCACGTAGGCGCCGTCGGCGACCGCGGTGTGGAGGAGGCCCGACGCGGTGATAGTGAGGTTGGCGCCCCGCTCGGGCGGGTTGGGTGTGATGTCGACGCTGTCGAGCCGGAGCGAGTGTCTGGCCGAGAGGTCGCAGAGCTCGACGGGCGAGTTGCCGGGCACGGGTCTTGTGAGCGGCAGGAGCGACGACACGTAGGGGAGGAACGACAACGAGACCATGGTGTGGCAGGAGGGCAGGAACGATGTGTGGCGGCGTGGGTAGAACAAGCACAGAACGCCTTTGATGCGCTGCCCTGCTGCTTTGCCCTTGTTCCATCCTGGCCTGGTCTGGTGAGGCAAGGCCTGTCTTCTTATCTTGTTGGGGAGGCGGCCGCTGCGCAAATCGCTGAGCATTTTCTCGCTCTTGCCCCGTCCGAAAGAGGAAACCCCGCGCGTCCGCATCTGCAACAACAACAACACCGCCCGCTGTCGCAGCCCGTTGCCCCGCCCGCGTCGATCGACTCGACGCGTCGATCGACGCGTCGATCGACTCATATCGCTTTTTTCCTCCTCCGCGTCGACGCGTCGCCTTCCCCTCTCTTTCCCTCCCCCCGCCCCCCCCTCTGCCCCGGGCGACACCTCGCCGCCCCGGACGTGGCGGACCCTCTCTTCCCGGCCTGGCCTGACCGCTGCTCCGCCACGCCACGGGCCGGGACTGCTGTCCGGGCGGAGAGCAGGAAGAGGACCGGAGGGCGGTGGAGTGGTGAGGGTGGTGTGTCCGGGCGATGGCCAGGGCCACAGGCACGGGGCCGTAGCAGCAGGGTGTTGCTGTGTCTATATCTGGTGGTGGTTCTGCTGATGTTTTGTGTTTTGGAGGTATTTGTGCTGAGGTTGTTCTCCTTTGGTAGTTGTGAGAGAGATTTGGATCGGATAGAACTTTATTCTGCAGCAGTCTCACGACACACACACACACACACACACACACACACACACACACACACACACACACACACACTATGTCCTTTGTCACCAAGTGCCACGCCAGAACCGTCTACGACTCCAGAGGTAACCCTACTGTCGAGGTCGAATTGACCACAGACAAGGGTCTGTTCAGAGCCATCGTGCCTTCGGGCGCGTCCACAGGTGTCCACGAGGCGCTCGAGTTGAGAGACGGAGACAAGTCCAAGTGGCTCGGCAAGGGTGTCACAAAGGCGGTCGCCAACGTCAACTCCATCATCGCGCCAGCACTCGTGAAGGAGAAGATCCCTGTGACGGAGCAGAAGAAGCTCGACCAGTTCTTGATCGACTTGGACGGAACCCCTAACAAGGGCAAGCTTGGAGCCAACGCCATCTTGGGTGTCTCGATGACCGCTGCCAAGGCCGCTGCTGCGCTGGAGGGCGTTCCCCTCTACGCCTACCTCGCCAAGCTCTCCGGCTCCAAGGCTCCGTACGTGCTTCCTGTGCCTTTCATGAACGTGCTCAACGGCGGCTCCCACGCAGGCGGCTCGCTCGCCTTCCAGGAGTTCATGATTGCCCCAACGGGCGCGTCCTCTTTCTCCGAGGCCCTCAGAATCGGCTCCGAGGTCTACCACCACTTGAAGAACTTGGCCAAGGCCGAGTACGGCCAGTCCGCCGGTAACGTCGGTGACGAGGGCGGTGTTGCGCCTGACATCTCCACCGCCCAGGAGGCGCTCGACTTGATCATGGAGGCCATCCGCAAGGCCGGCTACGAGGGCATCGTCAAGATCGCCATGGACTCCGCGTCCTCCGAGTTCTACAAGAACGGCAAGTACGACTTGGACTACAAGAACCCTAACTCCGACGGCTCCAAGGCCCTCACCGGCCACGAGTTGGGCGACCTCTACGCAGACCTCTTGGCCAAGTACCCGATTGTCTCGCTCGAGGACCCATTCGCCGAGGACGACTGGGAGACCTGGTCCGGCAACTTCAGCAAGTTGCCTATCCAGATCGTCGCCGACGACTTGACCGTCACCAACCCGCTCAGAATCAAGACCGCCATCGAGAAGAAGGCCGCCTCCGGCTTGTTGTTGAAGGTCAACCAGATCGGTACCTTGTCCGAGTCCATCCAGGCCGCCCACGACGCCTTCGCTGCCGGCTGGGGGGTCATGGTTTCCCACCGTTCCGGAGAGACCGAAGACACCTTCATCGCCGACTTGACTGTCGGTTTGAGAACCGGTGAGCTCAAGTCCGGTGCCCCAGCCAGATCCGAGAGAATGGCCAAGTACAACCAGTTGTTGAGAATCGAGGAGGAGTTGGGCGACAAGGCCATCTACGCCGGTAAGTACTTTGCCACCGCCTCCACCCTCTAAGCGGGACTCTTTCTCTCTTCCCATCTATTTTATATTAACCACTTCTATAGTCAAACAACCATTCCGTTACTCCACTTGTATCCCCGGGCCCCTCGAATCCCCGGCGACGCGTCGACGGCAATGCGCCCTCGCTGCCTCGGAGTTTTTCCGCTCGGGCGGGCCCGGGGCGTCCCGGAGAGTCCCGGGCGTTTTTCTTTTCCAGCATTTTTTTGGTACTTTATTAGTGGATACGTCAATTATACAGTGGTGGAGGTGGGTTTTGCATGTTATATGTGTACACGTTTCTATTAATTGGTCACCATCCTTTTCTTCGTTTCAGTTCATTCCCTTTCGTTGATGCTCGTCTAGTTTCTGTTCACAATCTTCCGCTTGTACCAGTGGATGAAGTCAAGCAAGGTCGAGCGGATCTTGCGGAAGTTCTTCGAGCCAAGCGAGACCTCGAGGTTGGTGTAAAACTTCATTTTCTCGCTGTCGGTGATGATGTCCGGGGGCAAGGATGCGAGGAACGCGTTGACGGTGTTGAGGTTCTCGAACTGGTTTTTGTAGCAGTTGTTGATCTTGAACGTCTCGATCACCAACTCGATCGCGCTGTACACGAGGTCTTCGTTGAACTTCAGAATCGAGTAGTTGAGGAACTTCACCACGAGCTCGGTGTTGTTGGCGTTCAGCAGCCCGTAAATCTTGTACTTCAAGACGTTCGGAATGTCGTAGTAGATCGAGATGGGCGGGTTCTCCAAGCTCCAGCTCAACAGGTCCGTCAAGTAGTTCACCACGAGATTCAAGATGCCAAACTCGTTGAACTTGTCCACAATCTCAAGCGACACGCTGTAGAGCACCTCGACGATTTCAAAGCTGTTCAGTAGCTCGATCGGCTTGAACATCAAGATGTCGTTCATCATCCGGTAGAAGTCCTCCACGATGTCCTCGTTCACGTCGTCGTTCTCGTCGCGGTAGATCTTGATGAAAGTCTTGATCTGCTCCTGCGCAAAGACCCACACATCGCCCATCGTCGAAGGGTCGATTTTGATAAACTCGTCAATATCGTCGTCATCCTCGCTGAACTCCTTTATCAATGCCCCGGAACACCAAAGGTAGCAACCGAACTTGTAGTTCTGGAAGCCTTCCACAAGTAAACCCTCAATCGACTTTAGGGAGGGAATCATAAACCGCCTGAAATTTTGAATACACTTTCTGATGAACTTGATGCATCTCTCACTCACCTTGGACGATTTCCCGTATTTCTGAATCACAGCAAAAATCATTGGTAGCACTTCTGTCATCACAAAAGTGGATATAGCATAATTAGGGTTCTTCGTTTTCATGAAATCATGTGGTGGCTCGAAGTTGTCAATGTAAAGTGACAATAATTCCACCGTGTTGGCGATTTTCACGTCAATAGTATCAATTTCCTGGAGATTGGCTAATGTGTCCAAATTCAAATTGACAAACTCGTTCAATTTCTGAATAGTAGAGCTCCAGAACATCTGGATGATGCTCAAACATTGGGCTTCGTTGGTGAGAATGTTCTTCTCAATGTACTTCTTCAACACATATGATAGTCCTTCTACTATGTCATAAAGCGATTGGAAGTCTAAGAAGTTTTCTATGTTGGAGTAGAGATTGTATAATGGTTCCAAATAGTCAATCAACAAGTTGTTGCAATCCATGCAAAAATATTTCAACGCATGACTGGTTGCAATGATGATCTGTGTCTTTTCGTCGTGGTTGTAATGTGAGTTTTCTAGCTTGAACCCATCGATAATATAGTTCAATTCCAGTTGGAGGAATTCCGGATGTTCATTTGTCCAGAGGGTATATCTACCTAAAACCAAAGTAGCTGCATAACGGATCTTAGGATTTTCTGGCAATTGAACAAGGTAATTCATTATTTGTGGCAAGATCTTATTTTCACTTTTGTCAATCTCCTTTGCCATTGCTCTTATACTGAACAACAGACACTCTATATCTTGCCACTTAGGAGATGCAGATTTGTCTTCAATGAGGGCTTTCAATCCATCGAATGGCAACCTTAAGGAATCGTACTGACCTACAACCAGACAGCAATCCTTGAGGACATCACCAATTTCATATCTGAAATCCTTGAATTTGTCCTCGTTCTCTTTGTTATTGTTGAACAAATCGCTGGTATTGGTGGAGTCCGAAATTGTTGGATATTTTAAATGGTTGATCAAGATTTGAGTCAAGTTGATAAAGATCGGTTTGAAAACCACCTTGGAGCTTTTGAAATTTTCCAACACTAGCATGGATTTTAGCTCATACCAAAACTTGAACGTGTATTTGACAATGTCTAGATCTTCGGTGTAGGTCGTCAATTGCAGTATTATTTCCACAAGAATTTGGAAATTCTCCGGGTCTTTCACAACCAATGTGTGCCATGCTTCTCCCGCAGTGGAGTACAGTTCAGTGAATCTTTCAATGACCATTGGGTCATCCCAATTTTCAGCAATAAGTGGTCTGAGCTCAACCAGCTGTTTGTAAAGTATTTCAATGTAAGGCAAATTCTCATTTAACTGGTCAAAAATATCGATTTGACTGACAATGGTGATCATACAATCCACAGACGTATCGAACGTCTCGTGATCTTTAAACCCAACGACAATGAGGTTCCACAATGCAGAGTTGTCATTCAAAATCATGTGGATTGGGATCTCGTTGATCCAGGACTTGATACATGCCAAAATCAAAGTTTCTAAGTCCTTGTTTTCGGGAGTGAGTGAATTTGTACTTTGGATAAGAACGTAGTAAATGTTCTCGACATTGTCAACGAGCAACTTCTTGTACTGGAGCTCAAACTCCTCGTTGGTGAGAGGCAACTTCTTGATATCAGACATCTCCTCGGGCAAGATCTTCAAAAATTCCAAGAGATTGACCGGATTGTTGGCCAGATAGTTCATGATATCGAGAATGGGTTTTTCCCAAGTGAGGTCCTGGATGATCAAGTAGGACAATGCAATGGAAAGCTGAATGACGAGCAGCTTGTCGGTTTTGAAGTTACTCAGGTGCAGCAGGACCTTCAAAATGGAGAGCCTCAAGGACTCGACGGTGCTCAAATCCGGGAGTTGGCCATAATCGTACTGTATTTTTGACCGGAGGGTTTGACAAATAAACAACCGGAGTTCAAAAGAGGATGCCTGGTTTTCGAGAATCGGGAAAAGAAGGTCCCAGGCCTGCTGTGACCTTTGGAACTCGAGCAAGTACGTGTTTGCCTTTGCTTTCAAGCCTGGATCGGTGTTCCCGTAGAGGGTTGTCAACGCCTCTTCAATTTTCTGTACGGACTCCATGGCTGACTGAGGGCGTGAAGAAGAAAAGGAGAAGCCAGAATGTTAGACGTGGGAGGCGTGAATAAATAGCTGCCAAGATGCAGACACATGAGGCCCACGTAAGACGTGGAGGAGGATGTCATGAGGAAACAGGCCTCTCGTGTTAGAGGGTGGAGCTGGAAAATTTGAGCTTTAGAGCCACAAGAGGGTATTTTCCCCGGCAGCGACGCGACGACGACGCGACGGCGCCGGAGCTAGGAAAAAAAGTGTTGATAATGATTTTTTTGCCAGGTTTTTTCCTTACAAGAGCACAAGGAAAGGGAGGCCAAGACGTCTGAAGCTGGTCCTGATACGAAGGGACAGAGCGAGAGCAGAGAAACGATGGCAGCCGGACAACAGCGGACAGCGAGCGTGCCGCCAATCAACCAGATCTTCAAGTACTTGCAGCAGCAGAAGCCTGTGTCGATATGGTTGTACCAGCAGGCGCAGGTGCGCATCAGCGGGGTGATCAAGGGCTTTGACGAGTTCATGAATCTTGTGGTGGAGGACGCGGAGGAGGTGAATGTGAAGGACCCGAGCAAGCGGCGGGCGCTTGGGCTGGTGCTGCTGAAGGGCGACACAATTACGCTGATTTCGAGCGTGCAGTGAGAGAGCCCGGCCTGCAATGTGACCTGTCACATTGTCGGTGCTGGGCCGGACGCAAGCGGCAGGGCGTGCCGACGCACAAGGGTGGCTGGTTGACGAGAGCGGCCGAGGCCCACGAGTGTGTCCGTCCGCCAGTGTATATATATATAGAGGAGGGTCGGGAGTGTGTAAAACTAGTACTACGGAATCGAAGAAGCGAAGGCAGACGCCGGCCCCGAGTGCTTCCGCTGCTGCAAGCAAGCACACAAGACACGATGGCCAAGACACCGCAGATAATCACGAGGACGGTTCTACTACTGCTTGTGCTGCAGAGCATTTCGGGCGACGACCGTATGGAGGTAGGGGTTGACGTGGAAAACGAGCCTGCGGTCGAGCCCCCGAGGCTCGACATCCCCGCCGAGCCCGCCGACGCGTCGCTGTTTTTCCACGTCGCCGACGCAGAGCACTCATTTGCGTGGGAGCTGGAGGAGCTGGCGGGCGACGCGTCGCCCGCTGGCCAGGACGACGAGGATGACGCGTTAGTCGAGCAGCTGCGGCGGGAGAGCCAGCGCATGGCGCTGAGCCTGGAAGGGACAGCGGACAGCTCGTGTGTGCTGAAGGTGCTCGGGTTCTACATGGACTATCTCGACCGGCAGCACGACGCCGAGTACCAGGGCAGCGGTGGCGGTGGCGGTGGCGGCGGCATTGGGAACGATAGCGGCTACGATAGCGGGTGCGATAGCGACGCGGGCAGAGATAGGGGCAGCTGCGATAGTGGCGATGGTAACGCGGGCGGGGGCCACGGCATTGGCGACGACGTGGCCGGAGATAGCGCGCTCGATCGGGACGGGCTAGTGAAGCTGATTGCCGTCGAGCTTACACAGTGTCTTTTTGCGAGCGACGGGGCGATGCGGCGGCTCGGGCCTGCGTGCGAGGGCGTGTGCGAGCACGCCCGCCGCCGCCGTGGGCCCGGCACTTCCGCCGCCGCCGGCACCGTGGCCAAGCAGGTGAACCGCTGCGTGGCCTCCTTGAGCAATGACATGGCGCTTTGGACCACGTTCAACGGGTATTTGGGCCAGGTGGACACCATGCTGCACCGGCATTTCGTCCAGCTCGACAATGTGCGGCTACTCAGTGGCTACAGGCAGGTGCTTGCGGGGCAGAAGCGCACGTTAGACTCCCTTGTGGTGCGGCTCGTGCGTCTGGCGCGGCTCTTCAGCGAAACGGTCCCCGCAGCGGCAGCGGCAGCGGCATCGGCATCTGCCTCCGTTGCTGCATCCGTCGCTGCGTCGCCGGTTGCCCCGGGCAACGCTGCCGGCGCGGCGGGGGCCAGCGCACGCCTGCCCTACGGACAAGCGAGGACGATCCTTCGTCGCTGCAGGCGCCTCCTTTTTGTCTGTGTGTTGCCGGCCGTGGCGGTGGGCTTTGCAGGCGCGGTTTTTGGGCGCGCGCTGGCCAATCGGCAGCACGGTGCACGGGGCACTCGGCGTGCGCCGCCGCCAGCACGTTGCGGGTGGGGCTTGCGCACAATAGGGACGGCGACGCCAACGAAAACGATGACGATATCGATGGGTGGGGTGCAGCCAGACCGAGAGGAGGTGCTGGGTGAGCAAGCGGCGTCGGGTGGGAACATGGTGGATGCTGCAGCGGCGGGCACCGAGAGCTTCGAGCGTGCAGTGCTGGAACGGGCCATCGCCCTGCTTGTTGGCGCCGGGTGCTGCTACGCCGTGCTCCACGCCGATGAGCATCCCGGCTCGGCGGGGGGCCGATAGTAGCTGTGTAGATAGATAAACAGGTGTTTGCAAAACACAGACGTACGTACATGCAAATATAGATGCACCCAAGCACGGGCTGGCGGCAGCGGGCGACGCTGGCCCCATCCCAGGGCCCGCTCGCGTGGGCCGACGGGCAGCTCGTCACCTCCGGACCGGCGCAACCGCAGCGAACCTGCGTCGATCGCCCTTGCTTGCCCGCCCGACGCCCCGACTCGGCAGATCGGTGGCCTGTTGTCCCCGGTGCCGGTGCCAGGCCGGCCTCGGCCTGGCCTACCTGGCTGGCTGGCTGGCTGGTCTGCAACCGCAGGCGTTTCCTAATCTTGCCTGTCCTCGCCTGGCCTGCAGCCGGCTGCAGCCGGCTGCCGGCAATCGGCCAATTGCGAGCTGCATTATTGTGCTGCACGCGGTGCACGCCCGCAGTGGGAAATTCGCTGTGCAGTAGCGGCCACAGCTGCACACCTTTGTCTCCCACGTTAGGGTTTCCCGGACGGTGTGCGGGTTGTGCTTCCTCTCGCCCTTCTCCCCGGCTTCGCATTGTGTCTGATAGCACCCGCACGCTGCCTATATATATCCGTTTGTCTCTATCCGTGGTTCCTTCTCTCACCTTCGTACCTCCCTGTCCTTCGTAACAACCGCCTCCACGTCCCCCCCATCTCCATTTGTTTTTCCGTCCCTGCTGCTGCTCTTCGACCTCCTTTGTGTTTTTCGTTCTCTCTTCCCTCTTGTCTCTTCCCCCTTCTTTCTTCTCTCTCCGCCTGCCTTCTTTCTTTCTCCTCTGTTCTCCCACTCGACCCTGAAAAACAGCACGCAATCGCACCCGACTGCACCGCACTACCACACACACACTCTGCACCGGCCACGCGAGGACTCGTTTACTTCGTCTTGTCCCCTTCTCTCCTCTACAACTGCATGCTCAATCACCCATTGACTGCAGATACTCTTACACACTGAGCTTTTTCTTCTCATAAAGAACAAGGTTCCCCCCTGCCCTCTTCCCGGGTTTTCTTCTACGTTGCGGGATTCCATTGTCGACCGGACGAATAAATTGAAAAACTCAAAAATAAAATTTATTAAAAAATAAAAAAAAGTGTGAAATTCCATAGATAATAATAATCACTTGCGTAAGATATTAGGATATCTGCATTAGCCGATTATATTTTGCCTCACCATAGCCCCCTTTTGAACACAAACATTTCCACCAAGGAGCACCCGCACAAAGAGTGCCCGCCCTTCAAAGTCCCCCAACCCCCCGTCCTCTTCCCCCATCTGACCATGCTACCGCATGCCCTCCCGGTGTACTACACCTCTAGCAACGACCCCAGCAACCAGCACCCGCACCCGCACCCGCACCCGCACCAACACCAGCACCAGCACCAACTCCAGCACCAACCAAACCAGCTGCAGACTCCTACCATCCCTACCACCCAGTCATTTACCCCCATCAGCGTCCGTCAACCGCTAGACGCCAACCGCTCGATGCCGGCCCTCCCATACCAGGAGATCCTACCCCCACTACAAAGCTCCCCCTCGCAGTGGAAACAACAGCAGCCACCGCTATCTGTCCCACAGCAGCAGTACTATGGAACGCCGATCAGCTCCGTCGAGTATTCGAGTCCGAACCCGTTCCCTGGCGGACTGGAGAGTTCGAACGAACGAATCTCCAGCCAGCGCTATTTCAACTGCTCCTCTCCTCAGGAGTACAAGCGGTACCCGCCTCAGACAGGATTCTACTTGCAGCATGGAAGCATCTTCAACAATAACGCTAGCAACCCTAACAATAGTGCAGACGGTGCTCTCAACAGCAACTACGACTATACTCCCTTCTCTTACGACAACAGCAAGAGATCGTCCTCCATGCAGCTGCCACAGACGTATCCCTCTCCGCCAGTGCAGTTTGTTCGTTCCACCCCCTCCTCTTTAAAACCTTCCTCACTGTGCATCCAGCCATCTCACTTGGTTCAGCCCCTATACCTCACCACGTCCTCAACACCACTTTCGAGTGCTCTGTCAAACACTGCGTCGCCGAACTCTTTCCTGACACAACAACGAGACACTTTTCTACCAAACCCGCTAATCGAAAGACCTTCCTCGAGTTCAAAGCCGCAGCAATACTATGCGCCTCCCGGAGTATACTACGACAACGCCAAGCTACGATTCGACCTCAACACAAACGCCAGCTTGGTTGCTTCTGCCACGGGCGAGACTACTGCAGGCACGTACTCCAACCACACTTCCCAAAGCAAGCACATAGTCACCCCGACTACCCGTAAGCGGAAAAGACGTAAGTACCGTGAAATCAAGAGGTACTACAAATGCCAGTACGGAGACTGCGACAAGTCTTACGGAACATTGAACCACTTGAACTTCCACATCCAGCTACAAAAACACGGGGCGAAAAGGCTAGCTTCCGAGTTCAAAGACATTCGTAACCTTGCGAAGGAAGACTAAGCAGTCCGTCTTGCAATACACTCATTCCTCCGGGCATATGGTCACCCGTGCGTTCTTTTGTCCGTCTGTCCGTCTGTCCGTCCGTTCGTTTCCCTATTATTTTTTTGCCCCTCTTTAAGAACTACTCTTTCTTTTTCACTTCTCTTTATCTGTACATTGCATACTATACGTAACCGTCACAAGAATTTATTTTTGCATCTGAAATCCGACTCTACCCAACACGAAAGCAACGCATCTGACCACCCCGTCATGTTTTTTTTTGCCGTAATACCTTCCCCTCGTGTCAGATAATCTATCCACCCGTGTCTGTGTCCAGCGGCATATAGGTCATAACAAGACCAGCATAAAATTTAGTCCCCGCTGCAGGCCCATCACAATAAGCAGACGCAAAAGAGAGTAAATTTTATCATGCCGCACAGCTGCCTTGTACGATTCGACGACCTCGCTGCGAAAATTCAAACTTAGAAGACTGCTATTCCACGCCCTTCGCAATACTAAAGCTAGTTTCTAGAACGTCTTTAAGTGGTACCTAGCCCGCCTCGGAGAAAAAGAAGTAGTTTTTCCCAGCACTCGTGCCGGCCGGGAGGTGCTGCTAATTTGGCACTCGGTTACACCTGGCCACTATGCTGCGATAGACATTAGCCCGACGCCGTCCCCCTCTCATCGAGTCTCAACACGCACATCACTGCCTCGGCCAATATTTTTAAACTCGGTGACGCACCAGGGTCGGGCCCGATGACCTGGCGGGGTCAGCGGCGTCTGAGGCTTCTTCGCTCGAGAGCAAGCTCTAGAGTGGGGAAAGCTTAATAAACGGCTAGCCCTGATCGGAGGGGCGGGCCAGGGACTCGTGGTGTTCAGCAGGCCAATCCACATCATTGTCCTCTAATTGGCCCAATAACCCAGCACGAAAATCTCCACCTGCTGAAGTGGAAATGGCCCGTGCTGCGTTGGGAGACTAGACGCAGAGACAATAACACAGCCGACCGCAATTAGAGCCAAAAATTAGAGACGAAAAAACACGACACCCACCACGCCTTCGTCACCACCACCCACCGCACATACGAAAGACCCGACCCGCTTGAGGTGAATGCATTCATCAGGCGTTCTCAAATTGATTTTCCCTTCTGTTCCCGCAATTAACTCACCCTCACAAAGCGTCCTGTCCGTGGCATTGTCATTCCAAGACCAGCTTCCAACGGCTCTAACCCCAGAGAATAGGGAAGATGTCCGGAAATGACAATAGTAATATTCTCGCTTTGGCCACAGCTGTAACTGAAAAACGAAGGATCTGCACGCCTTTTGCCGTAGCTTCGCTTTCTCTTTCTACCCATGGTGGTAAACACGCCTCGTCTATTGTGTCCACGGCAGGAGCAATGCAGAGGGAGAATGGGGCAAACCACCCTTGCATCAGCTTACATAAGCGCGTCGCCTACAAACGGCAGCGTTATTACGCGTCCTCAGCCGCTAGCGCCAGTCGTCAGCAGTCGTCACCGGAAAAAATGCACGGAGTTTCGACACCGTTGAGTCTAGAATTGTTCTCTCCCGTTGGACTCATGACTATTGGGTGGAACCACCCTCATGCATGCTGCATCTGCACGCACAAGCACCCATGCATACCTGCGTCTCTTGTGACGGAAACACATTGCTTGCAGGAGCGCACCAGAGTTTAATGCCACGGCTAGCAAGGGGAACTAGTGAGCTAGCGTATCCCCTGACGCACCGTGCGTCGCGATATCGTAGCTGACGGCGGTGCGGCGGGAACTGGTTTGCCGAGATATGCTGGCTTTCGCGCAAGTGGAAAAGACGCTGCCTCCCGGAACCGGCGCACGGCAGGCGCGGCGCAGCAGGAAATACAGAAGCCGAGTTTGGCTGGGCGATCTAAATTAGTGGCCTAAAGAGGAAAGGTAGCGGACGCGGTTGTAGAGGCCAGGCCGCCGCCGGCGGAGAAAAAACAATAATGGGTGCCAGTTGGGGTGGCGGAGCGGCTTCTTCAGCTGGCGGGTAATATAGGCGAAGGTCCATCTCGCTAGCGGGAGTTTGTTTTTGGGTGGTTACGTAACTGGTTAGATATTTTTACAATTTCGCTTTTTCTGTGTTTTTTATTTTTTTATTTTTTTATTTTTTGGTAAATTGAACATCCCCTCTTTATCCATCGAAGGTTACAGCACTGCAAAACCCAGCGCTGACTACACCCACTATCGGTCTTTTCTGGCATGTTCAGGAAACGAGGCAGATTCACCAAGACAGACGAGTCTGACACTGCGCCTTCGGACCCGAAGAAACGGGCGGTGATCGCTGAGGACGGAGACGACGACGAAGACCAAGATGCTTGGGTGACCCAGATGGTGAAAAAGCCCAAACACAAACTCCTGTTCAAATCGAAAAAGGTGCAGAACGTTGTCCCCAGGCGCGATGACACTTTGGTAGAGAATCAGGAGGGCGTCAACGACGAGAGCAACAACCCGGACTTCAAAGAATGGTATTTGCAAGATGAAGAACACACACATGGATATTTTGATCAGTTCGATGCCGAGGAGCTCATCGAGGACTACCAGAAACCGACTCATCAGAGCAGACCTGCACATATTTCCCACGAGGACGGCGATGGAGGCAGTGGCGATATCGCCGTAATGGTGCACCGTTTGAACCCTCCCTTCTTGAACGCAAGCTCCATTCTTTCTACGAATGCTCAGATAGTGGACGTCATCAAGGACAAATCCGGGGACTTGTACCAATACTCGAGAAACGGGTCCGTGCTACTCAACGAGAAGCGGAAACTGAACGACAGGAAGCAAAAGTCGAAGCAGGATATCCTCCAGAAATCGACAATGGACAAGATCATTGAAGAAGAGGAAAATGGTGAAGACGACGACGACGACGACGACGACGACAAGAGAGACGAGCAGGAGTCTCAAGACCTCATCAGCAATCTGAATAAGGCCAAACCGGAGCAAGCTATCAACAGGGAAAACTTGCCCGCGTATAAAGTGAGAGGCGAGCTAGTAAAGTTGATCAACGAGAACCAGGTGACCATAGTTATTGGTGAAACGGGCTCCGGAAAGACCACACAACTACCTCAGATCCTCTATGACGAGGGTTACCATCATAATGGTATGATTGGTATCACGCAGCCAAGAAGAATGGCAGCAATATCCGTGGCCAAAAGGGTCAGCGAGGAAATGAACGTGAAAATAGGAGAAAGAGTAGGTTTTACCGTGAGATTCAACGATTTTACTTCGGATCTTACCGACGTCAAATTCATGACAGATGGTGTCTTGTTAAGAGAGACTTTGAACGATGCCGATCTCAACAAATATTCCTGTATAATTATGGATGAAGCGCACGAGAGATCGCTCAACACCGATATATTGTTTGGTATCTTCAAGAAACTCTTGACCAAAAGAAGAGATTTCAAGTTGATCATAACCTCTGCCACAATGAACTCCGCAAAGTTTTCCAGGTTTTTCAATAACGCTGTCCAGTTCAAGATCCCTGGTAAAACGTATCCAGTAGATATCATGTTTCAATCTATTCCTTCGGCGGACTACATTGATTCTGCTGTTAAGCAGGCACTGAAAATACATTTATCAAATCCTTTTCAAATCGGTGGTCATGGTGACATTTTGATTTTCATGACCGGTCAGGAAGACATCGAAATTACATGTCAGCTGATTGAGGAAGAACTACACGAATTGATGAAGTTGAACGACGATATTGCAGAACTAGATATCTTGCCCGTTTACTCGAGTTTGTCTGCCCATCTTCAATCAAAAATTTTCCAAGAATCGAAGAATAGGAAATGTATGGTAGCAACAAACATAGCAGAAACTTCGTTGACATTGAAGAATGTAAAATTTGTGATTGATTCTGGGTTGATGAAACTCAAGGTGTATAATCCGAAGTTAAACATGGACTCTTTACAGATTGTTCCTATTTCCAAAGCACAAGCAAGTCAACGTTCCGGTAGAGCAGGTAGAACATGTCCCGGTCAGTCTTTCAGATTATACACACTCTCCTCCTTTGAAGATGAAATGTGGGATGAACCGATTCCGGAAATTCAAAGGAGCAATTTGATGAATACCATTCTTCTATTGAAGAATTTGAATATCAGCGACATTAACAAATTCAAGTTTATTGACAAGCCCTCCACGGAATCTATTGAGACTTCCCAGTATGAGCTTTGGTCAATCGGTGCTTTGGATAATCTTGGATGCTTGACTAGTTTGGGGAGAAGTATGAGTCAATTCCCCATTGATCCGTTACTATCCAAGATGTTAATCATATCGAATTTCAAAAAGTTCAGTTGCATGGCAGAAATAGTTCGTATTGTTGCAATGCTATCTGTGCCAAACATATTCATAAGGTCTAGAAATGATGCCAACTTGCAGAAAAAATCGGATAAGATACGAGAGAATTTTCAGATAGGGGAAAGTGATCATTTGACACTATTAAATATCTTTAATCAGTTTTACAACATAAAATCTAATCGCAAGGATAGCGAAGAAGCGTGGTGTAATAAAAATTACTTCAACTTCAAATCTTTGAAGAGTGCAACTGACATCCATGATCAGATACTACAGTTAGTGACGAAGAATTTGAAACGAGGAGAAAAAATTACATCCTGTTATGACGATTGGGAGATCATAAAAGAATGTATTTGTGCAAGCTTTTATTCCAACGCTGCTGAGTTTTATAAGCACGGCCAGTACAAACACTGTCGCTCAGGTCTGGAGATGTACTTGCATCCCACATCGTCCTTGAATGGGATCGGAGACTTGCCCAAATATGTTGTTTTCCACGAGCTTTTGTTTACGGGACAAAAGCAGCACATGAATTACGTCACTGCTATCAGAGGCGAATGGTTAGTTACCTACGGGAGTGTGTTCTACAGCAAGCGAGTCCGTGGGGTGAGTAGTAAAGAGAACCAGCGCCTTAAGGAAGAACAGTTTCAAAAGCTGATTGACTTTGAAATGTCGAAAAGGTCGAACGGCCGGGATGAAAGTTGACATGTCGATTAGAGAGGTATATAGTATATTATAGCGATGTCTACGTACATCTGAGTCTATTATTTCGTTTATCATATTCAAGCAACGGGGTTGAAAATCATGTTATCAATGAGTCTTGTTGTTTTCGTTTCATTAGTCTCTGTTGAATTAGGGACGTATACAGCTAGTGACAAAATGGCGCCCTTCTTAGGATCAATGGTGGTCAAATAATCCAGTGTCTCTGGATCGTTGAAAGAGATATAGTCCACCTTGAAGTTAGCATTAGTGGATCTAATTTCCGCAGACACTGTTTCCGTCAAGTCGGAGACGTCCCTGACACCACTCTTAGAGTATTTCCCATACGCGGTATTCATGCTGCGAAATATACATGTAACTTGGCTCAAGATCTCTGGAGACAAGTATGCGTTTCTAGAGCTCAGTGCCAGCCCGCTGCTGTTTCTCACGGTTGGCACGATCTCAAGCTCAATATCCATGAGCAAATCCCTCACCATAGTTTTGAGAACTACGGTCTGTTGGATATCTTTCTGTCCGAAGTATGCAACGGTTGGATTGGTGGCGTTCAACAATTTGGCCACCACGGTGGACACACCTCTGAAGAATGACGGTCTTGTCTTGCCTTCAAGAGGCTCGGAGACACCAAGCACCTCCACGAAGGCGCCTCTCTGCTGGGAACGCTCCATGCTGAACCCGGAAGGATACATCTGCAACACAGTTGGATGGAAAATGGCGTCGACCTTTTTATCCGATGAGCCTTGGAACTTTGCGGCGACGAATTCCGTGATCACTTTGACGTCGTGGTCGAGATCACGGGGGTATGTGTCCAAGTCTTCGCCTGGTGCAAACTGGGAAGGGTTCACGAAAATGGAGACAATAGTGTGGTCATTTGAGAGCAGGGACTGGTTGATAAGCGAGAGATGGCCCTCGTGGAGATACCCCATGGTGGGTATGAAGCCGACGGACTCGTTTCTGCGGGCGTACTGATGGCGCAGGACCCGCAAGTCCGCGACGGTGGTGATGATTGGAATGTCAGCCATAGTCATAGTGTCCTGGTGTGTGGTTATGTACTTTGCAAGGTGCTGGATAACTTTCGGTAGAGAGCTTTGCAAAAAGAGCCTGATGTCTGGATGGGGTGTCATTCCTTTCTGCTGTCCCCAACGGCCCCGAGCTGAAAAAAAAACCGGAAAACCGGGGAAGCTGCGGAAATACGAAAAGGCCGAACGAGAAGCCAGATTTCGGCTCGGTTACCTCTTTGGGCGAACCAGTGGTGGTGTAAAGTCGGTTAATGTTGTACAAGGAATAAGTATGTAGAAGTATAAAGGTTGGAAAGACTAAATATCCTGGGGCTTGTCGGTTGGCGCTGTTGGGGGCTCGACGCTCTTTGCGTTGACGGCCTTCTTGTTGTCCATCAAACGGAGGAGGTTTCTGAGCAACATGGCGATGGTGACCTTGCCGATGGAGGGGACGTAGAGAGAGGCGACCTTCTCGACGTCTTCGTCGACGAAGTTCTTTTCGCTGGAAAAGTTGATGACAATGGCGCCCCTCTTAATGTACTCGGAGGGGAACTTGTAGGTTTTCGTAGGGACCCCGGTGATGATGATGTCGGAGATGCGGGCGCACTCCTCGAGAGACTTGTTGCAGTCGAGAACCTTGTGCTGCTTGTATCTGAGGCCGTCGCCTCTCTCGTAGAGCTGGATGTCGTTGATGTCTGCGGAGTAGACGGTGGCGCCGTCGTTGGCGAGGAGGGAGGCGAGGGGTCTGCCGACGATCTCGGAGCGGTTGACGATGGTGATGGTTTTCCCATAGAGCCTGTCGCCGTTGTCCAAGACCTTGTTGTATGCGCCGATGTACTCGAGGATCTTGACGACGGCCAAGGGCGTGCAGGGCAAAATCGACTTCATTGTCTTGGCCTCGTCCAAGAAACGCACGTTGTGGTACATGTTGGAGATGTACTTGAAGTTGAGGCCCTCGACGTCCTTGTGGATGGACACGCACTGCTGGAGGTACTGGTCCTGCTTGTTGCCAAACACAGGGAAGTACACAATCATGCCGTTGATGTCGTCGTTGTTGTTGCACTTGTAGATCTCCTCCTCGAGCTGGTCCTTGGACACCTGGATGAGTTCGTACTGGAACCCCAGCGTGTTGGCGGTCTTTCCTGTCCACGTGGCGTACATCATGGCAGCCGGGTCGTCGTTGGCGAGAAGCCCGACGAGCTTCGGCTTGCGGGCGAGCCTCGCCGTGGCGTCGGTGACCTCCTGGAGGTAGGTTTTGGCGATTTTAGACGCAGGGATGACCTTGCAGGCTTTGATAGCAGCGGACATGGCGGGCAGTGGGTGCAATGGGGTGGTGTGCGAGACGGAAGAGAGCTCAGAAACAGGAACAGGGGCCGGCTGCAAGCGAAAACAGCAAAAACCAGCAAGGACGCAGAAACGAAAACCTGTCCGGGGGAGAATGCCTGCTTAAAAGGCCGAATCGAAGGACATCGTGTCTGGATATGAACCATAAGATAGAAAAAAAAAAAAAGACGATAAAAGAGAAAAGGTGGAAAATTAGCTCGAATTAGTTTGACAGCCAGAGTCAAAACGGCGCTGACGTAAGCCGTGCTGTCTTGGGGGGGGAGGGGGGAAGCACGTGCCTTGCGCGGAAGGTGTTCAATTACGTCAGCGTTGCTGACGTAATCACCCTGCTTACATCATCAACGCTGACGTAATTACGCCCGGAAAATTGTGCTCCTTTATTCTCCCGCTTCCCCGCTCCCCCCACCTCCGCACCCCCCGCGGAACAACCCGCCGCGGCTCGCCCTGCCCCGCAGCCCCGCGTTGTTCCGCAATCACGCGCTAGCCGGAACATCCTCGGCTGCCCCGCGTGCCACCGCCGACGGGACGGGGACGGGCAGGCGATGCGGCGATGCGGCGGTGCGGGCGTCTGGTGGCCTGTGTTCTGCTGCTGCGGAGGGCCTCACCACCTTACGCTGGCGACGACAACGGTGACGGGGCAGCAGCGGGGGCTGAGTGGTTGCGGAACAGGTGCTGGCTCTGTTCTGCTCGTGTGGTGTGTTGGAGGTACTGCGGTTGGGGCTACAAAACGGGTGGTGTTGCTGGGGTGGGTGGTGGAAGATGTGCTTTCTTCTGGGTCAGCAGACACAACAGGGCCACGCCGCTACGCACGCACACGCCACGCACTCACGCACACACACACGCACACACACACACAGCTTCCGATGAACAGCACAGTAAAGGCCAAGGTCGACGAGATCACCCAGGCTTTCGAGCTCGACAAGACCCGTTTGCAGGACTTGGTGGAGCTCTTCAACGAGTCCGCCGACTACGGGCTCGCCCACACGTCCGCCGGCAGGGAGGCGATGCCGATGATCCCCACGTTCGTGACGTCGATCCCCACGGGGAAGGAGAAGGGCGTGCTTCTGGCCGCAGACTTGGGTGGCACGAACTTCAGGGTCTGCTCGGTGACGCTCAACGGCGACCACACGTTCGACTTGGTCCAGTCCAAGAGCCACATCCCAACAGACCTGATGACGTCATCGTCGGAGGAGCTCTTCTCGTACTTGGCGTCCAAGATCGGGGCCTTTGTCAGACAGCACCACAACGAGAAGTTCGACGCCGAAGCCAGCGGCGACGCCGCCGCCGCCGAGGCCGGCAAGCTGAAGTTGGGCTTCACCTTCAGCTTCCCCGTCGAGCAGACCTCGTTGGACTCGGGCACCTTGATCAGATGGACCAAGGGCTTCGACATCCCGGACACAATCGGCCAGGACGTCGTCAAGCTTCTCCAGTCCCACATCGACAAGCAGAAAATCCCTGTGCATGTCGCCGCGTTGGCCAACGACACCGTCGGCACCTTGCTTGCCCGCTCCTACACGGGTGAAAACAAGGAAGGGTTGACCTCTTTGGGCTGCATCTTCGGAACAGGTACCAACGGTGCCTACAACGAGAAGATCGACAACATCGTCAAGCTCCCTAAGGACGTTGTCGCGGACCTGAAGGCCAAGAACATCACCCACATGGTCATCAACACCGAGTGGGGCTCCTTCGACAACGAGTTGAAGCGCTTGCCCGTCACCAAGTACGACGTCGAGGTCGACAACATTTCCTCTAACAAGGGCTACCACATGTTTGAGAAAAGAGTCAGCGGGATGTTCTTGGGCGAGATCTTGAGAAACGTGCTTCTAGACTTGCACTCCCAGGGCGTCCTCTTCACACAGTACGCAAGGAAAGAGGACTTGCCCCACAGACTAAGAACCCCGTGGCTCCTCTCCTCTGAAGGTATGTCTTTGTTTGAGATCGACGACTCCACCAACTTGATTGCCACGGAGTTGGAGTTGAAAAACATGCTTAGATTGCCAACCACCGTCGAGGAGCGTTTGGCCATTCAGCAGATCACCCGGGCCATTGCAAAAAGAGCCTCCCACCTCGCCGCCGTTCCAATCACAGCCTTGGTCATCAAGATGGACGCCTTCAAGGGACACAACATTGAGGTCGACGTCGGTGTCGACGGTTCTGTCGTCGAGTTCTACCCGGGCTTCAGAACCATGATGCGTGACGCCATTGCAGACACCCAGGTCGGCGCTAAGGGTGAGAGAAGACTACACATCAACATTTCCAAAGACGGTTCCAGTGTTGGTGCGGCGTTATGTGCGCTCAGTAACGACACTATATGATCAGAGAACCTCCCGGCTTTGTTCGTCGTATGTATTGTTCAAATGTTTACATGATTTATAATGGTAATGAAAGACTACAATTTTGTTAAAAAGTTCCTTCTCCCTTCATTCAGCAGCTTCGGACGTCTGTTCTTCGAAGACCTCCATGTCATCCCTCTTTGAGTCCCCTCCAATCAACATCAGCCCGTACGCATTGTTGACACTCATGTTGTTGCCGCTCTTGCTTGTGCTGTTCACCTCCTCGTGCTTCTCATCGGCAGACTTTGCAGCAGCAGCAGCAGCAGCAGCAGCGCCCGCAGCTGCTTCCGCCTCTACCTTGGCTGCTCTTTCACGACTCTCTGACATCTTCTTTTCCCTTTCTCCCGTCTGCTTCTCCGTATTGTAATTCCCGCAAAGTACATACCACAGGACAAAGATACCGATAACTCCACTAGTCAATTTTATCGCAATCTTTTTCCCTTCAGACTCATCTTCTCGGATGTCAGGCTGATACGTGTATTCTCTGTAAATGCCCTTCCGGGGCCCGTGGGCACCCAAGTTTCTTGCGTACAAGTCCCGACCAAAGGTGTCGACGTTTTGGTTCACCTTCTGCTGGTACCTAAACCGCTTCTCTACCCTCTCGTTTCTCTCCTGGTGCTTTCTTGAATCAAAGTGAGGGACGTCGTTGTATCTGTACTGCTCGTGAAAGTGGAACGAGTTTCCTGGTCTTTTGAAAAAGCTGTTAGGCGACGTTGATCCCTCTCTTCGTCTGATGCCCATATGTAGATCATACTCCCCTCTTTTCTTATCATCGGCAAGAATCTCATAACTCTTCTTCACCTTCAGGTACTCGTCTGACTTTGCATCAAGTTCGGCATCACTCAATCCTTGTGACTTCAATATGTCCGGATGCAATTTCAACGACAGCTTCTTAAACTTGTTCTTGATTTCTGCAGTCGTTGCATCAAACGGAAGTTTCAGTCTCTCATAATGGGACTTCTCTGCTAGTCTGCGTCCACTCACATGCATGCATCTGACTCCAGGCACGCTCCTGCTTATCTTGTGTAATTGCATCATGCTAAACATAAAATTCCTGTTCCCTTCCGGCAGGTTCAGAGCAAAGTTCCGTTCCGTTCTTTCACAAGACTCGTAAAACATACACAGCATGTCTTCCAGCAAAGACGCCCCAGCCAAAAGACCGAAAAATAACGGCCGACTGACGTAAGCACCCCCTCTTTATCGCCTATCTAATACGTTTGTTCATTTCTATAACTAACATGATGTTACAACAAAGTATACAAGTCCATGCAGGGCTACTCCCCGTCGCTGGTGAAGTAGCTATCGCTGGAGTAGAGGGAGGAATCGTCTGCAAAGGACGACGGCCGGAGTCCTCCCTCGGTGCTTGTGCTGCGCAGACTTCGGAGGCTTCGTAATCCTTGTTTGTCTTCTGGAAGGTTGAGTCTATTGGCGCCAGCAACAGGTCTCCCGGCTTTGCCGTGTACGCTTGCAGTTCTATGGACATTGTCATCAATAGCCTCTTCCCGGTAATAGTCATCGGCCGGTCCCAAGTTGACAGCTGCGCCGGCGTCTTCTTCGTCACTGTTCTCTGTCTCCTCGTCGCTTTCGGAGACGCTCTCGTTAAAGTCTAACTCGATCCAACTGGGCCACGCAAGCTCGTCAATGATCAGACCCCGAAAGGCGGTGATCAAAAACTTTTCGATCTTGCCAATGTTCCTCAACACCAAGCCGTTCCCGTCACCGGAGTCGTCGTTGTTGACAAGCCCGGAGAGAAAGTTCGTGCCAGCGGTCAGATCCACACTCTGGTTGCTGAGTTCCCGCAGGTCATGGAAGTGCTGCTGGTGCAGTGGCTTCAGAAGATTTTCTCTCCACAATTCGGCGCCTTCGGAAACGTTTCCGATCTCTCCCTCAATCTTCATATCCTGGAGAATGTCTATTCTCTCTTTGCCTTTGGAGCGTCTGCTGAATGTCGTATTGGTGGTGGTGGATTTTCTTGAGTCTTGGCGGGACTCGTTATTGTTGCTGTTACTGTAGCTCCCGTCATCAAGACCAGCTCCATCATCGGAATCAATGTCACAAAGAAATGATATAAAGACCTTTTTTGATATGCATGCGGCAACCATTAGGGAGTGGATTCTCAAGTCTGTGATTTTCAGCCTCACAGGCAGTCGAATGAACTCCGGAGCAGGATAGTTCACCAAGAGATCGCATATTATCTCAATGTATAACTCCGAATCCCAGTTGACGTCCACAGAAAGCTGTATGTCTAAACTCGTATCCAGGCTTTTGTAGTCTTCCCCCGAGAAAAACGAGCTGTTGTTGGTGTTGCCTTTGTTGTTTGAATCCCTATTTGGGTTTCCCTGTCGGTTAGTGTCGTTACTTAAATCGCCATCAGAATATACGTCCCCTCCATTGAGATGAACTCCAGAAACACCGTTTATAAGACCGGAAAATATTTTCCCATCGTCGACAGTGCTCTCGTGCTCATTGTACTCGGGCTGGAAATAATCACTCTCAGATTCCATGCTTCCACTGCCGTTACTTGCATTGTTTAGCTGCACATTACCGCCTGCCATCCGAAAGCCGCCCAGACCAACTCCCATATGACCTAGCGTTGGCGTGAACCCAGAGCTCGCTCTAGGCATTAAGATTGAGTTCGGATTGTTGATGAACGGATGAGGAGATGGTGACCTTGACGGCGGCAGTATCTGATTTTTCAGCAGTGACACCCGGTTTTTACTTCGGCTATCACTTACATCTTCGCCGTCTATTCCTTTGGTGCCGTGATCTCGTCTGTCAACGTGGGGCGTCTGTTTGCTACCATCTTCCTCCTTTTGATCAGGATCTGTTTCATCTGCCTCCCCTTCATTTTCCCCCTCTTCGACTCCTTCTTCCTCTCTCTCATCATTTACTTCATTCGCCGAAGTATAAAATTCATTGAATGGGACGTCAATGTCCCTGATTGTGATCTCCGGCGCCGTCTTACCAAACTTAAAGTCGATTACCTGCAAGTTGGCTAGATAGTGCGGTAGCTCCACAGTCGACAGCTTCGAGTTCAAGAACTCTCGCAATGACAGCGCCAGCTGTTCATCGTTGCATATAGTGTCCCATTGAATGTCAAAAGACATCGCTTGTCCTTCGAAAATTCCTCTCTGGTGTAGTGACCGGGGTCAAGACGGATTTGCTGCCGTTCAAGAAATAGTTGTGTTTAGCGTTGGAGACATTTTTTTGTCTCGGCCTTTTTGCAACCTGATGATATATACTTGCCACGGCGCCTCTGACACTTCTTATTGTACTTGCGACCTACTACAAACATTGAGTTCAGTCAGGGTATCATTCAACCACTCAAAATGCTCAAGAACTTTATTCGTCGTGTTTCGACATCGGCAACGCCAAAGTCCCAGGGGACTGCTGTGGTTTTCATGAACATGGGAGGTCCTTCGACCGTTCCCGAAACTAGAGACTTTTTGTTCCGTTTATTTTCAGACGGAGACTTGATCCCGTTGGGACCATTCCAGAATTCTATTGCTAAGTTCATCACTTGGAGGAGAACACCTATGATTGAGAAATACTACAAAACCATCGGTGGCGGATCCCCGATTCGGAAGTGGTCCGAGTTTCAAGCGGCCAAAGCCTGTGAACGTTTGGATAAAATATCACCAGAAACTGCGCCCCATCATCCTTATGTTGCGTTCCGTTATGCAAATCCTTTGACGAAAGAAACTCTTCAAAAGATGTTGGCTGATGGTATTACTAGAGCCGTTGCATTCAGTCAGTATCCTCAATTCAGTTACTCGACTACTGCTTCTTCTATCAACGATCTATACAGATTGTCCAAGATACATGATCCAGAAGGTCAAATAAACTGGTCTATTATTGATAGATGGCCTCAGCACCCTTGTTTGGTGAAAACCTTTGCCAACCATATAACAGATGCACTCCAAAAGTTTCCTGAAAATGTTAGAGATGAAGTCGTCATTCAGTTTTCTGCACATTCTTTGCCAATGGATATCATCAATAGAGGTGATTCGTATCCTGCCGAAGTTGCTGCTACAGTTTATGCCGTCATGCAGAAACTGAACTTTTCAAACCCATACAGACTTACTTGGCAATCCCAAGTCGGTCCAAAACCTTGGTTAGGAGCGCAGACTGAAAAAACGTGTGAACGGATCACCAATAACGAATCGGTCCCAGGTGTTGTTATCGTTCCAATCGCTTTCACTTCGGATCATATTGAGACTTTACATGAGTTAGACATCGAGCTTAAGGAAGCTATCGATCATCCAGATAAAGTTGTCAGATGCGAATCATTGAATGGAGATCCTATTTTCCTCGAAGGATTGGCTGATTTAGTGAAAGATCACTTGGAATCTGGTAAACTGTACTCTAAGCAACTCCCCTTGGACTACAAGTTAGGTAGTGTTTCCGCAAAAAATGTTTTCAAACACCCAGATGAATTCTTTGGTGATAGGAGCCACAAGAAAGCATAAGCTACTTTTAAGCTGTATATACTTTGTCACAAATATTTATTTTTCGAAAAGTTACTACTATGTCTCAAACATCCTTTCTATTTTTGAAATTTTTTGTCATACTTTTTCTTGTTCTCCTTTACATTGACCCTTTCAAAAATTTAGATTAAGCATTAGAGGCGAAACTGTTTTGTCGCATGTGAAGAACTTCCAGTATAACCTTTTTTTAAACTGCACCATCATCTTTTTTTGGAAAAATCTATACCCTTATAAACAATTCTTTGTGCTTTGTTCGAAAGAAGAAAAAATGAAAATGCAATTTTGAAATTTAGACACAAAATTTCTAGTATACATCACAATAGGTTTTTGTCATTTTCCTCTACCTTGGAGATTGTGTCAAGAACTTCTTTGTAGAATTTGGATTTCTCACTATCGGAATCCTTTTTGCTTCCAGTGTCATCTCTTCTAATCAATTCCTTTATACAAAAGGCGTATCTCATCCACTCCTCTTTGGAACAAAGTTTCAGCCTGTCGTTCAACTTTTTGATCAACTGACTACGTTGTTTATCTTTGTTAATGAAAGGCAACACGAACTTGATGACTTCTTTGAACTTTTCTATCGAAAAAGGTTTTTCGGACGGGGTTGCTTCATTCAAATGCTGATTTAATCCACTTAACATCTCAATAAACCCATTATAAATTGCATTGTCCTTTGTGGCAAGTTCCTGGAAGAACAATTTAGACATTTCTCTCAAGCTTTTGTCTTCATGGACTAATAACTTTGCTAATTGAGACAACTGCCCTTTCACTTTGATTTGACCAGCTAGAATCAAGAAAGTAACCGTCATCAAGCAAGTTCTTTGAACTGTTAAGTCCCTATCTTGTAGCAAACTGTATAAGGCGCTCCGATTTTCATCAATAATATTGGTGAAGCATACAGCAATATCTCCCAATCCCAAAACTAGATTGCTTCTGACGATAGAATCACGAGATTTTTCCATCAAAGAAAGATATAATCCAAGGTGACTTTCGCAGAACCGTGGAGAGATACACATAAATTTGGCAAAACATAGCGTAGCTTGTCTTTGTAAGAGTTCACTTTTATACTTTTTCGGTTTCGTGATAGTTTCCGTCAAAATTGGAATAAATTTAGCCAGTATTGAATTAGGACCATATAACAACTCTTTTTCTTTGATATTTTGAACGGCATCTGTAAACTCATCTTCATTTGTTCCTCCTATCATATCGAGTTCCATTTCTTGCTCGTTCTTTTTGTTTTCGTTGTCTTGCTTTTTACGCTTGAAGTCGGCTTCACATTTTTCCAAATATATAATAGTCTTCAAGCCCACATGTCCCAAGAGAAAGAATAGCTGGCTCAAGGAAACAGTTTTACTCTTGGATGAGTTTTCAATCTGTTCGTTATCACTAAAAATTTCCAGAGCTTTCAGTTTCAAAACTTCAGTTGCCGATTCGTCCGCGTTAGGATCAATCTCATATAAAGTATTCAAAGCTTCCTCAGCCAAGTTAAACCAATCGCCGTCTTTGGTGTTGAGTAAAAGGATTTTTTTCAATTGCTCGATTACAGCTTTGAAATCTGGATATGCATAATCTGCTGGTATCTTTTTTGGAATGGTTCTTCGTAATGCAATACACGTAAAGCTAGTCACTTGATAATTGATGTTATCTGTTTGTAATCCATAATTCAATAACCATTCGATTTTCCTTTGCATAACTCTGTAATCAGCGAGAGTGATCATACTCAAAACAATTATTGCACCCCTTTTCTCTTTAACGTATTTTGAGTTTACAAAACTGTTCCACAAGGCATCAACAACCTGGGGAGTAATCCAATAAGTGTAACGAGGGACATAATGATCATCCTCTTTCTCCTTTTTGGTAACTTCAACTAGTTTTCCTTTGTAGATTTCAACAATCAGTTTCTCAAGCGATATTAAGTCAGCCATGCTGCAGTTATATGTGAGCTTGATCAAAGATGTTGCTACATAAATGATCTTGTTTGTCTGAGATTCCTGTTCATATGGAGTCAAAAACATGGTAATGTATGCATCCGTCAATTTCTCAACTATTTTGTTACCATCCTCATTTGAACCATTTTTCCATATTAAGTGCAACATTTGTTTGATGCCATCCTTCGCAGATGCAATGTCATATGCGTCACCAACTACAAAGTACTCTATAGCAGACACCGCATCACTTTTGATTTTAGAGTTGAGTAACGTACTGGCAATCTCAAATGATTTGTCCAATAATTTGATGAATATGCATGCATCACGACAAAATGATCTTTTCAAAACTATTTCAACTACTTCTCGAGGTAAGTTCTCAACTGAAATGTCACTGTCTGGCTCTGGTATAGCCCCAACGACGAACTCAAAAATGTGCTTCACTTCGTGTTGGTTTTCGGAATCTTCAATAACTGCACTTAGTTCTTGGTCATCTAACTCTTCTTTGCGGATAACATTGTAAGTCACTCCATTGTCAAACTGTTTTATCATTTTGGTACAGTCTAGATAACTATTCCAGTAAAAAGTCCATGAAAGTTTCCCATCATCAACCGTGTAAGGATGATTTCGGATGATACATTTCAATAGGCTGACTGCTGCTTTCCGCACAAAACTTGATTTTTCTTCCAAATGTCGAATAGAAAAGATTGTCCAACGATACCTGTATTCTTTAAAATTTATCAGCGATTTATCGTTTGAATGGATTAATTCTAGAGCTTGAAAGCATCGCTGACGAACTATTTGGTATGTATCTAATAAGTAAGTTTCAAGAGTTTCAATCAGGGAAGAAATTGCTTCACTGTGTTCTTCCATGAGCTCCTGTGACGTTGAAAGAGAATTAACGCAATTTCCATAGCAAATCATTGTTGAAGCACGAATCGTCTGTGTGGAATCCTGAAAAGGCTTGAATAATTCTATGAATGGAATAATTTCGGAGCCTAAAAGCTCGGACAACTTTATAAGGAAAGTGCTGATATTTTTTGCCAAATTTGGTCCTACGTCCTCTATGGAGGATAAAGAGACTAAAACGTCCTGCAATAAATTCCTATTATCGTAGGTTTCTACCGAAGTGGAAACAATTTCTGCAATGGGTTCTGCTAAGTGTTCCGAGAACGGTAGAGCCATTGTCAAACGGTGTGAGACTTGATTATTTTGTTGGTGACTTTTGGCAACTATACATAGAAGTTTGACTAGCAGGGATTTATTGGTCTTCTCTTTAATCGTCTCTTTGGACATCATTATCGAGTATGCCGACTTCAAAACAACATCACAAAATTCCACTAACTCCTGTTCACCTTGTAGTATTGTTGAGAGTTGTCGATCCAGTAAGTCACACAAAGTACTCAACGTTGAAGCCAATATGGTATTCAAGGCACTTAACCTTCTTTTCTCTGCTTCGTGTTCGGAATTGGAAGTTTTTCCCTTCCGCTTTTCCTCTGATTCAAATAGTATGATTAGATGTTGGACCGATATGAATATTAAATATATGTAGCAGTAAAGGACTTGCTTATGTTCTGACGCGTCAATGTTGAATCCTTCAGCATCTATGATTTCAGTCTCAGCTTGTATTGATTTGGTGAGAGTGAAATAAATTGCTGTTAACTTTCTCATGTCTTTGGTTTCTGGTATGTAATAAATTAGTTGCCTGGTACTTTCAAGTATGTCTTCATTGAGGATATTCAGAGGTGACGCCGCCAAAGTGTCCGAAACCGTGTTGAAACAAGATGTGTAAGAAAAGTCGTCATCGGGACGTGTGTCCGTAGAAAACTCACTCACCTCTGTATCTAAGAGAAACTGCATTGAATGTAGAGTTGTGGCGGGGTCTCTGATGGGTTGGTGGAGCAAGAGATCAGTGGTAGATCGAAACAACAACATTGCTGAAATCATGAAAACATGAAACTGATTAGTATTTTTTAAGGCGCTGCATCATTTTCTTCGGTTTATTTTCTTTCTCCTCATCTTGGATTCCTCTCTCGGGTCTTATCTAGATTATACTTGGAGCATATGCAAAGACAGACGAGATGAGTGAACGTAAGAGCATAAACAGATACTATCCGCCGAATGTGGATCCAACAAAGGTGAAGTTCTCTAGCAAAACCAGCAACAAAACCAAAAATGCGAAACCTAGTGTGAGGTTGATGGCCCCATTTTCAATGAAATGTTTAAATTGTAAAGAGTATATTGCAGCATCCAGGAAGTTTAACACACGAAAAGAGACTACTGATCGAGATTATTTGGGTGTCAAAATTATTCGGTTTAGTTTACGTTGTCCAAGGTGTTACGCAGAAATGATATTTGAAACAGATCCTAAAAATGGAGATTATCAGTGCGTCAGTGGATGTAAAAAAAATTACGAACGCTCAGCACCAATCAAAGAGAAAGAAAGCATAGATGAGATGATTGTGAGACTAGAGAAGGAAGTGAAGGAAGATGAGCGGATGAAAGAGTTGGAACGAAAAGGTGGTAAGAAAAACGGTCTCACAAGTGAGGAAACCGGTATGGAACAGTTGGAAAAAAGGCTCATTGAGCAACAGAAAGAGAAAGAGAGGGTGGAAGAGTTGGAGGAGCTACATGAACAAATGCAGAGCCTTGAACAACGTCGGAAAGAAATGGAAAAAGCGACCAGAATAGGAGTCTCGGATGAAGCAGACCATGATTCTCCTACAGAGGAACTGGATTTGGAGGCGAAAAGAGCATTCGATGAGTTCAAAAAGGCGAAGGAAAAGCCACAAAACGTTGGAGTCTTGGCTGCATATTCTTCTTCCTCGGATGAAGAAGATGAGGAGGAAGAGGACCAAAGGGAGGGCAAGGGCGGTCTGTCTCACAGCGTGGTAGGACAGAAACGTTCATTGGTGGAACCAATCAAAGGGATCGTGAAGCGGAAGAAAGCAAAGATCATTTTGTGAAACCGAAAGGTAAATTGTTTCAAATTGTTACAAAAAATATATAGGATATATTTATAGACTAATGTACAAAGGTAAGAAGGGTGGCGGCGGTTATTCTTTCAATCCCTCAAGCGGGCGTAACCTTTGAGCAGCGCGTTGGACACACCAATTCTCCTGTTCTCTAAAGCAGCAATCAAATCTCTGAGAACAATTGCTTGCTCTTCTCGAGCTTCTCGATATCTGATACCATTATCACCACGAAAATTGATAGCACCAGGGGATGCCGACGAGGATTGCATCCAAGAATACTTCTTTTTCTTGGAACCACTCATCATCAGAGATGCAGTCAGATTGGTCTGCTTGTGATCTTGGATTAAATCTTCCTCCAGCTTTTCCTCTTCCAAACCTAGGAAGATTCTTCTCCTTATTCTCTTCTCTTCTCGGTCCTTATGTTTCGAAGCAATGTCTCTCAGTGCTTTCGAGAGTTCCGACTTGCTGCTCAAACCCGAATGCGAGTTCATCGAGCTCTTGGACTTCGACTTCTTGCTGCCGCTCTTGCCGGTACTCTTGGGAACATTGGACGAGTGTCTTCGATGTCTCATCATGACAATGGTGTCAGTCAATATTTGTGTCATGTAGTGCTCGCAAGAAGCGGATATTAGATTTGACACCTCCTGGTCCGTCACAACAGGTTTGATCCCTTGCTCTTCGAGAGTTTTGTTCATGAACCAATGCAGTTGGTTTGGTTTCAAAAATGTGTTCTGCTCTATTTGCCTCTTCGATATTGACAATCCGGTAACCATTGCTTCCTCTTCGGCACGAATGTTGACACCGGACGCAGCCACAGCATCAGACAGCACTTCATGGTTGTCTGATTGCAATGCCTTATTCGATTGTTTCTTCTTTTGCGGGGTCTGCGTGACGTGTGTAACCTGGGGAGACTGCACGCTTGAACTTGGAGCCTCCTGTCCCCCATCCGTAGACGGCTTAGCGGTAGACATACTTGGCCGTTCTTTCTTTCCAAACCTATGAACTCTTGTTTTGCCTCAATCCAACACATTTCAAAAGACGTGTTTGATTTCTTTCTTTCGAACCCATGAACCACCCCAGAGAGGGCAAAATAGATTGAATTTGGCGAAAAAGAGAAAATCAAAAAATCCAGAAATTAAGCCGATCGACCCAAATTAGCAAAATTATCTTACACATCAGTGCACCACAGAGTTTGGGGCTTCTTTCCCGATTGGGAAAACATGTATCTGAAACTTTTTTTTTCATTTTCTTCACCTCTGTGACAAGAATTTCATCACCTCTGCCAGACCGAACGGTTTCTCTCAGCACATGTCAGCACAGTCAAGACCAAAGGAAGAGCCAAATAGCAGTTAGAAGTAGTATGTCAACGACAACGCCATTGATTCATTTCTCTACACATGAGAAATTCACCACAAGGCTCGTGTTAGCCACGCTTTCTGGAAAGTCTATAAAAATATCAAACATTCGTTCAGATGCTCTCAACCCTGGTTTGGAAGACTACGAAATATCATTTTTGCGACTCTTGGAGTCGGTAACCAATGGCTCCATAATAGAAATATCGTATACGGGTACGTCATTGATCTACCGCCCAGGTCTGATCACAGGAGGCTCCTTCAGCCACAACTGTCCGTCTTCTAGATCTGTATCGTACTTCATCATTCCAATGTTGATGTTGGCGCCATTTTCCAAAAAAAAGTTCTCGATAGTTTTCAGAGGATTGACTTCAAACAAAAATGAAGTTGGCCTTGATTTTATCAAATGGGGGTTTATCCCATTAATGGACAAGTTTGGTATTCGGGACGTCGAGCTCCACACTTTGAAAAGAGGCTCCTACCCCAATGCAGGTGGTGAAGTTCATTTGATTGTCAACTCACTAATTCCCCAGCCGATTACCGTGCATATGTTGGAGATACCAAATATTTCGTCCGTTAGAGGTATTGCATGGTGCACAAGAGTCTCGCCATCGGTAGTCAATCGTTTAGTGGACTCAGCAAGAAGCGTTTTGAGAGTAACCGGATGCGAAGTCAATATAACAACAGATGTATGGAGGGGTGAAAACTCGGGTAAGTCACCTGGCTTTGGATTGACATTATTCACAGAATCAAAAAAGTCACCTCTGCGATATATCCTCGACGATGTTGCCGAGAACGGTGAGACTCCGGAGGATTTGGCAGAGGCGTTATCTTACAGCTTCTTGGAACTCATAGAAAACAGCGGATGTGTGCCAAGATCACAGCTCGAAATGGCCTTTATCTTCATGGTTATAGGTAAAGAAGATATCGGCAGACTCATAGTGAACAGAGATCAAATAGATTCGGGCTTGGTGAAGTTGATGAGAGACATTAAGTCGTTGTTCAATACCGAGTTCTATTTCCAGGAAGATGATGAGTACGATAACGCCCTGATTGCAACATGCAAAGGAATTGGTTTTACTAATGCCTCCAAAAAGATCGCTTGATTTTTGATAACTATGTAAATTACTTGTATGTACATAAATTTGAACGTCAGTTTCCTAGAGGCAAATCCTTCAAATCATTCAACAACCTTTGGATGTTGTCATTTTTCGTTTCCTGGAACTTGCTCCTTTCGTCGAACCAGTTCTGGAAAACCTCACTTATCAGATACTTCACTTTCTGGAACAATTTAAATTCATTAACAAAAGTGGTTTTAACCAAGATTATTCGTGATATCAACATACTCAATTGGTCCATGGACGTGATCAATACATTGATATGCTTGTCGATTTCAGAGCCTCTTATATCTGACTTCATCTTCAGCTGTTTAATCTTCTCGTTGGTTTTTATTATCCTTTGCAGCAAGTTCTGAATCTCTTTCTCGCTATCAGTTTTGTAGTTGAAAAATCTTTCAATCAAGAAATGTAAGCCAATCAAGTAATCCTGAAAACTCTTCCAAGATTCTAAGATTTCGTTGTTAATAACTAACATCTCTTCCTCTTTGAGCTTTCTCGAGCCTACAAAATATTTGCACACTTGAGAAAGTATAGAGTTGATAATTGTCATATTTTGAGTTTCATCGTCAATCCTTTTTGACTTATTTTCAATCAAGTTGTCCATGCTAAAGACGTCAGCATCTGTTTTAATCATGTTCTCCAAAAATATGGCAAACCTCTGGTGATCTGCAGATAGGGCTAACTCACGCTTTTCTATCCTTTCAACCAATAAATATAATTTGGACCAGAATTCTGCTAGTCGTGATAAGCTTTCATACAACGAGTTCAGATTGGTGATAAAATCTTTGTCTAAAAAGTTCACAGGACTCTCATTCCAGATTTGGTTGATATTATTGATAACAAACTCGTTTCTATTGGAGCTGGTGTGATTCTCCTCACTTTCATCTGTAATATCCTCGTTGTCTTCAAAATCGCTTTCGTTGTCTCTTAACCCTTTTAACACATCCGACAGATCAATTTTGAACCTCCTCGGAAGATTGATGCGTATGCCGTCAAACTCATCGTTCAACTCTATGTTTGCAAATTTTTTCCAGTTGGAAAAGTCGTTCGGCACAGTTAAGAACATTATGACTAGGTTTTCCTTCGAAAGTATAGGATGCTTGCAAAGTTGGTAAAGGAATCTCTGTAATCCACGTCTTCGCTTTTGTAAAAATAAAACATCGTTTGAAGAGGCTACTAGAAAAAAAAAGTTTCTTGTTAGTATCTTTAGGAGTTGAAAAGAAAAGGTCAAAAAGGATAATCGTTAATACGTACATGCAAATTTCTTGGGTGGTAATTCAGGTATTAGTCTGAAAGGGTACTTTTTCCACAGGACCTCGACTAGCCATGCGAAGTCCGAGTATCTTCTGATGACCTTAGTACCGTCTTCATTCTGGCCTTTTGCCCTGCTATCTCGAGAAGACTTTGTTTTATCACTGGAGACCAGGTACTCGCTGCTGAACTTCAACGTATGCGATATTAAGTAGTTTGTGTGTTTGAACACCAAGCCCTCCTTTTCGGGGATTTCCCGAACCCGGACTATCAACCCATCGGTAGCGTTCTTCAACGTGAGGGGATTGAACTTCTTGATCTCGTCGTCAGACCACACTTTCACGTCCACGGGCCACGCCAAGCTTTCCTCGTTCTCCTCTGGTTCATAGTCATCGATGACCTCGTTGGCAGCCCCGTTGACTCCACTATCACGGCCACTGAGCACTTCTGCCGCTTCAGCATGAATTACATCTGGCCTGCTGCTGTAATGACCAAACTTGCTGCTGCTTCCGGCACCGTTACTGTTCTTGCTGCTGTCGTCAATGCTGAGATTTGCCAGAGCGCCCAATGTCGAACTGGTGTTAGGCGTTTTGTGCACCGACTTGGAGTGATTGCTGCTGTGCGAGAGGATGTTGAACGAGTTGTAGTCACCCCAGTTGTTGTTGGTGCTGTATCCAAGCGGGTCGGGCTCTCCGATCATCGAGTCCATCATCGACGAGGCCGTTGAGTTGCCAAATATGTTCAACGTCGCAGACATGCTGGCGTCCAGTCCGGTGTTTCTGTTCTCGTTGTTCGCCACACCTGATTGCTTCGGGGTCTCGTCCGCCCACGGGTCGGCGGCATCATAGCTCATCGGATCGATTGTGTCTTGACTGGCAGCAGACACTTTCAATTGCCCTCCCAGAGAACCTGTGCCCGTTGGCATCCTCATGATTACTCGTGGCTTTCACCTTGTTGCCTTCTCCCAATGACACGCCTCTGGCCGCGTATGTGACTGGTGGCCTTCCCTTTCTGGGCATGTCTATCTAATTACCTGTTTATGTTTACCTGTTTATTCCATAATACTACTCTTTATACACAGCAAAGGGCTCCTGCTCAAGCTTTGGCGTCCACCGGTGGTACTCTGCTTCCGTTGCGACTGGTCTCTCGGCCTGCGTGGTGACCCGGAAAGCGTGCCGGATGTCGTTGGAGTCCCAGTCAAAGGTCGCCGTGTGCACAAGTCGGCGATTGTCCCAAATAACGACAGTTTCCTCGTCCCAGCGGACCCGGACGTGTGCGTCCAGGCAGCTTTCTATGCGATGCAGCAGAAACATTAGGAGGGAGTCGGATTCCTCCATCTTCAGCCCCACAATCTTCCTCGAAAAAGACTTGTTGATGAAAAGACATTTCCTGCGCAAGACAGGATGGTATCTCACGAGGGGGTGAACCGAGTCGACGGACTCCTTCCGAACAACGCCGCCTTTGCTTGCAGAAACAGAGGTGAGGTCTTTCGAGGTCGTAAAGACCCTCAGACGCTGGATGAGTTCTTGCATCAGGGGACTGAGACGCTCGTACGCCTCGATCGTATCAATAAACTGTGTATCTCCACCCACGCCGGTCTGTAGCATAGTGAAGATGGTGATTCCCGGCGGCTGCCGCTCGTACGACACGTCTGAGTGCCAGATCAACGCATTCAGCCGGTCAGACATCATGTTCTTCTGCTCGCTGGCGCCGCCTCTGCGAAACGTGGTGTGGAACACACTCTGGCCAAGCGGGGATCCCGAGGTCGGATGGACGTGCAGGGGCCCAAAGTGGGTAGCCCATTTCTTGATGAATTCAAAGCTCTGGCTCTTGAAGTCTTGGCCTCTAAAAGCCACAACACCTCGTTGTTCTACAAGCAACGCCAGGTCGTCCTTTTGGGTTGCAGTCAGCTCACTCAATTGAAGCCCCTTCACCACAGAGCCCAGCTTTGGACTGAGTCTCTCGTGCTCAACCCCAGTAACCGATAGCAAAGACTCGAATGTCGGATCCCCAAACAACGCTCTGTCCACGTGAATGAATGGCTTGGGATTCTCAAACTTCAGCTCCTGTCTCCGATCCCACACTGGCGCCCATTGGGGGTACTTCAACCTTGCCCTGTCATCGGCAGATATGGTTAGTACTGGGTCCTGTTGGCCTACTGGGTCGCCGTCAGTATCCTCCTTCCGGAACTGCGACGAATATGTGTTGTCTCTCCGGCCTAGAGCAGACATTTGCTTTCTCTTTCTTTCCACTCTCTCCCTCGTCACATCAAGCCTTTATTCACACGGTTATGCAAGCAGTAAATCAAGGTAGCATATCCCCGTGTCTGCTCTACCATCCTCTCATTATATAGATCTGGGCCCCTTATCAGAGCCACAAGCCTGCAGCTGTGGCGAGCGGAAAGAAAACGGTGCAATATCGTTCGATAAGGTTGGAGCGAGTGTCGGGATCTTCAACACGCCTGTTCCACCAGTTCACAAGCGGAATGTGGTGTGAGTGCATAACAACTACCAACACCATCCAACAGATCCCGTGGCTGTATCTTCTAAGCATAGCGTCACACTACCTTTTGGTTCAAAACGATTTTTTAGGTGCTGTATTAGAGCAGTTCAAAGCAGTTTACCACCACCATCTACATACAGATCAGTCAGTAGTATACAAAAAAATATATCCACCGGATCACACACGTTACTAGATAAGATCCAAGGATGACTGAAACTTTAGAAGTAAAAAAGGTTGCCATCATTGGTGGTGGTCCTGGCGGATTGACCGTGTTAAACGAGTTACTTCATACCGGCAAGGATGGAAAGAGCACTATCGTGAGTCCCACATCCAATTCCAGCTATCCGGCCGACCCAGCATTTGACGAGATTGTTGTGTTCGAACAGAACGATAGAATTGGTGGTGTTTGGTCTTATTCGAAGGAGGTCGACCCGCCTTTTCCTGCAGACGTGGAGAACTACTCCAAACCAGAGTCGTTAAGACCGCATTTGACAGATGCTGCACTGAAAGACTTGGAAGCAGCAAATGCGGATCATCCTATTGTTATTCCGGCGAGAGTTGATTTGGCCAAGAAGTACGAGAAGCGCTGGAATAAAAGTGCAGTGTACGATCATCTTTTCACAAATATTCCAAACTTTCTCATGAGGTTCTCGACTAGTTTTGGAAATGATATCCATTTAGACAAAAACTCGAAAGTCTACGAGCCTTTTGCCACTCATCAAAATGTTCTCAATTATTTGAACGATTATGTGCAAGAATACGACATGCTCAAGTATGTGCGTTTCAATACTTCAGTTGAAAAGGTCTACAAAAAGGGTAAAAAGTGGTATGTTTCGGTCTGCAAGTACTGCAAAACAACCAACACATTTGAGTATTACACAGAAACCTTTGACGCTGTTGTTGTTTCAATTGGTCGTTTCAACGTTCCTTTTTTTCCAAAAATAGAAGGCTTACACGACTTTGATCAAGCTCATCCAGGGGTTATTAGTCACTCCAAATCGTTTAGAAGTACAGAACATTTGAAAGGGAAAAAGGTCATGATTGTTGGTAGTAGTGTCAGCGCACTGGACATTGCCCAGTACTTGATTCCTATATGTGATTTTCATATTTCAAGCAACACTCATTCGGCGGCTGTCGATGGGAAATCGGATGAAATTGTGCGTCCAAAGAAAGACTGGGTTGAAAAAGTCTTTTCAGATGACAACGTGAAGTGGACCAAGCATGGAAGAATTTCCCGTTTTCATAGCAATACAGTGGAGTTCGAAGATGGTACTACGGAAACTGGATTTGATTCCATACTGTTTTGTACCGGGTATCACCTTTACTATCCCTTTTTGGATATAGCAGAAAACAAGGGTAAGGAATACATTTCCATCTCTTCCGGCTTTGACGGGAATCCCAATTACGCAATGAATAAGGTTGACAATCTTTACCTTTACACTTTTACTATTTCAGACCCAACGTTATGTCATACCGGTATTGCGCATAATCCGTTGTTCTTTTTGACCTCTGAGGCTAACGCTATTGCAATTGCAGGTGTTTGGTCAAATAGCAAAAAGTTACCTCCAGTGGAAGTACAAAGAGAATTTATCAATAATAGATTCAAGGGTAAAAAGTTTGGATTCCAAGTTTATGATGAAACCACAATTAGAGACTTGATTACAAGCTGTTATGCTTTAGGTCCTGAAAACCGGTTTGATTTCTTACCTTATATTCGTGATGGTGAGATTCGAAGTTCAAAAGAGGTTTTATGTGATTTGTTCTATAAATTCTCCAAGGGAGAATTGGATGAATTTGACAAATCCATACAATATAACGATCAATAGATCTCTCATTTGTATCTATATATAACTTATTAAAAAAAATGATTTACCTTCACTAATCAAAAAAGTCTACTTTATTAGCGGTTTCCAGAGGTAAAGGATTGAACAAAAAGATGTTACACACTGGCTATAACTGCAGAATTGGAGGTAATAACTTATTTTTTTCAACATCATCCCAAAAGCTAGCCAAGACTTCTCTGGTCTGGCTACCATAAGCAGTTCTACCGTGGTATGTTTGGTAATTATCCACAAAGACAATATCTCCTGGCTCAAATTTATACTCGAAGCACAACTCTATCGACTGGTCTAGCATATAGTCCAAATATTTCATTGGAATCTCTTCACCATCATCATAGGTGATCGGAGGATCAACAGAACTTGGATCAGAGGCGTGTTTCAATTCGTGTTTATATTTCTGGTGGTAGGTTGGCAAAGAACTGAACAAAACAGGCTTTTTTGTGTAAGGATGAATACGCATTGGCTGAGTATGTTCGTTTAACTTCAACCCATTGTCTGAGGTCCACTCAAAATCTTCCACAACTTTCTCTGTGCAGACTTTGGCAGCTTTTGCCTTTTGCGTCTCTAGGTCGTCCCCATCTTCAATGAGTTTACCGAAAGAATGTGTTGCCTTCCACGAGTATGTCAATCCGTCGCCTAGGTCTTTTTCGTAAGGCCAGGTCTGGGTTAAATATATGCCTTTTTCCAACGTTTTTCTGACAAACTCGGGATATTTTTCGTTTACCTTGTCAAACAGTTCCCCGCCATGGGTTAGGGTCTCATTTCCCCCATTTTCCGCAGGTACCTTAGCGAAAAAGGTTAGGATGGATGGGTACTGCTTGAATCTAGAAAACTCTTGGTGGGCGTACAACCTTTTGAAACCAGTCGATTTGTTAACAGTGGTGACGTTTTTCGCAATATTCTGTCTTGGATGAGCAACGCCGTTCTGCTCGTACTGAACCAATTCTGATCCTTTGGCCAATTGGTCCACAAACGTTGCAAAATTTTCAGGATTTGTTGAGCCTAGTCCCTTGATGGCTAAAGCACCGTGTTTCCGAACTAGCTTTTTGAAGTAGTCATGTTGAGAAGAAAGTTCGTACACAAACTTGCCAATGCTGCTGTAAAGGCTCTTATCGTCCTCCTTTACGCAGTTACCTTCCAAGTCCGTGAACGTTAGCTTCAAGGCCACAGGGAAGTCAACACCTCTAACTACCCTGCCACCGGGCAGCGCCACCTTGGAGAATTTGATTACTGTTCCGTTGTAGATACCAGTAACTTCTGGACTGCCCTCTTGGTAGGACTCAATCCCTTCAAAAACCGTCATTGTCTTTGTGTCTGCTAGTGTGAGCAGAATTTACCTTGTATTCTGCGACTCTTCAAATGCCACTCTTGAACAAGTGCAATGTCTGCTATTTCAATTTCTTATATAGAAAGGAGTCACTTCACGGAAATGTTTCCGCTGTGGATATGCCATTAATCACAGCCACCTCCACGTTAGTGTTTCGGAACACCCCTCTCTGTCTTCCACCGGGCCACACACGCTTGCATACACAATGGCCAAGACCCGTCAGTTGTCAGTGGATTGTCCAGCCGTCATCAGCCCGGCGTGGCTGTGGTACCTTATCGCACGCTTTTTTTCACGAGGTCTGCGGAATTCAGTACTCGAAATGCCGCTGTGGGACTTCTTGTTGCTCAAGATAAGGCTTGGGGAACGGAATACAGGACCTATACCGAGCTGTGGCCTTACCACCGACCAGTGTAGGACCCGTGAAAGTGGTGGCAGAGGAGCTGGAGGCGCTGATAGCTCTAGGTAGCGGACGTGACAGTAAATAGTTTGCCGACACTCGGAAAGTACATTCCGCAAAACCAGTCAGCGGGTTATCTCTTGGTTGCTCCGCCCGCCGCAAAAGATAACAAGTGACAGGGTAAGTCTGCGTTCTAGTTATAGAGTCAAAAATTCAAATCCCATAATTTCTGGAGATCTGCTACAGCCTCTCTTATCTACCCCTCTGTTGTTTACTTTCAAATCGATCTACACTCTTAGTCTTTCGCATTCGAATCTTCAAGGGAGTTCTGGCTGAAAATATATAAGGATCCACGTCTCTCTGTCAGACAGCACAAATACCCCGTACTCTAGTCTTCCATCAAAACCGTTTTTTTTCCGGGCAAGACCAGTTTTACATCCTACCACACCCCACCCGCTAGCCACAAAAGCCACAATTTGTGTCACATTGTTGAACTTTTTTTCACGGTGCACGGCTATAGTATTCAGCTTTATCTTATTGAGCTGGGATTCTATCTCCGGAGTATAAATATAAGCACAGGAACCTCTGATCTGGAGCTGTTGTGTCATTAAAGTAAAGAATCGAAGATGAGATCCGAGTCTACCACAAGCAGCGTAAACGCCATCGAGATCAACGTTGCCACTAAAGGACAGATGGATTCGAAGTCAGAAGAAATATCTACCCAGGAGAATGAAATATTGATCACATCAAAAAAGAAGCTGGATGTTGTTCTCCAATTTATGGAGGAGAATGAGCCTAATTGTCCAGAGTTCACTCCCGAACAGGACAAGAAGCTTTTTTGGAAACTATGCAGAAGAGTCATCGTCATGATGTGTGCCATCAACCTCTTACTTTTCATGGATAAGAACGCGATTGGTTATTCCAAGTTACTTGGTATGTGGCAAGACACTCATATTACCTCAGCGCAGTATAGTAACATCAACTCCATTTATTACGCCGGTTACTTGATAGGCCAGATTCCAGGCCATCTTCTTTTCCAGAGATTCGGTATCAAGTACTATATGACGGGTGCCGTTTTCCTCTGGACTGTTTTGATGTTTGTTCAGCTTGCTGCTAAGAGCTATGGCGATGTTGCTGCAATCAGGTTCTTTTTGGGTTTGACCGAAAGTTCTGTCACTCCTGCAATCGAACACACGATGTCTATGTTCTTTACTCCTGACGAACAAGCATACATCAATCCCATTTTTTGGATTAGTACCGTCGGTGTTGGTATTCCAACCGGTTTCCTATCCTATGGAGTTTTACACTACAAAGGCTCATTGCACCCTTGGAAGTTGTATTGGATCATCAACGGTGCCTTGACAGCAGTGTTAGTGGTATGGATCTTTTTGGATTATCCTTCTAACCCGATCAGCTACAAAGCGTTTACAATTGAGGAGAGAGTACAGATCATCCGGAGAATTAAGCAGAAGAGTAGATCGTCTGTTGAAGATCGGACTTTCAAAAAGTCTCAACTATTTGAAGCACTGAAGGACCCATTGAGCTACCTGTTTGCATTTTTTGCGTTCTTCTCTATGCTTGCCAACAACATGAACTTTCAACAACAAATCATCTATACCTCTCTCGGCGTCTCCAGGTTGAACACGAACTTGGTCACCGTGGCTCAGGCAGGCTACAGTACTGTTGTCTTCTGCATCGGTACTTTTTTTATGACAAAGTGGAAAGATTCATTGGCGTACCTCTCTGTGATATATAATATTCCAGCAATTGTGGGTGGAATATTGGCAGTTTCGCTACCATGGTCAAACAAGGTTGGCATTCTTGCCGGCTGCATCATCGTCCACTCTGACGGTTTTGGCTACATCTGTGGACTCTGCTGGTCGCAGAGTTCCGCCGCAGGCTATACCAAAAAATTGGTCAGAACCACCATGTTCATGATAGCCTACGGTGTTGCTAACATTGTTGCTCCTCAGCTATGGGTAACAGGTGGTAATAGATATTACCATGCTTGGATTGTTCAAATAGTTCTTGCTTGGGTTGGAAGCTCTGCCATTCTCTTGACTATACGTTACATCCTAGCGAAGCGGAACAAGGAAAGAAAGGAGCACTTAGTCTTCGATGAAAAAGGAAATGTTGTCTCTTCAGCTGTTGCCTACATTGATGGCGATGACGAAGAGGGCAAAAGGAAGGTTGACATCTCCATGTTGGATTTGACTGATCTACAGAACAAAGAATTTATTTATCCACTATAAATAGCAGGTTTAGTTAGCATCTTATTTTTTACTAGGCTTCCACATTATCTTCCTAGGTAGCTTTTCTCTCTATATACTTCAGCAACAATTATATTTAATACCTAACGTCAAACTCTTGTATTGGTCGCCTCTTTGCCGACCACCCATACCTTCCCACAGTTTAGCCACTTATCTGGGATTTCTTGCCCCCGTATTGAGTAATTCCAAAGATACCTCAACAAGGAAGCAAAAAAAAGCGTAGTGGGCCGATCGGCCCAAAAATGCCACAGTTTCTCCAGCGGAGAACAAGTTTCCAGATTCCGCCGTCGGTGTCCCGAGGAAATAACAGATAAGGAACTGTGTGGCTGGCACATGATAATCGGAATCTTTTCATATAGATCATAGTATCCGGAAGAGCTGATGTTAGATGAAGAGATTAGCGTGAGTGTATGCAAACGAGCAATAAAGTATTAGTCGCTAGCAGGAGAGCATGAAGAAGGCCGCAGATGATGCGTTGGTTGAGTCAACTGACAGCGAAACACCAGCTGTGAAACGAAGAAAAGCAGTGTTCAGTTGCGACCGATGTAAGACCCGAAAAAGAAAATGTGTCAGATTCATCAACAATGATGAAGGAGAAAAGACGTCAACTTTTGATATAGTATATCCGTGTGAAGAATGCATCCAATCGAAATCGATATGCCATACTTATCTAGGTCAGAGGAAGCAGACGACGCTGAAGAAGCTGTCTTTGACAGAAAGCGCTTTGACCAAAGACTGCGTGGGACAAGACTCGGAAGCAAAGATGAAGGAGCTGGAAATCAAGTGCCAGTACCTAGTAAGCTTGCTCAAGCAGGTCTCTCCAGATATCAAAACCGACCTTTTTCAGGATGATGATACGTCGCCCCTATCTGTTGCGTCGACGTCCTCGTCGGATCAGAGTTCTCTGGCTCTCGAACTGCATAGTAAGCCACACAAACTTCCTGGAGCTATGCAGATGGAAGAGATCAAAGAATTTTCTTCCCCGATTGATGAAAGGAAAAGTTTGAGCCATGATGACTATATAGGCCCCCTAGGATCGTCAACCTTGCATGAAACCGTCATCGGTTTGATAGGTAGTCCTGGCTCACTGAGATCCTCTTCTACAGACTTAACTCACTCCGTAACCGGAGAAAACCTGCTGCTTGGAAATGACATGCGCCTGAAGTTTTATGATAACAACCAGTTAGTCTATTCAATCCCAAGGCAGGAGGCCGACCTATATGTTTGCGAATTTTTCGATCGAATCCATTTAATCTGCAACTGCATAGATAAGGAGGAGTTTGTCCGAATATATGAGTTGTTCTGGCTACTTCTCAAGCATGAAGACTTGCGGTCAATAAATTCTACCTTGTTTTTGTCATCGACGCAGATTTGCACGATATATTTGATTTGGATCTTGGGAAAGAGGTTCAAACACCGTGATGATATGTCGTTGAGTGATACATACATGAGCATCATACAAACGACTCTATCTGAGATTATATTGCGACCATCAGAAGCTGGGATTCAGATGGCGATTTTATTTTCTCTATATTTAGAGTCTACACATTCTAGAGAGAGCGCTTGGATAGTAATCGAGACTGCAGTCACCCAGGCTATTTCTATAGGAATGAACAAAGTCAAAAGTAGTAGTGTGAGAGATATAGATGAGAAAAACAAGGGCTACTCGAAAATTTGGTGTACACTTTTTGCGCAAGAAGTCCGGTTGAGTAATGTGATGGGTAGGCAAAGTTCAATAGATTTTACCGAGGCTGACGTTAGACTCCCCAAGTTCCAGCAACTAAAGTATTCCAACTTACCCAAATACTGGGTTCAGCAGATCAACTCTGAAGAATATCAGCTCTACTTCAACAAGTACTATGAGCTAAATAAGATTTTTCACGAATTTTTGAGATACAGATCATCAGTGATGGAAGGTACTTCAATATATACTATATCAAGTATCAAGAAGGCATGGGAGCTGAGAAGCAAATTTCATGCATGGATAAATGGGCTTCCGCCGACTTTGAAGAATATATTCGATAAACCCCCAACAAGCATTTTCAACTACCAAGTTTATTTGCACTTGACGTACCACTACTACTTTATCAATTTGGGACTACCTTTTTTGATGTTGATTCTTAGAATTATGCAATCTGAAAGGCATATCAAGTTGAAGAAAACTGACCCAATATTTGTTTTAGCTATTTCTGCTATTAGCTGTTCAAAACAGTTGTTTACTATCATCAATTTTGAGTTTGAGAAAGACCTTTTCAATGGATCTGTCTACAATGATATTTATATATTATATCATAGCACCTTGATTTTCACTATTGCGATTGTTGTGGTGTCTAATAAAAACGCAGAATCAATTTTAGATCTCAAATATCTAGAGGCAAAGAAAAATGTTTCGAAGGAAAAGATCTGGCACATTATATCTAAGATTGGTGAATTAAACAAAAAGCTGCAGCCTCTTACATCTGGCTCCAACCGGGAGGTGTCTCAAAACATTGAAATGTTAGTTGAAAATGTCTCCCACTTTCTAGCCTATGATAGAGCTGATGGTAAGGGCGATATTCAGGCGCTCGATCAGTCGCCCGTGCATACTCCTAACTCCAAGCCCTTTAACAACAAGTTAGACAGTTTATTCCATACAATGAATATGAACACGGACGAGCTTTGGAAGATGATAAACTGGGACTGGAATTCATATGAAGGAGGCGACGTACTATTTAAAGAGTTCAACGAATTAGATAGCTATTTCAAGTGCTAGTCACAAATCTGTGAAGTTATCTTCTTTTTTACATTCTACAGTAATTTATATACCAGATTTTTAGACAATGGCAATAGCTTTTCTATTCTACTTCTTTTCCGAATATGGCGGAAGTGCAATTGCGCCTTTTTGCTCGGTGAGACGGATATAGCACTCTGGACGTCTGTGTCTTGCAAAATCAAACATTTTCTGCTTGCCGATAATGGTTTCATCGAGGTCAATTTCACGGACTAGAACGTCATCATCCTCAATTACCGACTGCACCACTGTTCTCCCTGTTGGATCAACAATTAGGGACCCTGCAAGAAGATTCTGACCCTCTTCATTTCCACACTTGCCCACACTCACGGCGTAGCATGAGTTGAAATATGCGTTGGATTGCACAGATAGATCACTGTGATATTGTCTCAGAGTTTTATCCTCCTTGTCGCCAAACAAACCCACTGCATTTGCAACAGAATTGTATCCAATCAGCATCAGATCCATCCCCTGCAACGCGTAAGATCTCCAGGCCTCTGGCCACCTTCTATCATTACAAATAAGCATCCCGACAGTTGCATCGATCCACTCTGGGTTTGTCCTGACCGCCTGGAATCCTAGATTTCCGTATTCAAAGTACCTTTTCTCCAGTTGTTGGAAGGGGATATCTGCAATTGGCTCGACGAACCCCGGTAAGTGGACTTTCCGGTATTTGTGAACTATCTCACCGCGGTTGTCAACAAGAATAGACGTATTGAAATGGTGACCATCTTCTGTCAGCTCTGCGTAACCCAAGTAAAAGCCGATTCCATTATGTTTTGCCAGATCAAACAAAGGCTTGCATGGTCCCTTGGTAATATCACCCTTTTCAAAATAGCTGTCGACCTCTTCCTGGCTGTCAATCAGCCACTTTGGGAAAAAAGTGGTCAATGTCAACTCAGGAAAAACAGCCAACGTAGCCTTCTTGTTTGCTGCCTCTTGAAGTAGCCCACACAGCCTCTCAACAACGTCTTCCCTCTTTGCAGTTCTTGCAATTGGTCCAACTTGAATTGCAGCGATCTTGAATTTCCGTACTCCTGCCATTGTCTTGCTGTTTGAGTTGCGTAGTTCTCTCACAGGAAAGTTGAGAAGACAGTCTACATTATTTCTGCAAAGTTACAGCAAAAACAAGAATGAAAGAAGATTAAATACATCGGAGACTGCACTCGATTTTGTACGAACGGCTGGTAGAAATGCCGACATTCCCTTATCAAAACCGAAACCGGTGAACTGGACCGACTTTTCCGAACATCCTTTTTGTCTGCGCTTGGGTTTCCCGTAAGTCTTTTCTTGGCAAGAGGGAGCCATTAGCACCATGGTCTCTGCACTTGCTGTGAGCACCAGCACGCTGCAGTCTGCGTCTTTGCATCTCTCTTTTCTCCATATGCAGTTTCGATAAGGGTATCCACTGGCACTTAGAAGTGGTCGGATAACGTAAGCTGGACGACCTCGGGTGAGTGCTGTAGCGACTCCGATTTTCTGGCCCGCTTTCCTGCCGTTGCAGATAGACGGTGGTCAAGGCCGTTAGTTTTCAGGCCGTTGTTTCTTCTTCGTGGTTGTAAGTGTTTCTCCTTTCGTTGAGAACAGCCAGGTCTTCTGAATCTTCCAGACATACAGCTAGCAAAAATGGTCACGCGTGTCACTTGGGAACAGTTAAACAAAGCCGGTAACAATTTATTGTCTCCGTCTTCGGTCAGTAACGGTCGTGTGTTCACCTCGGGGTGTTTGGGAACCGACGCTGAAGGAAAAATGCCTGAAAGCGTGGCAGAACAGACGAAGAACGCCATCGAAAGCTTAGGCGAGGTTTTGAAGGCCAGTGGCTCGTCCTTCGACGACGTGGTGAAGGTGTTACTTTTCGTGGGAGACGCTTCTTACGTCTCAGAGGTCAACCAAATCTACAGCAAATACTTCACCTTGAGACCAGCACGTTCCTGTGTTGTGGTTGGCTTCCCAAATCCCCATGTCAAGGTTGAGATTGAGTGTGTGGCAGAGGTTTCAAGTCTGGCTGCAAAACTCTAATCTCCGTCTCCTATAACCTTTAATCTGGATTTGATGCTGTATAGCTAGTATAGACCTGTATATTTCGAATACGAAAGTCTTTCCAGAAAATCCACCAAACAAACCACCTTCTACGAAGCTCGGAAAGTGGCAAGTATTCTCCAGAGAACCCGTGTGCGCCATCTGTGTATCTCGCGGCGACCGGAGATCTTGTAGACGTTTCCCGTCCTGCGATAAGGATGGTCTGCATATTCTCTCATGGACGTTTACGCATTCGTTTAAAACCTCCAGGCGTTCCCCAAACGTGGAATATGGCTTTGATTGTAACCATGTAAAACCTGGACTTCTTTTTTGCTATATTTATTGGCTCCTATTTTGACACAAGAAAGATGTCTTACGACCTAGTGATTTACAACGGAAGGATAGTCACAGCTTCGGACATTCTGCCCTCCTCGATATATATTGGTATAAACAATGGGATCATAGAGACATTAACCACTTCCAAACTTTCTGGTAAAAGGGAGATCGACGCAGAAGGTGGGTACATTATGCCTGGTGGTGTGGATTCTCACGTCCATATTGACCAGGATAATGCTCCGGCTGGCGATAACTTCGAGTCTGGTTCAAGGTCAGCTGTTGCCGGCGGCACTACAACTATTATTCCTTTTGCAATCCAGCCTAAAAAGGAATACGATTTGTTGAAGGTCGTCGAGGAATACCATCAGAGAGCAAACAAACATGGGGGATCGTACTGCGACTATGGTTTCCACTTAATCATATCGGAACCAACCCCAGAAATGTTGGAGAAAACTTTTCCTGCAGTTTGCAATAAGGAGGCAATCACCTCAGTCAAGGTCTACACGACATACCCAAGATACAAGCTCTCAGACGAGCAGTTGTTGCAGATTTTTCTGACCAACAGGAAAAATAATGTAACGACCATGGTGCACGCAGAGAATTCGGACATCATAGACTTCATAAACAACAAACTGATGTCCAAGAAGATGACCGACCCATTCTTCCACACTGTATCTCGACCACAGCTAGCCGAAGATGAGGCGTCATACCGTGCAATTTCCCTGGCCAAGGTCATTGACGTCCCCATGCTCATTGTTCACATGTCATGTGAGTCGGCGCTGGACCACGTCAAGAAAGCACAGACAGATCTATTGCCGATATTTGCGGAAACCTGTCCGCAGTACCTCTTTCTCACTGGTGACTACCTAAAGCACGACTGTTGCCATCATTCTAGTCAAGGTGACGAATTCCAGGGTGCTAAATACATTTGTTCTCCGCCATTACGTGCAACCCAGCAAGACTTAGAGGCAGTGTGGAAAAACCTCATCAACGGCACTGTCACTGTTTTCAGTAGTGATCACGCTCCCTCCAATTATGACCACCCTTTGGGCAAGAAAAAAGGCTTGGTCAACGGCATCCCACACTTCAAAGATGTCCCGAATGGCTTGCCTGGTATAGAAACAAGATTGCCATTGCTGTTCTGTTACGGAGTCGAAAAGGGCAGGATTACCCCGCAAAAGTTTGTCGAGTTGACCGCCACAAACCCAGCAAAACTCTACGGCCTCAGTGAAACGAAGGGCACAATTGGAGTTGGTCTAGACGCAGACTTCACCATTTGGTACCCGGAGGGGAAGATGGAAAGGTTCTCCCTCACAAATGACATGCTTCATCACAGCATTGATTACACCCCTTATGAGGGTATGGAATTCACCAACTGGCCAAGGTACACGATTTTGAGAGGCAACGTGTGTTTCGACAGAGACAACGGGGGTGTCGTTGGCGACAAGGTCGGCAACTATCTAAGAAGAAAAGGGAGTGTTTTGGCTGGGTCCAGAGCAAAACTGAATCCCATTTTTCAGTAGTTGCTGGCTGCTTTCTTTCCACACTTTATAGCATTAGAATAACAGTTTTCCCTTTATGGAGGTTGCCGACACCATACATGCGGCGCAAAGCCAACTCCGTGAGTAAAGCGCCCATCGGCTGTCAAGCTGCTTAGCGGCAACAGCTTTCTGAACCGCTTGTTGAGGAGAGATAAGCCCGCATGCTCCCAATCAGGCAAGTGTAGACACCAAGCTTTCTGGGGTACAGGGGCACCACTCTGAAATAATAGTGTGTGTTGCTTGTAGGCAGTTGATGGATAGGAAGGCCAAAAACCCTTGGCGGCTGTGACCACAACCGCTTATCTCATTCTTGTGTTAGTCATAGATTAGCAATGGAGCGGACTGGTTCTAACTGCGAGCTCAAAATATAAAAAGAGCTTGAATTTTTGCCCATCAGCAAATTGAAAAGCATTCCATCATGGTCACTTACAAGAGGTTTCTTTAGAACATCAGCTGACAATAGAATGGGAGAAATTGAGATTCGTGACATTGTCGAGTCGGACTACGAAGAATGGTTGAGGTTATTTGAATTGTACTTAGTATTTTACGAGAAGTCACTCCCAACTGAGATCAAGGAGGCGACATTCAAACGAGCACTCGACCCCAGTGTTGACATGTGGTCGTCGCTAGCAATCCATCCGGAAACTAAGAAGCCTATCGGCTTGGTGAACTACTTGAGACACATGTCCACCTGGTCCGTCACCGACCAGCTTTACTTAAACGATCTATACGTCGAGGAGGGTCAACGCTTGAAACACGTGGGAAGAAATTTAATCGAATATGTCTATGCAAAAGGTGATGCCATGGGTGCCCCTAATGTCTACTGGTGTACTGACATGACCAACCATAGAGCCCAGTTGTTGTATACTAAGGTTGGCTGGTACTCTGGAAAGGTGATCTACAAAAGACCACCAGGCTCCTACTAATGTTGGTGCCGTAGGTGGCGGCTTGAACAGAAAGAGAGATATCTAAATTTGTGATAGGTCTAATTTCCTGGCTGGTGGTTAGCAGATAAGTTTTTGCAGCATTCCAGGAGATATTGGAATCGAGTTTTATAGCCTAGTGTCTTTTTATTCTAATGTGTAAGGTGAAGAACAATGCCGTTCAGACGTCCAAGTGATTTTTGGTCACTAAAAGTGCCGCGACATTGGTTTTGTTGCACCGTTGTATACGTTAATTAGTTATCGAAAGATGATGTAAAAAGGGGTGGAGGTTTACGGGGTAAACATAAAAGCTGGGGTTGATCATTGTTCTGTCATACAAATGAGATGACAGCAGGAAAGCAGAATGCTGCAAATGAGACTTGGAAAGGCATCTTCTGATATTTTTGTAAAATATACTCGAAAATTTAACCAACGTTTCAAATAATCTAGAAATGTAATTTTTGAAAATTAGAGAAAAACTCAGCCACAGGCACTTACGACGCTTCGAAGCACAAATTGGATGAATCATACAAAAAATTCGCAATAAAATGGACTAGAATATAAAAAAATTGGTTAGCTGTATCTTTTAAGGTTAAGTGCACGAGTTTCTGAACCATTTCAAAACATACACCACATCAAAGTGAGTCTAGAATAATAGGATTTGGATTGAGTGGGAGGATCACTCAAGCCGTTGGGTTACACTTGTCAACAAGCTTAGACACCTCATGCTTGTTATCGAGGGCTAGCCCTTTGATAACCCCGTCAATGTCCTGTCTCTTCATCTTCTGCTCGTACTTGAACTTGCTTTCAATTCGGGTAATCTTGATCTCGATGCCGCAGATCGACTTCTGCAGTAGATCAACGTAGCTTTTGGGCGCCTCATCGACAGCCCAAGACTTAGTCCTGTTCTTTTCTTGTTGGCCCGTAAGGTGGTCTAGCTGCTTACGAACCCACTCACCATCATCGATGACTCTGACCTTGCCATAACAGTGAACTGCCCCGAAATCCCAGGTAGGAACCACCTTGTGTGTCTCCTCCTTGGTAGCGTAGTATGAAGGAGTGATGTACGAGTCGGAGGCCTTGAAAATTACAAGAATTTCCGTACCTTCCTTCTTCAAAGCTGGTAGTTGGGGGTTCACCTTGGCAACGTGTGCCTGCAAATACTTGACGCCTGTTTCTTCATCCACAGACAAGAAGAACGGAATGTGGTTTGCAACCAAGCCATCTTCACCATATGTGATAATGGTGCCTAGAGGGTTGGACCTAATCAATTCCTCTTGAACCGCCCAATCTTTTTCGAGATATTTTGCTGGAATGTACATCGAAAGTTAAGTTATACCCTTAGTGAGTACAGTTTTGTACAGCAAGCAGAAGCAGCAGAACTTTAAAGAATAAATGCAGCTTTGCAAAGTCCTGTGACTCTCGTCCGCTTGCTTCTGTAGCATCTGTCCAAGTCTTGTGTGTCCATTTCAGCTTTGTTATTCCGCTGCTGACCAACCCGGCCATCGTGGCTTGCAATAGATAAGCGCTTCGGTCGCCACCACTTGCCTTTTTCGGAAGACTAGGCGAGAAGCCTCGGTCGTTTTCCGTTGCTCTTGCGGTACCGATCTGTCTCTATTGTTTCTGGTTTTAATACAAGAACAATGTTGCTTATCTATTTGCAAAAAAAGAGTACGTGTCGTTTCAAAGCATAGTAGGTACCTGAGGCCAAAATCTCTTTTGGCACTGGATAAAATGTTCAGCGGGATAGGAAGGTGATGTCAGTGCCTTTTTCACAATGAAACACCAGTGCACAACAACGAGCAAACGGTCCGTCTTTGAAACTAACACCTGAGCAATCGACTTCCACGTCTCAAAAGCAAGGAGAAGTAGGAACTGCAAGCACTACTACCATGTATATTCAATCAGTTCAGATGGCAAATGTTCTGCGCCTACATCTTTCTTCGAGGCTCTATTGACAAGGCTGCCAATAGTGGGGCGTTTTCATTAAGTCCTTCCTCCAATCTCTCACGGATTTGATTTGTGGGAGGTAGCTTTGTTGAAGAAACGATTTCAAAACAATGTGCTGATAGAAGCCACCTTGAAGTGGAGCGGACTATTCCCCGCATCGGGCAACTATTGTGTGTGAATGGCCGGCCCTGCCGAAAACAGATAATTGTCCGCGCTGTCGGCAGTCTTCTGTCTCCGGCTCGGACATAATGCTCCATTTCAACGGACTTATGTCTTCGGCTTACTGCCCCATGGGGCAAACGCATACATTGGTTATGATCAAAGTATAGCCAGTTGTGATGCGTGAAGAAGGAAGGGATATGGTTTCAACTTTTGTTTGCTCAATTATAAATAGAGACTGTTGTCCGCAACTTCGGAGAGAAACCCATGCCAGGATTCATGGATCTGATTACACAAAAAAAATTTAACTATATCAAACTATAGCACAAAACACACACAGATAATCATGAAGGTAGTTTTATTCGGATCAAGAGGTAACGTTACCAAGCCACTTACGCAAATTTTACTGTCAAAGGGCGTTGACACAACAGTGATCACACGGTCAGCAGAAAACGGGAAAGCAATCGAGACAGACGGCGCCAAAGCTGCTGTTGGATCCACCGAAGATGTCGAATTCTTGACCAAGACGTTCCAGGGCGCTGATGCCGTTTTTATTCTGGTTCCTGCAAACCTTTTTTTGCCAAATACATTGGAGAATATGGCTTCTGTATGCACAAAAGCGTGTGATGCCATATTGAGTGCTGGGGTTCCAAATGTTGTTTACCTGAGCTCTGTTGGCGCTTTCAATCCAAAAATCGGTTTCCACTACCAGAATGAGCAAATTTTGAAGAGAAAGCTTTCTGGTGTCCCTAGTGTTTCTTTGGTTAGACCAACTGGATTCTTCACAAACTTTTACCATAACATCGGAACCATAAAAAAGGACAACGCGGTTTACTTCAACGTAGAAAGAGAAACGGTCGAGTCGTATGTCCATCCGGCAGATATTGCTCAGGCATGCGCAGACTTGATCCTCACTCCTCCTACAGATGAGAAGTTCAAGATGATCTACGTTGAGAGCGATCATGCCAAGGCGGCAGATATCGAGAAGATGATTCATGATGCCTTGAATATTGATGTTAAATGGGTTACCGTGTCAGATGAAGCTGCATTGCAAGGCGCCACCAGCATTGGTTTACCGAAGGAAAACGCCGAGTTACTCACCAATCTTTACTCTAAGGTATATCAAGGTGAAATGCTGGACGACATCAAGAAGCATGGTTCGGTTATTGGTACACACAAACTTGCCGATTTCTTCAAGACAGACTTCGCAGCTCAGTTTTCTAAATGAGTTTATACTGTTATACTGTTATTCGCCTCTATATGAAGCCTTTATGTATTGATCAATCTAGAACACGGTTTTGAGGACTTAGTCGGGCGTGCGCTTCGTCAATAACATAGAAACCAAGTATAAATCCTCCCCCTTGGACCCTGAGTGTGGAAACAAACTTCACTTCAGCGTCAACTGAAAATTTCCAAGAATATCGAACCGGACGGGACATTGCGAAATTTATATGAATCATCTCTGACCTATATTTCATAGTCAAAAAGATTAGCACTGTTATCTGAAAACAGTGCATCTAGACTTGGGAAAGTGTTTGAGGTCATGAATATGGGAGGCCCTCCAAAAGAGTCCTCTCTAGAAGCCACATAATCGTTGTCTGTAAAAACAACACCATTCTCGTCTGCCGCTTCGAAAATATCGATGTCATCATGCTTTTGAGTTTCAAAACTGTCAGCGTCTTCTCCCTTTTGATTTGCCAACATATCAATGTTTTGGAATGGATCAAAATTTTCAAGCTCTCCATCTATATCTATTTTGTAATCCTCGGTAAGCCTTTGCTTAGTAAGCTCAAAAGCCTTTTCACTTAAGCCCCAAATGACTGAACACTTTTGTAGAGTCATCGTGAAAAGTAGCAGTTCATATTTATAGATCCCGTTTTCGGTTAAAGATTTGGCCGTAGCACCTTCTGCGGATCTAAGAATCACTGAAATAGAAATCACGCAACAGTAAGTTATCAATGTTGAGCACTTACCAAATCCGTAAGTTTGAACAAATTTTCTTATTACAATTGCTAGGTCAGATATAGCGTTCGAACAGATTCTTGAGAAATTGTACTGATAATTAGGAAAATTCTCAGTGCTTTTGAGATTCAAAAAAGGCCTATTAAGGCAAAGAAGTACAATATAGTATAATAGCTTGAATGTTAGTTTTGTAGGATCACTCCCCAGCTTTTCTAAATCAGCTCTGTTCCATAATAATTCTGTAGGCAAATCCTTTCTCCATTTTAAAATCTTTGAGTTATATTTTTTTACTACTATTAGTTTCTCATGGAGCTCAACGCTCTTTTTCTTCCTATTAGTTTGCTTATCGTTGAAAACCTCTTTCAGCATACTCTCCGTAAGATCCATCAGACTTACTGTTGCTCTGAGAGGATCGCCGATCTTGAGTACTTTAACTCTTTTTCGATCTTTATCTTGAAAAGAGTATTCATGCATCCAATCAATGTCAGGTAGCTCAATGGTTTCTTCGATTGTGCTATCATTCATTTTCAAGGATGAAGGTCTGCCTAACAAGAGACCAATCAAATGATCAACTAAGTATGTTCCCCAAAAAATGCGACTTCGAATCTTGTTACCCAAAGCGCCTTTGGCATTATCCGACATTAGATCTGTGGGGCTTAGTTGAAGTCCAATGGAATAACCCATGCGCATGGCTATTCCGGACATAAACCATCCACTTTCATTCCTTCCATTGTATATCTCGTACAACCCTAACAATAAAAAACTCTGCAACAAAGAAATAGACGGTTTGTAATAATTATGGAAACATAGTTCTCTGGCTTTTTGAAAAAATTTAAACGAGATACTTTTTCTTGAAGGATTGTCCGTAAGTAAGCAGCCAAATGAACATATTGCAAATATAAGCTCCTTCGAGCAATAGGAAGAGTTTGTTTTCGCATGAAAAAAGTCGAGCAAGAAAGCCTCTCTGAATATAAATATATGTATATCTGGATATTGCCACGTAAAAAATAGCTTAATGTAATGCACCACTTTTGGATCTCTGTTCAGCTTATAATAGTCCTCTGCTTCTTGATTGTTGGTAATTCTTGAAAGAGATATGGTGTCAAATATACTAGTTGGACCGTATACCGAAAGGAACTTGTTATCGAATGCTTTGAAGCTGACAGGAGTGGGGTATTTTTCCACCAAGCTTACTTCATTTCCTAAAATGCTAGGTCGTGGTTCTGCCGAGACGACAGATGCTGAAATGCTGCTCGTGTTGGGATCCTGGTTTTCATTCGGTACCACTTCCGCATAATTATTTAGCCTTTCCTCTACCTCATTATCCTGTGTAGCATTCAGACTGCTAATGGATCTTCCACTGAATGAGTGGCTCAAATTCGATAGCTCTTTCATCACACTTGCAATATCTACAAGTTGGTTAGATATTCGCATGTGCTCTTCTTCATACATTTTTAGTTTTGACTCAAGTTTATGCATGTACTCCGATTCTGATCTCTCTTTCCTTTTATCAGTTGTTGATTTCACACATTGCATTCCAAGCATTGAGCATGCGTTGCACGGGAACCGCTCATTGATGTTACACTTTACCTTCCGTTTTCGACATGATAAGCAAGCCAGCACGCCTTTCTTCTTAGCAACTCTCCCAGAGTCTGACTCGCCCATGGCTAATCTTCCTTACTTCCATTGTGCATCTTAGACCTTGCCGATAAGCTTTTGAAGTATAACATTTTACCACAGCTTTGGCTTCTGTTCCGCGTGAGCAAAAAACCGTTGCGCTCAACAACAGGACTGGATCAAATAGCCAGGTCACGAGGAATTGTGGTAGTTTTTGCAAATTTGCATTTAATAGGTGGAAATTGTGCTAGAAATTATACAAAACATTCAATACATAAAGGCTGAGTATAATTATTGCTATTTTCTCAATTATCTACTTTACTCAACAGAAAAAATGTAAACATTAGATTAATTGTAAACTTCTTCGAAAGAAATTTTAATAATTGCTAGAGCTTCGTCAACCTCGTTCTCAGTGATGGAAATCGGTGGCGCCATTCTGAAGACTCCACCGAAGGCTTTGACTGCAATAAGGTTTGCATTCAGCCCATGTTTCATCATAACTTTTGCCAATGCAGCTGCCATTTCTGGATCGCTCTCTTTAGTGGCCCGATCTTTGACAATTTCCAAGCCAATCATCAAGCCCATTTGTCTGACATCACCAATAGCCTTGAAAGAGTCCATCATCTTAAGTAAGCCATCGCCAAGCTGCTTACCTCTTGCTTTTGAGTTGGCAACCAAGCTGTCCCGGATAACAATATCCAAGACTTTTGAACCGACTGCAGCTGGAATTGGGTCATTGATATGTGTAGTATAAAACAAAAAGTCTCTTTCTCTGCTTCTGTCATCGATCTCTTTACTCGTAATTATTGCAGAAAGTGGCAAACCATTTCCCAAAGTCTTACTTAAACATAAGATGTCTGGTATGACGCCCATTTCCTCTATTGCAAACATACTACCACATCTGCCAACCCCTGTTTGGGCCTCATCCACAATTAACAGCATTCCTCTCTTTTCACAATGTTTCTTCATCTCCTGCAAATAGCCATTTGGCAGTATAAGCATTCCTCCAGAAGACATAACAGGCTCGATTATGACACATGCCAACGAACCTGTACTTTGAGCATCCACTAAAGACCAGCCGTAATCTAGTTCAGTTTTCCAATCATATGTTCCGTCAGGATTTCTGAAGATCGACCGGTAACTATTAGGACTTGGCAAAACCAAAGCTCCAGGGGTCATAGGACCATGCCCAGTTCTTCCCGCCTGGTAAGTACAGGCATTTGCGGCAGCCGTCATACCGTGCCATGAAAGTGATAAACCGACTACTTCAAATTTCCCCGTTACGCATTTAGCCAATTTGATAGCATACTCGTTTGACTCACCTCCAGTACTCAAGAAAGCAACTCTGTCGAGTCCATCAGGTAATAGGTTTGTCAACTTCTCTGCTAGGTCGACAACTGGAGGACTAATCATACCAGAGAGAGTGTGGTCAAGAGTGGCTGCACTTTCGGCAATCGTCTTGTTGATTTCAGGATGGCAATGACCAACTAGGCAGGACATCTGTCCAGAGGTAAAGTCAAGAATTTTTTTTCCTTCATTGGTGTACACGTAGACTCCTTCGGATCGTACAATTATCTCCTGAACAAACTGTGCACCAAAATATGCAAGCTTATTGTTTGCAACTTGCCAGAACTTTTTCGAATCAATTTCTCCAACTGTCATTTTCCACTACTAGAGGCTATTGTTTCAATCAAGCTAAAAAAAGCAAAAAGTGTATACTGAAGTTTTTTTGTGCTGGATAAAGATGGTGTGTTCTTCTTATACGATTGGCAATAGAGTTTCTCTAATACCATAGTCTCGGAGAACATCTCCGAATATTTGCACTCGGCCCTAGCTCACGGAGAATATACTCCGAGTCGCTGTGCGTCAACCGGAAAAAATCTCCGTTGGCCTTAGCAGAAGGGTATCTTACTCAAGCTACAAAACAAGAGTTGCGCATTATGCAGCCGAAATTATCTTAGGTTTTGAAGATTTGGCATGAGCTTGTGTAGCTTATCTCAGCTACAAAGAAAATGTTTTACCTTTATCAAGCCCGAAATCTACAACTGGGCCAACGAGGTGCTGATTTTCGGGCCCAAGATTGTCTCTCATTGAGAGGCTAAATTACTTTGAACGCAATGCATGCCTGCTGCAGGGTGCTATTTCTATAACTTGTTTTGATACGTTGATGTGTATCTAAACAGCTGCTCACTCTTGTGATTCAATTAGAAGCTTTACTGCAAGGGATATGATGTGAAAAGTCGCCAATCTAGAGTAGTCACCAGTTATGGAGACTTGTCCAGATCTCAAGGCAGCATGAAATTTAAGAATTTTTCATTTTTGGAATCCCGTTGTTATCTTACCATTTTCCTTATCTAAGCGATAAGCAAAATAATCTCCTGCGTCGGATTCTATTCTCCGACGCGCATAAACGCAATTTCGGACTTTCGATAAACAATTCTCTTAAGGTAGTAGTAAACACCACAAGAAGGCTGAAGGATGGTGGTCCATATCACAAAAGCTTAAATAACTGTCTATTCTCTGTTGTTAACATAATTCCCAATGACACACACACCTTTTTCTTCAGTGGTACTCTTGATATGACACAAACATTGAGCTTGTGAAGTGTGTATAGCCTTGCACACAGAAAGATATCCGAGAATATGACAATCTCCTATACTGATGAGAAGCATCAAAAAGATCCGTCTGTGACTGAGTACGAGGATGAGATCCAGCTTGGTACCGTCCTTTCCGAATCAGGCCAAGAGTTTGAAATCCATGGTAATTTGAAAGAAATGGATCAGGCTCTGGAGCTTGCTATGAATAACGACGATTTCATTTTCACCGAAGAAGAAGACACTAAGCTGCTTCGCAAAATCGACCTTGTTCTTATGCCTTTTGTTTCGTTTCTTTATTCATTATTTTACATCGACAAAGCTTCCAATGGATGGGCAGCAGTTATGGGTATCAGAAAAGATATGAATATGAAGGGTATAATGTACAGCTGGACAGGTTCCGCTTTCTATCTTGGCTACCTTGTATATCAGCCGCTTGCCTCCCTTTCACTCCAAAAGTTTCCTCTTGTGACCTGTTTCTCTGTTTATATGTTTTCTTGGGCTGTGATAATCTGTCTACAAGCAACAAATCATAGTTACCCAGCGTTCACCTTTTTGCGGACACTATTAGGATGTTCTGAAGCATCTGCTTCAGTTTTCACTACACTTTTGACCTCCCAGTACTACAGGAAAAAGGAAGCATTCCTTAGGGTATCCTTCTGGCTTGCAACTTCCGGATTTGGTGTTTTTTTTGGGAACATGATGGCTTATGGTATTGCCATTAGAAGCGAAAGTTTTTCTATTGCTGCTTGGAAGGTCCTGTTTATTGTAATTGGGTTGATCTCTTTTGTCGTTGCTGTTATTCTTCATTTCCATGTTCCAAACACACCCGCTACCGCTTGGTTTTTGAATGAAAGGGAGAAAAGGATTGTTGTTGAAAGAATAAGAGAAAACTACCAAGGTTTTGGTACAAAGGTCTGGAAAAAGCATCAATTTTTTGAGGCAGTACTAGATATCAAAACTTGGGTGTTTTTCATTTACGCAGTGGCTTTCAATATTCCAAATTCAGCCTTAGCCTCCTTTGGTTCTATTCTTTTAAGCACTGATTTTGGCTACTCAAGTACCGATGCTTTACTTTATGGTGCCCCACAGGGTGTTGTTGAGTTTCTGTGTCTACCTGCTATTGCTTATGCCATTCAAAAGTTTAACCTGCCTAGGTTGTTGAGCACGGCAGTCGTGATTACCATTTGTATCACCTTTGCTTGCATGTTGGCCTTCGGAAAGAATAGTGGAACCAAATTGGCAGGTTATTATCTTCTTTATTTGATGCAAATTGGGCCAATTGGTAGCTTTTCCTACTTTGCGTCAAATGTTCCCGGTTACACCAAAAAGATTACAGTTACTTCCGTTTATCTCGTTGGTTACTGTGTTGGTTCTTTAGTTGGACCTCAAACCTTTGCCACCAAGGATGCCCCTCATTATACTCCAGCAAAAATAGCAATTGTTGTGTGCATTTGTGTTGCAGCTGGCTGTTTCTACACTCTATGGCTTATATGTTATATGGAAAATAAGGCCAGAGACAAAAAGGCAATCGATCTAGGTGATAAATACTGTGCTCCAAAAAATATTGAGTTTAGCGATTTGACTTCAACAGAAAACATCTACTTTAGATATACCCTTTAAAAATGTGCCACCACTAACTTCTAAAGCTGATCTCTTTCTTTTGCTGTTGCAAATACTTTGTTTTTTGAAAATTCTTCAAGGTTTTTAAATCATTTGTAGGATTAACAGCTATCTTTTGTACTTCAAAACTCTCACACTCCGGGTAACTCTAACAAAGAATAGAACTTACTCACTACTTCTTTGAAATAAGTAGATCTTTTCCAGCAGATCGATTATAAAACATCATGTAGAATATCTCAAAATATAAGTAAAGGCCAGAAAATCCGGTGAAGCCAGTCGGAGAACATGTCCGTAATTTGCACTCTGACATGACTTTGCGCGGGGAACAATCACCGATATCTTATCTTTTGACCGTGCGAGGGTTCGAGTAATTATTATCTTCTGCAAGATGTCCTAGGTTGTTTAGCCCACATATAAATGTAACTTTGCATCTTTGCAAAGTTCAACTATCACCTTGAACCCTAAGTTTGCAATGTCCTAAATTTACAATGCTAGATATACTCATTTCTTGTGTTCAATAAATCGGCTTAGTAGAAAAAATGAGGATAGTTGAGTTCCTTCTCACCCTTTTGATCATCCCCTTGGTACACTCCATTAGTTTTTGGGGGCTTTCTCCTGAAATTTATCAAAAAATCTCATCAAAAAAAGAAGACACTGACTTGATTTCCAGCAAGAAGATCACTAAGAGATGGGATGTTGTTAATCTTTTAAAGGAGATGACAAAAGTAGAATCTGAGGTCGGGTATGAGTATCAAGCTATGCATTGGTTGAAAGATATACTCGAAGAACAAGGTTTGACTGTTGAATTACAAATAGTGGAAGATTCTGACCACAGTAATACTGGTCTTGCTCGGCATAATTTGTATGCATATATGGGAACCGTAAGAAACACCAAAATCTTGTTATCCGCCCATATTGATACTAATCCTGAAGGTCGTATTCCGTACCATGAAATTGGAGAGGAGATTCATGCAAGAGGTGCTTGTGATGCCAAAGGTTCAGCGGCCGGGCAGATTGTAGCCTTTTTTGAACTTTGGGATGAAGGAAAGATAGAAGAAGGTGACGTGTCGCTACTTTTCGTTATTGGAGAAGAGTATAACGGTATTGGAATGAAAACGGCCGTTGAAAGTTTGAACGCTACATGGTATTCTGCTGCCGTACTAGGCGAGCCAACAGAAAACAAATTGAGTAAAGGGCATAAAGGTAACTTTAGGTTTGATATTGAGGCTTGGGGAAAAAAGAGTCACTCTGGATATCCAGAGCTTGGTTTCAGTGCAATTGAATTTTTGGTTCGCAAACTCAACATTCTCCTGGATTCAGAGCTTCCTTCTTCGGATTTGTTAGGTCCAACAACCGTAAATATCGGAACCATCAAAGGAGGAGATTCTGCCAATATTATCCCGAGCTATGCCAAAGCAGAAATGTATATTCGTGTTGCGGGCAACAGCTCAGAAATAAAAAACTATGTGGAGGATCTTTTCAACACGGAACATTCAAAAATTACAATTGTTCAATTTTTAGATCCACAATATTTATCTTTCGATGTTCCAGGATTTGAGCTAATTGCTTGTTCCTATGCCACAGACATGCCGTATTTAGAATCAATCAGCATCAAAAAGTATCTTTACGGTCCTGGAAGCATTTCAGTCGCTCACACTCAGGCCGAATATGTGACAGTATCCGAATTATATGATTCGGTTGTTGGATATAAGAAAATTGTAGAATTTAATCTCTAGTTTCATTGCTATAGCACTAGACTCCTTTCTTTAGTTATGGCGCACTTATTAATATCTTATGCTATCAGCACTCAAATTATTTTATAAATTAAAAATTTAAAGCATGTGATCTCTTTTCACCTTATGCTAACATTGTGGCTGAAGCTTCTCAAAACTGCAAATCTTCCATATACAAAGTCCATAGGTCTGAACAATTTTCCATGCTTAGCCAGTCAAGGTCCCAATTCATCGAAGATGACATTTCTTGCCGGCACTGTTCCCCTCTAGGTTGTTCAGATTCAAAACATTCTAAAAGCTTTCTTCTCTCAGAGTAAAAATAGTCGTCCACCTTGCTATTGCAAGTATCATTTACCGGACCCGAAACGTTAGCAATATCCAATACTTCACGTTTCATTTGTTCAAAAAGAGTGATTATAAGAGCCGAAACACCTTTTTTTGTTGCTAAATCAAAAATCTTTTCAGTTTGCATCAAAATTTTATTGTAATATAATCCAATCCCAAGGAATGATTTATAATGTAAGAGGTAATCATTGCAATATCCGTAGTATATCCCTGCATCCTTGAAATCTGAATCATAGTAAGGAAAGTGTTTAATATAGGATAGTATTGATGCTGCTGTTAACGCTATAAAACCATTAAATGTTGCAGCTGTATTTCCCATTTTGTCTTGATATATCCAGAATGATCGACACGTTTTTGGCAGCTTCAAAAACTGAAGTCGCCGATTGCTGCCACCAGCCTGAAGGAGCTTCACTCAACCATGGTAGTTTGTCATATGGGCCTTTGGCTCCGTCAGTGTCGCTAGGAATGAAAGGTATAAATTCTCTGTGAATTAGTATTCCCGAAATCATTAATGTTAAATGCATTGAGCAGTATATATTGCCTTTGCCTGATACAAAGGATAAGACCAAATTGCTGTAGCTGAATTTTTCTTTTTCCCCTAAAGCATCGTGAAATGATTGTATTTTTTGCTCTAGTTTGTTCCATGCACTATTCGGATCCCAAGGAGCCTCCTTGTAAAAAAATTTACCCCCTTTTACCAACCAAGCCAAACAATCTATCCAGACTTCTGAAGACATGATCAACAACGATGTTAAGTTATGATTTTTTCCATTGGTTATACTGCTGACATAAACTGGGCTTTCAGCATTTTCAGAAGTGCATTGGGGATCTTCTATTGGAAGTCTAAACTTATGAAGCCTTGATTTCACAACTTCAATCGATTCTTCTCGTAACGATAACGTTATCAATTGATAAGACCATATCGTTCTCAAACATAATTCGTTGTTGGATATTGAGTCATTTTCCAAACTCAGATCGAATAAAGTCTTATATGCTCTTTCAGCGATCCCCCCTACTAAATAGCCCTTGTATGTTTTTCCTTTTTGCCAGTTGATTATCAGTAATATTATTGAACACTGCATGATGAGAACAGTATCTGCTTTATTGTCTTCCAAAATGGACATAAATTGTGTTTCTAAATTTATATATCTTTCCTTCTTCTCCTTTTCTGTCAGCGTCTTATCAAACAGTGAAGCTAGCGTGTTCATCGAGAGTATAAGAAGGGTGTCCATCGTGTCAAGCTCTTCTCTGGAAGAATATGAGTTTAAAAAAAACAGTTCAGGATAGTGTTGGAGAGCAAATTCGATTGATTTTTTTAGCTCCAGCTTATTGCTACCCGTGCTTATTTTTCTTTTAGTTCCGGGACCTCTTACTTGCGAGTACTCTTTTGTTGTGTAAAGAACGCAGTTATCCACATTGCCAATATTTCGACAATGATTGCATGGTGGTTTTCCTTGGTGCACACATTTGACTTTTCTCTGACGACAAACAATGCAAGCTGTAGAGACTCTCATGGTTTGAAAGGCATTTGAGTGTACTGTTGTCCTCAGCAAACAAGGGCTTCAAGGAACAGCCTCAATGACGACGATAAGAAAAAGTTGTGAAAAAAGTGTTCAATAAACCGCACGCTCATCAGGAAAGTTGGATTGTATTTTTTGACTAATTTCTTAAGACTTACGTGGGGCAAATACTTACATCGAGCAAAATACTCTGTAGTGTATACACGACTTTCAATGCTACTTTTTACACAAACTTATAAGCTTTCTATGAATTTGATAGTAGTGGATACTGCCTCATTTATAGCCGTAGGCTTAGAGCCTTTACCAAGGGCGTGGAGACCGCCGTCCACCAATCTGCTGTATGGTGACCACATTCCTGGAGTAGTGGCAGCTTGAAATCTCTTCATAATCAGCTCCTTATCGACAAACTCTGGCACATACTCATCAGAAGCACTATACAAAACCAATAAAGGTTTATCAAATTTGCCATATGTCGATCTTAAATCGTCGTCAGTCAAATACGAAGAGAAATAATCATCATCTCCATTTTTAGAGTACAAAGAGTACCATCTGTAGGCATTGATTGGAGTGTCAAAGAAATTTACCGTGTATTTGTGTGGCATCAATTCTTTAGGGTGTCCCTCATCAATGTACTTCTTGGCCAATGCATTGGCTTCCTCAATCAAATCAATCGACATTAGCAAATACGCTGCCTCTCTGTCGGATATCCCTGCTTGTAGAATACCAAAATCTAGCTCTATGTAATCTTGATCCCTCTTTGCTCTAGTAAAGTAGTAAATGGTGTTCTGACAACCCGTTGAGTGGCCCATGATACCTAACTTCTTTCTAGAGCCACCCTCTTCAGACTTGAGAAATTTGACTAGACTGGAAATCTCAGAGTTGTCTCGTTCCAAGCTACCGGTACCCCATCCAATGCTTGAACTTGTGAACTCTATTTGGATCAACGACCATCCTATCTTGTTTAGGGCCGCAGAAAGTGCTTGTAAGTATGGAACAGTCGCAAGTCTGTCACCGAGACCGGCAACAAAGATTAATACATTTTGCGATTGCAAATTTCCAAACTCAAAACAAAACTGCTTTGGTAAGTACTCCAGTAAAGTTCCTTCTATAGCAACCATTAAGTTTGCGTATTCTACTGTGTTAGAGAAGTAATGACAAGGATAGAAAAATCGGTTTTTAGTTACTCAACTTGTGAATTTGAATTGAAGGAAAAAGTGGCAATATAAACGTTTTAATATTTTCAACAAACTGTCAGTTCCTCAAGAAGTACAGCATAATTGCCGATGGCATTTTCAAAGGATACAATTAATACGTATAATAGCTCTGCTTCCTCAATCATTTGCGAAAACTGTAACCAGATGCGATCAATCCCGCATACCCAATGTAAATTTCTAATCTTTCACGATCTTTCGCGATCTTTCGCGAGAGACAGGCCACACATTGTAAAAAGAGACAAAGTCTCAATCTCCTTTATCTACTTGCACAAGATCAAAAGCGCTTGCGAGCTGACTGTTTTATATAAGGACAGTGAATCTCGGAGCAGAGACACGGCTTTAGGAAAATGAAGGTTTCGGTAAGACAGAGATTGATATATACATTCCTCTGTTATGATATGAACGTTTCTTTTACTAATTTTATTACACAGACTTGCATAGTTACGTTAAGATGAGTGATGCAACTAAAGAAAAGTTCGAGGTTAACGTTGACTCTATCCATCACACTTCCAATACAGATACAATTGATGGTGATGATATCAATGACCTTTGGAAGTTGGAAGAGCCTGACATTCACACGAGAATGTTTTATGCACAGAGATCTATAGAAACCCAGTATGATTATGTTTCCCAAGGTTCAAGACTATTCAAGTTCTGGAATGACATGATTTACAGAAGTTTGAAAATAGAGAGCTTAAACGATAACGGCAAGGAGTATCCCAAATGGGTTAACAACAATTTATCTATGAGAACTGCCCACTGGATTGTTTGCGTAGGTTTAGTCACTTCGGAGATAATGGGTGCCTACTTAGTGCCCAATTCACTGTCAATGTTAGGTTACGTTCCTTCTAACATTATGTTGGTAGTATGCTGTTTTGTCACGCTTCTTGCCGGTGGCGTAATCTGGTGGGTGTTTTTATTGTTTGATTCTCCAGAATACCCTGTGAAAACGTTTGCCGATTTAGCTTACGTTGTGGGAGGGACTCCATGCAAACAAGCAGTGATTTTTCTTCAATTGATTGCAACTTTATTAAGTTCAGCAACAATTTTGATTAGTGCTGCCGAATGTGTGATTATTTTAAGAACGGACCGAATGTGTTGGGTTGGATTGATGGTATTGTTATCTGGTGTCATGATGATCTGTAGTTTCATGAAAACTCTAAGCAATATCGGTAAATACTGCTTGGTTGTTTCTGCATGTAATTATGTGAACTTGTTTGTCCAACTAGGATTTATCGGTAATTCAGAGCCAAATTGGGCAAATGCAGAGAGTATTTTGGGTATTCCTGCAGGTACAGTTGCTACTTATGCTTTTGCTCCAGGCCAAAGCTTAATGAATAAAGTTGTTGCAGTGACCAATATTTCATTTGTTTTTGCAGGTTCAATTGTTTTCCCTGAAGTAATTTCTGAAATGAGAAGACCTTGGGAGTTTTGGAAAAGTATGCTTGTGGCTCAAAGTATCATTCTTGTTGTCTATTTGGTATACGGAAACTACATTTATGCAAACCAGGGGCAATTTTCAAACTCTCCAGCTGTTTTTGGCGTGAGTAACATTAGTGCTCTCAAAGGATTAGCTTTCATGACATTTGTTACAGGTTTCATACAAAACATCTTTTATGGGCATATTTCATGCAAGATAGTCTACAAGAACTACATGCCATTGATAAGTAAAACTATTAGATTTGAATCAAAACGTGGTATTATCTTTTGGTCGCTAACGGTTTTTATTGTTTGGGTCATTATCTTTGTCATTGGTGCCGGTGTTCCTCAAGTTAGTGCCGTTTCGGCATTCACCTCTTCATTGACAATGATTCCATTGACGTATGTCATTCCATTTGCTCTTCACCTTTTTTCGCTTTACCGTTCAGCAAATGAAAACTACATTGAGGATTTTGTACCACACCAGTCTAACGTTGGTGATACCAGTGTCGTGGAGTATCTCAGACGTGGATACAAGAAATATCCTTTACTAACAATTTTTTACACTACCTTATGCCTTTCTTCATTGGCCTTCTCGGGCTTAGGGCTCTGGGCTTCAGTTGAGTATATCAAATATATATTCGATGTCACCGACGCGACGTCTTTTTCGTGCACTTCTCCGATATGAGAGATTGATTATACGAAATCAAGTTTTAGATTATTTCAGCTATTCCTTTATCAGATTTATGATTTGGAGCTTAGCTTTTTACTGCTTTTTTAATTAGAATCTAGGTCGATTAATAAACTAAAAAACATTTCTACAACGTAAATAAAATAAAATCAAAGAATTAAGAATAAGTAAAGTGGCTATTGAATTTGAGTAAAGCTTGAAGAAGTTCTGTATTTAATTGGTTTCATCAAGTGAGTTTAGATTTTTGAAAGATTCAAAGGCACCATTTTTTTCCAAGTCTTCTTCTGGATTGAGTGCCTTTTCGTTTTTGAAATACTGTCTCTTACTGTACTTCCATAACTCTGCTGTAACCAAGAAAAGAAGTGTGCAAATAAACGCCCATGCCCAGCCTGTTGATATTCCTTTTTGCAAAAACACATAATCGTTGATTACAGGAATATAGATGGTGGGAATTAGTGTTATGAAACCTAGGATAACGGACCAGAACAAAAATTGATTGTCCCATAAATCTTTTAGCCATTGAATCTTTGGATTTGGAGATTGTGGGTGCATTAAAAATAATGATCTTCTTGTGTGAATGACTTCCCAAGCTAAAATCAATGCACACCAGGTCATTGTCACAAATGAGGCGGCTCTTGCCCTAAAAACATGTGTGCATGTAGATGCGTAGTCTGTTCTGTTGCAATTCTCTCCCAATTCTCCATTACCGTAGCCGTAAACTTCAATAATGAATGGAATCATACAAGCACCAGCCATGGCAATTCCATAAACGAACATATCAATGACAACTTCCCAAGTGAATACAGATTGTTTGGCATCTTTAGGAGGACGGTCCATAACATCTTCAGCTGCTCTTTCGACACCTAATCCCATGGCTGGGAAACAGGAGGTAACAACGATGACCCATAAAACTTGCACTGGTGATAGTGGAAAAACTGAAAAGTCATCATCATCTTTAAAAACCAAACCAATTAAAAGAAACAAAGCTTGGGCAACATTACATGCAAGAAGTTGAATAACGAATTTCTGAATATTATCACTCATTCTTCTACCTTCTTCAACGGCATTTAAAATTGAAGCAAAATTATCATCTGCTAGAACAATATCCGAGGCATCCTTGGCGACGTCCGAACCATTTTTACCCATAGCAATTCCAATATCTGAAATTTTCAAAGAAGGAGAATCATTAACACCGTCACCGGTCATTGCAACAATCTGTCCTCTTCTGTGAAGTGCATCAACCAATCTGACCTTTGTTTGAGGTGCACATCTTGCAATAACAAGTGGTAGAACAGGTAATAAATCTATCTGATCATTAGATAGACTATCAAATTGTGGAGCAGTCATAACCATGGAATCGATCACCTTTTGTGAAAACATGTGAACGTTATCTGGCAAAATTCCAACCTCTTTGGCAATAGCGCTTGCAGTTGATGGATGATCACCTGTTGCCATGTGAACCGAAATACCTGCATGATGGCATAACTTGACCGAAGGTAATGACTCGGGTCTAGGTGGGTCGTATATACCAATTAGACCTAGAAAATGCAAATTGTTTTCAACGTGTTCCCGGTCAATCTTCTGCCATTTTTCTTTTAAATTCTGATCATCAGGAGTTTTCCTTGCGAAAGCCAAAACTCTCAAACCTTTCGATGACAAGGCATCCATTTCTTTTTCCAAGTTTTCAATAACCTCATTATTAATTTCCGCTAGCTTCCCTGTTGAAGGGTCTGTCCATGTTGAGCAAATGTTTAAAATCCTTTCTACAGCACCTTTAGTGTAAATGATTTCTTTTCCTTTTTCATCGCCAGAGTTAGTTGCAAAAACTGAACTCATTCTTTTGATGGATGAGTCGAAGGGAAATTCAGCCAAGTAGGTGTATTTGTCACATTCATCAACCAAGTAGTCTCTTCCAAAACCTAAACGTGTGACAAACACCTGGATTGAAACTTCGGTGGGATCACCTCTCGCTTTCCAGTCTTTCATACCAGTGTCATCCGTATCTTCATAGACTTTTGCAACGTTGGCCAAGGAAGCCGTTTCAATCCATGAGTTAAAATCATCCATTTTCTTACTACCGGAAAACTTTTCCTTGAATGCTTCAAATGAAATCCAATCCTTTTCATCATTTTCCTTTAGCTCTAGTGGGGTTGAATCGCAGTATAGGACATTGCCTAAAGTTGGGTTGAACGGTTCATTGAAATCTCTGACTGAAAATGTTCCGACGCTGGGAACGTAAACTTCTTTTGCAATCATACGACCCTGTGTTAGTGTACCTGTCTTGTCAGAACAAATTGCGTTGACTGAGCCCAAGTTCTCCAAGGCATCGAATTTCCTGACAATGACGTTTCTTTTCAACATCTCCTTGGCACCTACTGCCATAGTGATTGTCAACACCACCACCAATGATGAGGGAATCATTGATAAAGCAACACAAATGGCGTAAATTGCCACCTCTTTGGTGACATTGAACTTCTGAGACGCCATCACAACAATAGCGAACACAACGGCAATCCAGAACAAGTAGATTGCCAACCATGATAGCTTTTTCTTCAATGGGGTACCTTCCGCAATGCCAAGAATATAGCCTATGGTGTTCCAGATTGTGTACTTGGCAGCATTCGCATACTCTTTAGGCCCTGCGGTTTCCTTGTCTTCAATCTTCTGGATGATAGTGTTATTACCATGCAAAGCTTTGGCGATTTTGCCAATCTCTGTGTCTAGACCCGTCAAAACTGCTATCCCGACAGCCCTTCCCTTCGAGACTGTCGACGAGGAAAAAGCCAAGTTGAGACGGTCGCCCACAGGGATTACCTGGTTGTATAATTCTTTGGCATCTTTGGCCACCGGCAAAGATTCACCCGTGAGCAAGGCCTCATCGGTTTCAAAGTTGTGGGTTTCAATCAACCTGAGGTCTGCTGGAATGGTGTCTCCAACCTTCACGATGACTAGGTCACCTGGGACGACCTCCTCGGAAGGAATGGTAGACTCCGAGCCATTTCTAATGACCAGGGCCGAGGGAGAGCTCAAGTTCTTCAACGAGCCCATTGTTTTTTCTGCCTTGAACTCCTGCTGCGTGCCAATGGCAACGTTGAGGCCGATGATGAAGGCGATGACACCCCCGGTGATCCAGTCTTTGATTGCAAACGAGATGATCATCGAGATGACCAATACGATGATCATGGCGTTGAAGATCTGCCGCATCAAGATGTTGGCGATGGACACCTTCTGACCGTTCCCGAGGGTGTTTGGGCCATGGCTCTTCAACAGTTCGCTGGCGTAGCCGTTCGATAGGCCGTGGACCTTGTTCGTGTTGAAGATCTCCACGCACTTGGCGATGGGGATCATGTAGCTCTGAGATCCCGCATTCGCCGAGCCCATGTCGGTGGAGATCGAGGAGTTTCTCGAGATGACTTGTTCGTCAAACTCTCTTTTTTCTGATTTGTCGTCACTCATGCTAGTAATGATGATGTTTGGTATTTACAGCGGTCACTACTTGTGAGGGTTATGGTCTATACAGAAGGAAAGAAATAGTATAAGGAAAAACACAGAATCGGTCTAGCCTTCAGGAATGGCAGACCATGGATGCGTGGGGACGGGGAGAAGGAGCGCAATAGAGTGCGAACGTGGCCTACTTATAACTCGCCTGACCCGACTGGCACACGACTCCGGGGAGACTCTTCTCCGCTGGGGGTGCAGGGAAAAAAGAAATGGGGCCCGGCTATTGGCCCACTCTCGGGACCAGCACGGGGCAAAACGTCATCATCGCCGACGTGGCCGACCCCCAAAGATAAAAATAGCCAATTGTTATCAGTACGATTGCCTAAACGGAGCATCCTGGCTCTGTTATTTATGCGGCCGGTCACATGGCGGGGGGCCCGAAGTGTGGCGTGTGGTGGGGGGCTATTGTGCACGCTTGAAACGCCGGCTCCACGTGGCGCAACAGCCGTGTCCGAGACGCAGATCCCGGCAAGGCTTGCGTTTGCGGACAATAGAATTCATGACGTTTGCATAAGAGATTTCCCCGCGCGGCTGCACCTGTGCGGGGTAGATAGACCGAAGAAGCCCCCTGTCGGAGCTCGGTGGCTGAGAAAGGCATCTGCAGATAAGGCTGGGCGAAGGCGGCTCGGCAGGGATGCTGTTACTGTTTGGGGAATGCGGGACGGGGAATGGCACAATCGGAAGAAGCGAGAAGGAGAAGGGTTGAAGAGGGAACTGGGAGTAGGGAAGCTGGGTGTAGTAGATAAGGGGAGAAGACGAGTAGCAAGAATAGTTTCTTTTCCGCTTTTCTTTCGTCGCGCTGCTTCCTCTTGCTCAGCTTGCGGCGTTGTTTGAGCTTCTGGGGTTGCTGCCCACCAATGCGACGATGGTTGGCCTATTTTTCACGGGGTATAATAGAACTGAAAGAAATCTCTTGCTGCACGTGACATGTGGACTCCCATTCAAGGCCGGCATCGAAATTTTCGATGCTTTGTCGCTGCTTGGTATAGAGAATATAAAGATTTTTTGGCTCCTGTCTTGGTATTACTGTGGCCGAGCCGAGCAAGGCGGAGAAATGACAAAGCCGGTGATTAGTAATCATGTCTAATACCGTCAAAACCTACTTGATAGTCAAAAACAATATGAAACTCTCTTTTGTCAATGCAACGAGTGCCTCTTTTTGAACCGGCTTGCTCATACATGCTCCTCCCGCTAGTTCAAAATGATTCAAACAATCGGATTCATCGGAGTTGGCTTGATAGGAAGCAGCCTTGCTCGCTTAGCAGTTGATGCTGGATACAAAGTGGTTTTGAGTAATAGCAGAGAGCCTGCTTCGCTCGAGAGAATGGTGGAACTATTGGGTGGTGAAAATGTTGCCTCAGCTGATACCCCTCAAAATATCTGCAGCAATGACAATATCAAGCTCGTTGTTCTTACTGTACCGCTCAATGTAATTCCATCTTTGATTCCAGCTCTTGGTGGCTTGAAAGACAAGATTGTCGTTGACACCAACAACTATTACCCTCACAGAGACGGTCATGTTGAAGCTCTTGACTCCCGCAAGCTAAACACGGCCGAATATGTTGCCCAGTATCTGGACAAGTCTGCTAAACAAATCAAGGTCTTTAACAACATATGGGCCATTCACATTCAACCTGCTGCAAGCAGGGACTCGACAAACCAAACTTACCTCCCTGTAGCTGGTGATGATGTTGAAGCAAAGGGGCTTGTGAGAGAGTTTGTCAAGAGTATCGGGTTTGGAACTGTCGATGCGGGTTCGCTGAGAGATAGTTGGAAAATTGAACCAAATACTCCCGTTTATTGCAAACCATACGCTCCAGTACTCCCAGAAGGTCTTACGGAACAAGAAGCTGTAAGATATTTTGGATCTCATGCTGCTGCTCCTCTCACTGAAGGCGAGCTTGTGTTGCTGGTAAGCGCCGCAACCGGAAACGAACCGGTGGGTGGGGTATTTGATCCCAACAGCATATCGAGTAGAGCTATGATTAATAACTATGCTCATTAGTTGGTACTTAGCCATGATGTGTTCTGTGTAGGAGACCACTCCCATAAAGTCTCAATAAATTTTGGGCAGCCGTTACTCAAACACTGGGTCTTATTATAGGCTAGAACTTTGAGCTATTAGTCCTTAAGATGTTTCTGAAATAGCTCATCAGTAGTGAAAAGGCAAATTATTTAAACAACTACATATTTTTAAGCACTAAAAAGGTACAATGACACCTGGCTTTCCCATTTAATTTCTTTCTTGGTAAAGCACAAGCTTACCCAATTATCTTCATTCCTAGTAGCTGTTCATTCAAAAAATCCCATGAATGTATCTTGTTCTATGAATTGTGCGCTAGTAGATGTCCGCTTGACCAATGCGTCGAGTTTGTTTGTTCCAAGAAAATCCAAGTTGGCAAAATCAAAGAGGTTCTCAAATTCTTTTAAGTTTTCGTCCTTCAACGAAATTTCATTAAAAACCTCCAGATTTTCCTTGCGATGAGTGTCATGAACGTTTTTCCTTAATTCATCCTGACCAAACAGATCTATTCTACCTCCAACCCTAAAAGTGTTTTTATCATTGCAATCCCGGTCGTTACCTTTATCTTTTTCCTGGACCATTGCAACCAACTTCACAAATATTTCCGAGAATATCCCACAAGTGTAGGCTCTTTGAGCAACGCTAAATAGTACGTCACTACAGCATCGTACACCTTCGCTAATAGAAAAATTCCAAGCAAACTTTCTGGACAACAATCCGTAAACCATCGTAACTCCGCTTAAAAACACTGTCTGAAGCGCAATAAAGGAAAGTCTGGTTTTCGTATTTTGGTACATCCGCTTACTTAATTGGCATACTGTAGATGCAGCTTCTATGCACTCAACGAATAAAGGATCATCCTGCTTCAATTTGCATAAAAATGGCTGCAACAAAAAACGGATTTGCTTGTTGAACAAATAAAGATAGTAATCATACTCTGCACTACTCGATGGAGGTATATCAGATGCCCATTGTTTCATTTTTAATATGATATCGTTTATCTCCTCCCTAGGGATGCTTTCAAACTCAGTGTCAACTCTGTAAATTTTATTTTGTATCTCACTTTCTATTTTTACAAACTTGAAGTGATGAATTGCCTGCATTCTTGATGTTACATTTTTTGATTTGCGATCTTTCAACGTTAAGTAGTATTCTTTTATTAGTAAACTTCCGTCAGTTATTGACTCATCAATATTTATAGGCAGATCAACGTCGATATCAAGATCGGACAAGGTAAATGGCCTTCCAAAGCTGCTAGAAATGGTCCTCTCTAAGGAATATGCAGACCAAAAAGTTAACATTCTCTGCTGGTACACTAAAGGCCTCTGGTGTAAAAGATCAATATTCTTCCTGTGAAATCCAAAACTCACACACAATCTCAACGCAAAACCAATCATATCCCAAATCACTGGACCATTTGGTAATCTTAATTGGTATAAAACAGTCAGTAACATTGAATGAATATTAAGTATCCCCTTGTGCTTAAACACCACAGAAAGATCTAGTTTTATGGCACTAGTAAAAAACACAAAGTCATCATTTTCGTAGGAGGGATTTGACATTCCAGGTTGATTTGTTTTTCGGCTCACCATCATAGAGCCAATCGCATATATCATTAAAAGAATAAAAGAGTTTAACATATCAGTTTTGTTATCGTGGGCTTTACCGCTTTTCAAATAAGATTCTCGATTATTGTGAAGCTCATAGATATCATCTCGTCTCAAAAAAGGATATTTGTTGTGTATTCTTGAAATGTATGTCTCCACAAATTGATTCAGCTTAATTCCATCATATAATAAATCATCTAGTGAGCGAGATACGTACTCGTTCAAGGTTGTACTCTGATATATGTCTTTCTGTATGTTACTAAATTTTAGGGAATCAGCGATTTCCAGCTTCAGATTTTCCTGTAGCAAAGAAGCAATATTCAAACCGGAAGATCCAACATACAAAGGTTCCATGTCGTCTTTCAAAGGAAAAAGAGCAGCACATTTGGTAAGAACGTCAGCTCCTAGATTGGAGTTCCCCTTATTTGCAATCTTTTTGGCATTTTTCAAAACAACTTCCTCTTCATCTTCTTCTTCCTCTTCTTCCTCTTCTTCTTCATTTTCTTCAACAACTGGGCTCTCAGTATACGACTGATCAAAGATAGCTAAACCATTGTCAACTTCTGCATTACCCCCTTTCTCTTGTTTCAGGAGCTGTTCTAAATATTTTATTCTTTTCTCTAGGCTCTTGACATAATATGGGGTTTTCTTCTTACTATATTCACAAGCGACATTTGCTCGTTCGCAGCCTAAGCATGGTTTTCCCGTCGAGAAATTGCCAGTGCATTTCTGCTTTCGTGACTTGCACCTATTACACGCCACCGAATTGACATCTATCCTTGTTCTCCTCCGAATTTTGGCCTTCATCATGAACAGTGAAATGTGTAAAGCTCCAGTTCAATCTGTAGCTTAACTATGAACCACCACATCGACAACATTTGTATTCCACTGCCGACGAAAGAATGGTTTTTTCTTTTATCTCGACTACTCCAATCGGAAACCCTCCGGTGAAAGAAGGCGCGGAGAAAGATAAGAAATCATTTAACAAAAAATTACGTTACTGCTTAACCCGGAAACAATCCTGAAAAGCAAATTATTATATGGAAAAGTAAAAATTAAGTTATACGTTTAAATTTTGAGGTCAGGTGAAATTTCTATTGTCTCAGAAATACTAGACTTTTTGTCCTCAATAACACTAACCTCCTCTTCCAGGATATCTTGACATTTTTCTCCATCTAAAAATCCATCTGTAGGAGCAAATTCCTCAAAGTTGACTGTTTCTTTATCGTAGCCTTCAGGAAAACAAAGAGTCACAGGAAAAAAATAGTTCATTATGGCGTATATGATAAAAGCAATTGAGAATGAAAGTAGAAAGCCCAACTGATAAACGTGAGAGACACCAACTGAAACAGAGCCGGGGTGAATACTATTTGCAACACCAGCAATGGTTGCGCCAACCCCAAAGATCCAAGCAACTATTGCTCTTGGGTTCACTCCAAACTTATTTCCATACCAAAACATAGAACCTTTATTTGGGCAGTAAAAAGAGAGTGTGTGGAAATTTCCCTTTCTAACAAAGTAATAATCGTAAATCATTACTGCAGCAATAGGACAAAGCATAATGGAGTAACTTCCAAGAAAAGCAATAAATCTTGCACCACTTGAAATCATCTTCCAGGGGAAAAACAACGGACACACAAGCCAGCAGAGAAATTGGCCTCTCACAATTGTCATGTATGTTGGAAACATACCAGTTGTGTCAGCTCCCACAGGTAAGCAGTTGGTACCAATATTGACAATCACCAAGGCGAGGATCATACCGAAACTAGCAAATACCATTGCAGTGCGCATGCCTGCAGTCCAGTGGTAATCTAACAGTGCATCATACAAATCCCAAGGGTTCCAAAATGTTTTGCCCAAAAAAACCCTTGCGGCAGATGTTGTTCCGCAACCCAAGAATGTAATCAAAACTTTTGAGAACAAAATTGCAAAAGATTGCACCCATGCTGCATCGCTTGTTTTTCTGGCATATCTAACAACATCACCAGCATTGATAAGAATTGGACAAAGGGCACCCATTATTGAGTTTATACCATAAACGATACCCCATCCAAGCTCTGAGCCGTAAACTCTGCCTGCTGCTAGAGTTTCTGGTGTTCCAAGCCCACCAGCCTTTCTAACACAATACCCAAAAACAGCAAATAAAGTTGTTGTGGTGGTGATTGCCTTGACCGTGTAGAGATGTCTTTGAATAGTTGGATGCATGAAAATCAACGGCAGCTGAATTATCCAAACAATAAAAAATGCAAGTAGCTTGGAGGATGTTACTTCTGCAGATTTCGGTACTGTGTTCCCAATGTTAGCCCACTTGTGGCCAAATATTGCTTTCAACATAACATCCATTAGGTTCCCTGCAAAAAAAGTTTGAACAGCAAAATATATTGATGCCACAGAAACTCTAACAAAGATAAAAAAGTATGAGCCGTACATTCCTGCTGGTGCTCTCACAATCACCGGAAACCCTAGATGATATTCTGAGGATGCTCTAGAATTGATGACCAAGATGATTGATAAAAAAAAACTACCGACTGCAGCACAAATGAGACCATGCCACCAAAGTAAACCCATTTTCACTAATGTTGCACCCAAAGTATATGACGATGGCGTCAATGAAGTAGTGAAATAAAAGAACAAAAAGTTATAAACATTCCACGTTCGCTTTTCAGGTGGGGTAGGTAAAAGATCAGCATTATACCATGCGTGACCTTTCGAATTGGTAGACGTAAGCTTTAGTTTTTGGAAGTAATTTTTCATTTTTTCCACACCCTGTGATGTGATTCGGTTTTGAGACTCAATATGCTCTTTTCATAAAGTAGTTTATTGCGACATACAAAAAAAAATTCAAATGAATTTTGATAGCTATTTAAATAGTATGTTAGTTGAAAGTTTCAAATTTTAAAACTGTCAAGTTGAAATTCTGATAATTATCTAACACAGTAATGCAAGTACCTCGCGTCTTATCAGAAAAAACGAAAACATTCGGAAGAGCTCCGATCGAGGAAGTTTTCAAAGATAAGCGAAACGGGTAACCCAGTTGTTAGTTTTTCGTGCTCCGAAATTTAGGCACCGGCTGGCGCAGTTAACTTTTGAATTTCGCACTGATTGCAGCGAATTGAGTATACTCGCAACTATATTTTAAAAAATTTCTAGTACTCAAATTTTACCGAGTGTTCTCAACTAAATAATTCATTGATCAGAGCAATACTCAAAACAGAATGTAAAACAAGCCTTTTAATTTTTGAGATCTGAAATATGTGTTGAATACATTTAGTGCATCACCTCGATTAATATAGTCTAATCCACCAATATTTTCTTTGCATCACTAGATATGAATATCATTTAAAGTAGCGTAAAATCGTAATCTGTTCATCGAAACGCTGTTAAACTAGTATTCCATTCAGAAAATGATCTCAAAATATACCTTGAGAAAATAATTATTTTTAAGTAGTAAATTACGTGATGATAAAAAATATACCAAATATAATAACTACAACTTCTTCCAGTTATAAGATTGTTCAAAGGCAAAAGCAACCTTGTAAACGGTCAACTCTTCGTACCACCTACCCACAAGCTGGAGAGAAACGGGTAGCTTTACACCACTGTCGTTAAGTGGACCCTCTTGAATTGGTAACATTCCACACGGCATTGCAAATGCTGGGTGGCCGCTTTGATTGAATGGAGCTGTGTTTGAGCTTAGACCAACCTGCTTGCCTAGCAAATCCAGCGGCGTAAGTGCCTTTTTCAAATTGCAATGGGATCTTGCAATAAAAGGAACAGTTGGCATTACCAAAATATCAAATTCAGAAAAAACTTTGTTATAATCATCTTTCAATTTTCTGGATAAATTCTGGCATTTTCCGTACAAAGTAGGAAACTTTTTAACGGCATACATCCCATTGAAGTAGATGTTTTTGGTAGAAGGGTATGCTTGGCTCCAACGTTCTGTCTCATGCATGGATGTCACAAACTTTTCGTTCAAATCATTTAAAGATGTACCACGCCTGCCAACACCACATCCCATTTTTGTCAGATAACCACCAACTTTGGAAATACCACTCCAAATTAAAGGACCTTTTGAGTGAAGTGGAATGCTGACACTCTCTACTGTTGCACCCAATTTTTCCAATTTCTTTACTGCTTCGTAACAGCATTCTTTGACCCTTTCCTCAACCGCAGGATTTTCAAACCCCTCTAGGAGAAGTCCGATCTTAATACCGTCTAGTCTTCTGGGGTTTTCCAAAGCAAGCAGTTTGTCATAATAAGTGTCTCCTTTGATACAAAATCCTCTATCATCTATACCATCGGTCCCTGCAACTGATTGAAGACCTTTCGCATTTGATAAAACAGTTTGGGTCATTATACCTAGGGTATCATTAGTTGCTTCATTGCTAGCACATCCTGTGAAAGGGATCAATCCGAAAGTAGGCTTCATACCACATAATCCACACCAAGCAGATGGAATTCTTACTGAACCTCCCTGATCAGCTCCTATACCTATTTCAATGAATTCTTTTTCATGTGCAACAATCGCTGCAGTTCCAGAAGATGAACCCCCAGTTGAGTAGCCCAACGCCCAAGGGTTGTGGACTACGCCAGTAGCTGCAGAGTGAGAGGTAGCTGAGTGGCAGAGGTTTTCGCAAACAGCTTTACCTTCTATGATAGCTCCTTGCTCCAACAATCTGGTTACTACTGTAGCATCAGTCGACGGAACATAGTCAGTTATGAAATTTGTTCCCAAAAGCATTGGAATGTCAGCAACTGCAACACAATCTTTGACACATACCTTGGCCCCTTCTAACAATTTTCTTGTTCCAAGCAATGGTTGGTAATCCTTGACTGTGAACTTCCAGCCCCAAGCACCGAGTTTATTGTTTTCGGCAGACGGAAAGTGGACGTTTTCTCTAGGAAATCTTTTGTAATCAACAGTCGGCAAATAATCTTCCATTTTCAAGATCTCTTCACAAGAATCATGAAAAACACCAAGGAGAGTGGCATAATCCTTACTATCCTCAAATTTTTCGTCTTCTACTCCTAGTTCTTTTGTTAAAGAAGCGATTGTCTCCGTATTCACAGGATTGCCTTCTTTTACCTCAAATGTGAAAACCGACATTTGTGTTCGATATACCCTTTCGAGATAATGGCTAATTCTTTTTGATCAAGGACTGCATGGTAAAAATTATGCTGCAACAAAAAGTGATGTGTCGAAAGACCGAACACGGGGGTATTTATTGGTTGATGGGTTGATTTTTTTCAGATTTTCGGAGGATGTCCGAGATAAATATAATTTTGAATACCCAATGCAATACTTCAACTTTCCATACGTGGAATATCGGAGCGCGGCAGAAAATTGGCTCGACGCTGATAAACAGATCGGAGGGTCTCCGATAAATGAATCTTGACCTCTTTTAGGTTTGGGTGTAAAGGTAAAGGATTTGCCCGTAATTACTCTGATATCTTAAACAAAAAGCTGGAAAATATAAATGGTGAGGTAGCTGCTCAAATCTTATGGCAAAATTGAAAATGAGCACGTTCCTTAAATTCTCTTCCAAAATGTACAACAAAGAACTACTCTTGTTACTCTTCTGAACTAATCATAATGGACACTATTGGATATGTTCCAGGACCCATGCCAAAATATGAGCCAGAAAGAGATCTTCTTGGTTATGGTGAGAATCCGGTTGATGTTGAGTGGCCTAATGGTGCCAAAATCGCAATTTCGTTCATTCTTAATTACGAAGAAGGTGGTGAGCATAATATTTTGCATGGTGATGATAGATCTGAAGCGTATATCTGGGAGAAAAGTGGTGCAAACACTGAAGTTCTCAATGGTAGACACTTGATGAGCGAAAGTGAATTTGAGTATGGCTCGAGGTCTGGATGCTGGAGATTGATTAGATTGTTTAAAGAGTTTGGATGGCCGATGACTCTATATGCAGTTGGTACTGCGTTCCAGAAGAACCCTGAGTTTGCTCGTGCATGCGTTAGAGATGGTCATGAAATTGCCAATCATGGCTTACGTTGGGTTAACTGGGCAGGACTCGATGACAAAACCCAGATTGAAATGATCAAGCAGGCAATTTTGACCCTTGAAGAGGCGTCAGGCGAAGCACCAGTTGGAGCATATATTGGAAGAGGTAACATCAAAACACCAGAGTTGGTTAAAATTGCGCATGAGCAACTTGGATACCCATTTCTGTGGGAATCGGACTGCTACAATGACGATATCCCTTACTGGAGAGATGCTGAACATGAAAAAGATTTACCACAGGAGGAAAAAAAGGGTTTATTGATGATCCCATACAACTATGTTAATAACGATTACAAATTTGTGGCGTCTTCCCCAGGTCCTGGTTTCCCTGGAGCTTTTGTTTATGAAGATTACTTGAAGAATGAATTCGACCAACTATACAGGGAAGGAGGTAGAATGATGAATATTCCAATGCATTCCAGAATTCTTGGCAAACCGGGAAGAGCTAATGCTTTGAGAAACTTTATGAAGTATATTAGCGAAAAGGAAGGTGTTTGGGTTTGCAACCGCCGTGATATTGCACTGCATTTCAAGAAAAAGTTTCCTTACGTTCCCGGTAAGCTTGCAGTCAAGAAATTAGGTTAAGTATCTCTGATGTTTCTTATCCAATGTTGTAGCTTCTTGACATAATCAATGCTCTTCTATTATGTTCTTTGGCATTGATATCTATACCGAAATGGTTTATGTTGTTGTAAAGTTTTAGAGTAACTCTGGAATCACCAGCGGAAAGTAGCTCCATATTGTTGGCTTAAATAGAATTACGTAAGATTTTATTCAAAGAACTTACAGTGAAAATTATCAAATCCATGAAAATGGAAAACAAATACGGATTTTAACTAAATGACAATACTCAAATGTATAACATAAAGTGAAAGAGTATGAAAATAGGGAAATCGTGATCAATATTGTTATTTTTCTGTGAATTCATCAATGAGAATATGACAGAACACTGTCTGGGTGGCTGCGGACCAAATAGAAGAAACATAAATTGCGACAAGATTCTTTGTCATGCTATTAAGCACCAGCTCGTGACTATCGAGCCAGACATCAATGTCTGAGTCCAGCATCCCAATTGAATGCTGTTAAGATACAATGCTACGTTGATAAGTATCCATTCAGAATCAATACAGAGTTGAGAGTACTCTATAAGATTGTGATGTATAGATTAGATCCTTAGGATCATAAGACATTCTAAAGCCAGGAAAGACGACGCGCAGAACGTTTTTCCCCACGTATTAATGCATGACATATTGAGTTTGGCAATACTATAAAAATATTGAGATATTAGCAAAGAACCGCAACATATAAACTATGTATATATCAGCCAGGATAGATAAGGTTATATCTGCATTAATGGATTACAACCTAATCAATCTACTTTCAATCAGAAAGACCAACTAGCTTGTGAAGACAACCATCATCTTTTCATGGCATTATTTTTCATAAGGATTACAAATTGTTATATGTTCTATAGATTCATGAAATGGCAAATAGCTCTAAAGGAAAACAATCTAGCATAGCTGTTGGAGTGGTATAGCAAAGTCATGTTAAATGAAGGAAACGGGGGCAAAGTTGACTATGTATGGATCCCGTGAACCTTAAAGAAGGCGATCACTGTTCAAGCCAGAGGCAAATTTAGGCTCGCTCCGTCCAAAGCTTTCGTTGGGCTTCATGTCTAGTAACTTGTTCCTTGGTGCGGAATGATCCCTGTGGATGTCGATACCACATGCCAAGTCATCGGCCTGCTCGTTTGAGATGGTATGCGTCATCAAGTTCTTGTTGATTACTGTGCTGGAATACTCCAGGTCCGGAACTTTTCGATTCCCAACTATGGCTGCACCCTGCTCATTGGATATAGAGTCCATCATGCGGTTACGAGGCGAGTCACCTGTGTGCAAGCCAAACTTCTGTTGGTTGTTGATGGTTGACATCATTCTGTTTTTATTGTTCTTGTCATTGTGAAACTTTTCCTCTATTATGTTAAATAGTCCCATTTTGTAGATGTTCTATGGATGTGATTAGTTGACCAAATAAGGGTAGAAGAAAAAGATTCTCTTCCGCAGACATCGACGAGTACAAAACCATCTTTAAGACGGCAAACTCATTGATACTTATACCGCTGGGACCAGTGTCTGAGTTCCGCTAAGGATTACAAAACGGGATCGCCGGTGACTGCAGCGTTCTAGCACACATAGTCAGTCTGACAAAACCATGACACTATTCTAGGTTTTTCCCGATCCCGATTACAATCCTCCCCCCCGGTACTAGACCCTGTGCCTCCCGGAGGGCCCCGTCCCTGCAGAGCGTCATGCCGGACCGTTGAGTAATAATAAGTATAACCGAGACGCCTCCCGTTGCCCATCTGGACTCTTGCCGCGGATGACAAAGCGTTGACGACAGCGGTCCCAAAACAGAGGGGGCCAAGATATCAGGCGCGTCGAGGGTTGGGCAATTACAGGACAGGGGCAAAAAATGGCACAGATAAAACCTGAGATTGGGCCGTCCCGTCTAACCTAAGGCAGAGCACAGTAACAGGGGCTGTGTGTTCCCTTTCGCTTTTGTCCTAGAGCCGCAAATACGCAGACGATCAGATCGGCAAAATGGATGGCGCTGCTACTACTAAAAAGGGGGTGGAACCCCCAAGGGAATGCGTGGAGTACCGGAAGATGATAGCCGGAGAGCTCTACTCGTGTTCGGACCCTCAGTTGGTGAAAGACCGGTACGCTGTTCGCCGGAAGTTGCACCGGTATCGGATGCTGCTAGAGGAGAAAACGCTGGCCGAGGACGTATCCGTAGAGCAGATCGACGAGGTGCACGAGGCGGGGTCGCAGTTTCTGCACGACCACGTCTTCCGCGAGTTTGCGGACTGCAGCACGAGCTTCATCGAGCCCCCACTCTTCCTTGACTACGGATACAATTGCACGATTGGCCACCACTTTTACAGTAACTTCAACTGCGTTATGTTGGACTGCGCCGAGATAACCATTGGCAACCATGTGATGTTTGGCCCCAACGTCCAGCTCATCACCGCCACCCACCCGAAGGATTCTGTCTCTCGAAATGAGCTCTGCCAGGAGATAGCCAAGCCCATCACCATCGGCGACGGCTGCTGGCTGGGCGCCGGCGCCACCGTCTTGCCCGGGGTCACACTGGGCAAGAATTGCGTAGTCGCAGCCGGTGCAGTCGTGACCAAGAGCTTTCTAGAAGACGGCCTGGTGCTGGTCGGCGTTCCTGCCAAGGTGACAGAAAGGCTTGACCAGCCAAGCCCATTTTCAGCGTAGTATAGTTGTATTCTCGTTTCCCTTTGTCTACGGCGTAATTCATCATAAATGGCAGACACATGCGCAGCATTAGCGTCGAATCATCTCGACGTCACTCCGACATGCGACGTAGATCAAAAGGCAACTTTCTGCCCTCCCCGTGCTGCCCCTTTGCCACCCACGAGAGGGAAGTTGCCTCCTTTTTTCGGGACATAAGGACATGATATTACCATAGTGCTAGGCAGTGCTGCGTTAGTGTTTTTCCGTCGGGAGATCCATCCCTGGAAGAGGCGGCTCTGCTGCACCTCTGCACCGGGTTCCTGGGGCAACGGCAACGCCAGCTACAGGACGTCAGCAAACGGGTCCCGGAGATGCACCAGTGACGAAGCCGCCTCGTAAATATCCGCCCCATTCACTAATAGTGCATAGTCTCGGAGGCCTCTCTTACCAGGTGCAGGTGACAGCTGCTAACGGCTGAATTTGCCGTTGCTACATATTACTGACGTCACTTGTACTAGCGAATAAAGGGGAAAAGCCGAGCAGGCCAAACTCCTCGGGGTTTGGGGAGTCTTTCGTTTTTCCGCGCATGGAGGTGCATCTCAAGGGGTAAAAACACAACACGGCACTCGGGTACCTTTCCTATTCCGGCCCGACCAATGGCCAAAAAGAAGAACAACGCATACGCTTTAAACCTTCCAAGCAAGCTCTCAATACGCACTAAAATAAAAAGCATTAATTCAGAGCCTTCTCGGTGCTGAACTCAACTGTAATTTATCAGAATGGGTTAATTAGCAAAAGATTCAGCCCGAGCAAGAAGTAAGATGCAACAATTGATTAAAGGCAACAAAGATTTTTAGCTGACCTATGTACTTACGTAATCCACTCCGGAGTGTGGTTTGTGCGTGTTCACAAGAGGCCGAAATTGTCCGTTCCAACAAGAGTCGATCAAATTCCTGCTAGCAGTTGGTTAGACGAAAAGAACATTTAAGAAGAAATATGGTCACCGGGCTAGGGCAATCAATTTGAGGATCTGAATGGTTTATATTCATTTTGAATGAGACCTGTTCTTTTATCCGGCATGGGAGTTTAGCAAGTGAATATAATTAATGAATTATAAATGTTACACTCTTCTAGACAGTCTTCAACTCCTAGCAAAAAATAACAAGCCAAGTCTTGAAATGTTGTGAACCATAACTGCAAAAGTAAAAAAGTGAGGTTTTAAAAATTGTCGGGATCAGTCGGCTGAGGAGGGTCCTGGTGAATAAGCTCCGGAAATTTGATGTATTCTAGACTTCTCACCAAATCGAAAACACCAGCATGTTCAAGACTAGAACTTGAAATGTGCTAATCAAAGTTGAAGCTGCTTAGTTTCAAACTTCGCATGATCAACTCGTCTGCTGCTTCCGAGTCTAGTAGGTCCAACTGATCCTTCGGAAATATCCTCGGGAACACTATTGGAACTAAAAGTAAAATGAGCATCAAAACTCCGGGAAAACCAATAGCACCTTTGGTGCAGGTTATACTATATTCTCCAGCAAACGCAAGCAATTCTAGTATCAAGTAGATAATAAAATACTTAGACCGCACAAGATAGTATTCAATAGGATAGTCTGCAGGAATAATCTGGGTGGAAAGGCTTTCGTTTTCTTTTTCTGTAAATCTAGCAAAGTTACCACTGGAGTTGTCTTGCGTGTCAGCAATACTGCCTCCCTGGATTTTATTTGTATCATTCTCCACCTCAACAGAAACATTTGCATTCTCAAATTTTGATTCCGCCAGCAATTCCTGTTCGTGATTCTTGATAACAATTTTAGATAATTTCAGTTTCCACTCTTTATCAAGGAAAAGAAACCGCAACCTTCTCACAACATCTGTATCGTCCAAGGTCGTTATTGCCATGATCCAGAACAAGCCCGCTAAAATGGCTTGCGGAATCAAACCGAGGACTACCAAAAAAGGCCTAGTCATCATAACAAGGGTAAGAAGCCCCTGAAAAGTATTTGATAATCTTTGCTCAACAACTCTAGTTATTTTGTTCAGACCGGTTTCGTAATCATGTTCATATACGCACAAAGAATGTGTGTGCAACGGGGCTTGGGGAATTAACCCATTTGGTGCAGGTATACCAATCAGACCTGCCACACCGGTAGTTACTCCTAAAAGGAAAAAATCATAATGAAATGATGATGGCTTTTTTAAGGGGAACTTTGAGGACTGGCAAATAAGAGAAGAAATATTATGGTCGTAATAGAATAATGCGGTTAGCAAGATTGCAAAAGGAACGGCTAAGAAAACGTCTCTAACCCTGATATCTTCCCAAAACCGAATAAACCAATCAGGTCTGCGGTTCACCGTATCTGTTGGATGAAATGATTTGGTAATAGGTAAAGTTGTAAACTTTATATCATCCAAATATCCTCCAAAATGAATAAATCCAGTGAAAAATACAACACACAACGGAACACTATAGTCTCTGATGAAAGTTCGTATACGAGGAGGAAGATAATGCGACTTTGAGCCAAAAAATTGTGAAGACACGCCAAATATTGTCATCACTAGTGCAACAACTATGGATGCAAATGCACTTGCAGGATCCGCAAGCTCAAACTGATGAGTTAAAATTTGGATTCCCTTTTGAATGTAGACTATGTTGATAAAAAAGCCAAAGACGTCACAGGAGAACTTCGTTACAAATCTCATGAAATTAACCGAATTGGTAAACGCAAGAATAAAATGAAATCCCATAGACCACAAGCATATCCAACACATAAATTGAAAATATGGTATATTCATTGGTTCAATTATTTCGTACACGGTATAATTGAAGATAGAGACTGGACCAGTGACACCTACAATGCATAAAGGGGAGCCAGACAAAACTCCGAACACTATTCCGCCCATCGCAGAAGCTAGAAGAACCTCATTAACACCATATGAGTTATTCGTGTGATCGAACATATCCTGTGCGAAGGCAATCGCCGGTAATAAATTTGTGAAAAAAATGTAAATGGTTGAAGGAATTGTCCTATATGTTAATCCATCTTTGATATCAGAGACATAGTATTTTAAAAGACGGCGTCTTATATCGTTATAGATACCTGTCCCAAAATAACGTACACGAAAATAGTCATTAGCTTTGTATCTGTCATAATAAGTGTGAATGCAGCTTCTACCTGCGGTAAACATATGATGCAAGTTTTCTTTGAGAACAGGAGATCAAAGAATATCCATTGCCATCTATGGTTTGGCTATGACAGAAAAGAAAATGATAAAAGTGCATCAAATTTGTGCCAAGCCGTGCGTTTTCAAAAGTTAATTAATTCATAAACATGTGCACCCCAGTTTTTTTGTTACGTAAGCAAAGAGCTTTGCTCTGTACCTAAAGCTGCTAGCTAAGGCCTATGCTTATGAAAGCATTACCCTAGTTGGTGGAACTAAATAGCATTTGTATCAGCCGTATCTACCATGAATCTTCCAATCTCTTGCTTCAGTCAAAAATTCAAAACACAAGAAAAAAACAACCAGGAATTTGTTTCTGTGAAGAATTGAAAAATGACTCGATTTGATTGGAATATTTTTCCAATTCATAGTTTAGGGCGTAAATTTGGCTCCGCAATAACGAGTAAAGTGAGAAAGTATCAAGCAATAGCGTCGGTAGGTGGTGTGTATAATTTGATCAGAAAAATTGGAGCAATTAGACTGAATTTTGCTATATTTCTGTATAATGAAAAAAAGCTAATTATTCGCTTAAAAAATGTTCTTACCGCTCCTGAAACGCAAATCGCATCTTTATACCCCGCACACCTACACATTCCGACTTTTACTACATGCTCCCTCATCTTGATGAGCTCAACAGACTAAAAGAGCCCAAGAAATGACAATAGTCATAACTCGTTCGTTAACCGTTCTATTCTTTCATATTCATCATTTCCTTACGTATTTTTTTGGCTGAAAAAATGCTTCAATTGAGAGAGACACAAATGAAGTCTCTAAATTTGCCAAGAATATTGGATCAGACGGATGGAAACACAGCAAAAGGAACTCAAGTTTTAAGGAATTTTTGCTGCAGGTAACTAAAGCCTTTCTTCCTTTTGGTGAGAGAAAGACACATTGGCACTCAAGCCAGGACCGTTTCTGCTAAAACATTTTGGACTTGAGCAAGGAAATTATGAATATTTAGCAGGTCATGTTGAGGAGCATTATGTGGAGCACAATCTGCATGTTTTCATCATTCCATTATAGTTTATTTTGCGCATTACTTTATGTTTTACCCTCCCACAAAAACTTTCTTTCAATTCTCTTTCACAACTTTAATCAGTTTGGGCAAAATGCAATTCTAAGAAAAACATAAAGAATTAGATACTATTTCAGTAATATAAGTTCAGCAATCAGATATGAACATGCAGAAGTTAAATCAACATTCAAGACACTGAAATAAAAGGAATTCGTCTCAATGCTATATAAAGTTTCATCAACGAAAAAAATGACAAGCCATTATGCCAATGGCAACAATTAGAGCAAGAGCTTTTTTGACTTAAGTTAGGTGGTAGGAAAACAAAAACTTGCAGGCCCTGAAGAGTATTTTTCTTCCGGTTTCATCTTTTAAAGCTACTGGACTTTATATGTTACAAGTTCTAAATCAACTTAAAGCTATCACCCACCTCCTTGGTTTCACAAAGTCTGCTGGGTTAAATCAACTGTTTTGGAATGATTCGTTACTTTTCAAATACAAGGCTATATTTATGAATGTCTGCTGAGCTCGGGATGTTTCAATACCTAAAGAAATTTTACAGTCCAAAAAATATTCTTATTCAATGAACAGATACGATTTACCACAAAAATTGAATATCAAAAAAATGTGGTAGAGACAGCGACTTTAAGTATAGCTTGTAACACGCTCGGTATATTCCATCTCGGCGATAATACTTCTATTTGACTTGGTTTCGTCCTCATTGGTAAGCAATCTAGTGTTCGGCGTTTACTACCGTATAAAGCTTACTTTCCAGTGTCCAACGCCGGAAAAAAAAAATTAACTCCGTAATTTCGATTCCAGAAACTTTTTATGTGGTAGCGCTCGGAGACTAGCAGGAAAGGAAATGAAAGTCAGATGTTCCGCTGACAAATCTTGAAAAGCTTTGTTCTTGTTTAAATTTCTCAGTTCATCAGTAGGAATTAGTCAATAGATGTCCGGTATAAAATGAAGATACGTTTCACTTTCCCAGCACTTGTAGCATCTGTTTTCAGAATTTTGAAAAACGTAGTTTAGATAAAGATATAGTAACACGACAGCAAAAATGGTTAAGATTGCTATTATTTATTCATCTAATAACGGACATACAGCCCGACTCGCCAAAGCAGTACTTGAAGGTGTCAATAGGGTCGAGGGTGCTGAGGGTAAATTGATTACCTCAGAGGAGGCACTTGAGAGAACTGTGCTTGACGATCTTTCATCAAACTATTCTGCAATTATCTTTGGCACACCGACTTTAATGGGCTCTCCTTCGGCCAAATTTAAAGAATTTATGGAGATGACTTCTGGAGTTTTTTTTAAAAAGTTGTGGAAAAACAAAATCGCAGGTGCTTTCACTGTCGGCTGATCAAGATCTGGCTCTAAAGTTAACACTTTAACTGATTTGGCTGTATTTGCGGCCCAACACGGCATGGTATGGGTCCCGGTCACCGTGACACCAACTTGGAACTTATCTACTCAAAAGGAAGAAAACTCCCTCAATGGCTGCGGGTTTTTTCTCGGTGTAGGTGCTCAAGCGAATGTCGACCAAGACGGCAATGCTGCTCCAGCCGAATGGGATTTGAAAACGGCTATAGTTTACGGTGAAAGGATGTCGGAATTCGCAAAGATCTATGAGCCAGCATACAAAGCATTAAAGGCTCAAGATATATAGGGAGCTCACACACCCTTACTACACGCCTTCTGATTGATTAAAGTTAGTATATTTAGATTCATAGATACATTGTTTTATTTTCATGTAAATGAAGTTACTTTTGTTCAAAATCTACAAGGAAAACAGCAGCTGCAGCAAGGAAATCACCAGGAACAGCAATAGAGTTGAAGGCTATTCGACAATTTTTTTGATTTTTCTGTCTTTTCACCATATGCTGTGTTAGTTTTGTTGGTGAAACCTGTTCAAAAGATAACTTGACAGCACTTTTGGCGAAACTGCAAGTTAATATTTTTATGTATGAATATGTTGCGAATCCCTTCTTACATCTTTGTGCAAAACTACAGACAAATAGAGCACAGATCATGTAAGTCGGCTTCACAGCAAAGCCTTTGCTTTTGAGCGGAGGAAGTCGCTCCAACTTGATATAAACAGTTTATAGTTTACCTAAAACATCCTTTCAGAGGACTTGGAGGTACGGGCTCCATATTTGTAAAGCTTTGACGATAAGTAACAGTCAATATGATTTACCATCAACTACCTACTTGAGTAAATGTATTCAAATAAATGGTTATAATCTTTTGTTTTTATTCCAAAATAGAAGTGACACATTATGCGACTACACCTATTGAGCATGGCTAAAATGAAGCAAGCCTAAAAATCGAGTGTCACGTGATTAATGAGTTAAACCACTCGCATCAAGAAAATTACTACTCCATCTTTTGTGTCAATCATCCTGGGTTCGATAAAAAAAAGTACTTAAGCTTGGATGTGCATCCCAATGCAAAGAAATGTAGACACATTTAAAACAGAGTGATTGACATTGATAAATATAGTCACAGACATGTCAAGAGAGATGTGGTAGTTGTTAGCTCTCAAGTTTTCATTCTATTAGGGACAACAAACTCCTTCGAAAGCTTAGCATGACCCACTTTGATAATCACGCATATGAGCGTTTTCACCACATGACGTTACAAATCAGATCTGATTGGACAAAATTTTGTTTAATTATACATTCGTACTTATGTTAAACTGGAGCAGTGCATGTGAAAGGCGAAGCTACAGAATTGCTGTATGTCTCAATTGCGGATTCAACGGCAGTGTAAGCACATAGACCACAGTTAGCTAGTGAAGCCAAAGAGAGTAAGAATAATGCCACCTTTGCGAGAGTCCGCTTCCACCCTCCAGAAGTAATGGCACGCTTCCACCTTGACCAGTTTTTGTAGGTATCGGCTTTAGTGACGGTCATAGTCACAAGATCAAAAGCATCTAAGCTGCCTGCATCCATACGCCACATCAGAGCAAGGAGAAACATGAAGGGAAACGTATAAGAAAGATTGTAGATGCAGAAGGCACCAATGATACTGACTAGAGTGCTGATTGATGGAATTGCTGATCCGATAATATAAGCCACAGCCCAATATACGACGACCAAAACAGGCCACAAAAGATTCCCTTTCCTTGTGCTGAGTAGTGGGAAGTTGAAATCAGGAACGAAAATACCATTGTATGCTGATTTGAGACCAACATTACCATAAAGAACTGCTGCCAACATGAAAGATATGATAACAATGACGTTCATGGCATTTTGAAGCTTGACTGAAGTGATAGATTGATAAGCTGTGACAAAACAGTATTGGCCCAAGTAAGAATAAACAAAAAGCCCGAAGAATAAATAGACAATAAGGATGAACGCTTGAGCACATACCATTCCTTTCCAAAAATCCATTGGGCGCTTGAGTTCTGCCATAACTTCCGCAAACACTGTGGCTCCTCCCCAAGCAAAAACCATATTGTTCATACCACTGATTTTATTGGAAAGACTACCAGTCATTATAGCGGTCTTGAAAACTGGCACAGTATAGGGCCAGACTTTACCATAGTTGGACCAGAAAATCTGATAATTTGGGCCAGAAGTAGCAGAGCCCACCATTGTCATCACACAAACAGCAACAGTGATCCAGACAGCAAGATTTGAGATACGGGAAAATCTTGCCAATGTTTTGATCTGACCGACTATCATACCTAGGATTGACCAAACCAAAATATTCACTGTATAGCATAAGGTATTTCTTCCGAGGTTTGTATCAAGAAGTTGAGCCAAAGAAGACGCTGCCCCAAGAACACACTGCGCAACAGTCATAATCATCTGGATGAATTGAAAAATGGCGAAAAATACTCTGACCTTTCCACTAATGGCTCGAGCTGAGACGTCGGCAAAAGTTCTAATTGGAAAATTGTTTGAATCTGTTTTCACGAAGCAGATATTCAAGAAGTACCCACAAATAGCAGCAAATATTCCGAACAAAACATAGAGAATAACACCTGGCACATACCCCATTTGTGCCACAGCGTAAGGAGCATTAAATGGTCCTAAAATATCGGTTGTGATTAAGAAAAAGACCGCTGCGCTCTTGGCAATTCTCAACTTCCTTTGCACTTGAAGCTTTTCTTCAGACAGGTTACACTTTGGCTCCGTCCGCATCTGTTCGGTCTGAATATCGTATAGTTTATCCAAATCATTCTCTTTCTCACACTCACGTTGTACTTCGGCATAATGGAGATATGCCTGCAATGGCAAATTGTGGACATTCTTCTCATTGCTGTGACTAACTGCTTCAACGCTTGAGACAGTACCATCTAGATGTTCTTTTTTCTCATCAAAATCATCGTAAATCCTAGAAACTCTTGGAGAAACTCCAAAGCTTCCCAAAGGTGCAATACCAGCAGACATTCTAATGGTGACTGAAGAATTAAACGTAAATGTAACTCACCATTTTTTTTGATGATCTTGTTTGGTAAATTGTTTTCTTTTTTAAACAAGAATTTTATCTGGTTTGGTTAATCGCCTGGTTATCTAAATCATCCAGAATAGTGATTATCTCCGACGTCTAAGAGTCCAATTAGTGGCAGTCTCCGACGATTGATTAGGCGAAGGGATAGTGTTAAAATACACCGTCAGTCGGTATGGCGCTAACAAAGTTACAGCAGCCGTTTGAAAGAACGGCACCAAGTTTGTTGTCTGATTTGCAAGATAAGAGTCTTTAATTTCACAATTCCCGCAAAAGAGGCTTATATGAATTAGGTTAGCGAAACAGTTTTTTGGAAACTGCCGAAATCGTTATGTGGTCCTCGAATTGCCGTTTTTTTCTATTGCCTTTATTTTAACAATACGTCAGTTTGTGTCGCTCGTGGATCAGTTTTCGGCAGAATAGTGGCCATTTGTCTATGACATACTAGAGCTTAGGTTTCATAGTATAAACAAGAATGGCAAGAACATCATAAGGGTGTGATTTCATACCGACTGAGTTGTGCGGCTAACCAAGGCTCAGACAACGGATATAACAATGCAGGTGGTTACAGCCAAGAGGCTTCTGTTCTGTGCCGATGATGATAAGCGGGAGTGGTTGCTAGGGCGATTGAGAGAATCTTGGGACTTCTTTTGTAGCTTTGAGTACAACCGCTGGCAAGGAAGATACTATGTTCAGCCCCAACTGATGTATGCCAACGGAAAGATGCCACTTAATACCGGCTGAAGTGAGTTAATGTTCGCTTCACAGTTTAAGGTAAACAGTACTTTTTCCAGGCAAAAGTTATCTGCAAATGATCCAACGGTACCGCCTTTCTCAGTTAGTATATTGGAATTCAATCCATAGTCTATGGATTCTATTGGGCCTCGCAATCTTAGAGCTGTTATTTTTCACTTAACAAATGGTCTCAACAGCGTGGAAATAAGCGGCTAAAGAAAATTCAAGTTATATCATCAGAGTTTGATCCAACAGAGTTGTTCAAATCATCATTCCTGTGTTTATGAAGATCATCTAGGAATGAAAACCGGTGAATGGTCATCCTCAGTGCTTAGTTTGTTGTCTTTCAATTGTGAATGCAAAGATTGCAGAATAAAACCAATGTAAAGCAAGAAGCTTTTTGCTGAAATTCATGTAAATGTAGAGCTAATTTACTAACTTTTCCAAATATGAGTTAGTCACTGTTTACATCTTCAAGAGAGAAACACTTAGCTAAACAGAGAATTGTTGAACCTCGCACACCACGACTATAATGATATGAAAATAAACGGCAAACTTTCACAAAGTGTATATGCGTGCCCGAGCTGAGATGACACCATTATAACGACATTGGTTTTATCTGGTTGTACAGTACCCGTTCCAGAGTGAAAGTAAGAGAGGTTTTTTACGATTGCAGAAACTTGCGTATGATGATTTATGCGCCCTGCACATTGATTTCTCTCCCTAAAATTGTGATCTTTTGTTAACTTTTGCGGGTAGTAAAGGAGCAAAGATCTGCTTGAGGTATCGCTCGAGCCAGAGTGGTCAAACTAAAGGAGAAAGTCAGACTCAGAAAAATATCGTATTAAATTCATGCTGGAGATAAGAACATTAAGGCTAACACTATTTATACTACCTCCTCTACCGACACGACGACCGCAACAAAAACTCCACGAGCTTAACAGATAGAGTCAGTGATGCAACTGTTACTAACAAGAAAATGAATTCCATTTTCTTTGAGGTGATAAAATCTTAACTGAGGCATAGAAGAGATTTGAGTGATCTATCATTATTGCTGGGCCTGTCCTATTCTATTAAATAACCTTTGATTACTTCAAAAGGAGAGATCTGAATTTTCTGCAAGACACCAGCTATGTGCAACCTGATGGCTTTTTCCCATTAGGAGCAAAAGGGAGAGTTAGTGTAACCCCAATCAGTTGGTGCACTTATTTTTAAAATTTCTAATATGATGCAACAAAAATGTCGCTTCATCTACCATTCTGCTGATGTTGTGAATCTCTGGCTAATACTCCTGCCTTTTCTACTCATGCGATTGGCACTATTGTTCAAATTATCTAATGAATGCTTTAGTTATTCAAAAATATCAAATCGTTATTTTTCCGCAAGGACTTTCCGTGATTTATATCAACTTGTTCGAGCTTTAATGCTCTTTCAGTTGAATTATATTTGTCTCATCATGTTTATCTACACGCTCTAGGATATCTATTTGTCGCTTTGTTCGCTGAAGACAGAATTCTTAGTGATTGGCTAAAATATAGTTTGAAAATTCCATCCTTTTATTTTCGTAGTCTTGCAAGGCATTCTATGGTCTGTGGAATTTAAAATCTGAAGTGCTTCTGTGTTATGAACGTAATACTTAGTTTATAGTGTTCACGAAAAAATGGGTCATTACGCATAGAAATCAGAAAATGCATTACAGGTGTTTAAGGTCGGTGCAAACAAGAGCCTGAGCCCAAACAGTACCGTCGACTCTTGTGCCCACTTTTCTTTTTGTGCCAGAAAGAGGAAATTTTCGGACAGCCAGACTGTAGATGTAACAGAGTTCCTCGTCGCGGAGCCTCGCTGACAATAGAAAAAGGGATGCAATGGTTCATGTTTTTTTTATGCTTTTCTTAATGAGCAATGCCCTCTCTCTGTACGCCTTCACCATAAAATCAGACATCAGTAATATTAATCGAAAGGTTGAAGACATGACCCCTTTGATGCATTATGTTCGGATATCTGAGAATTTGCATCGCAGGACCTTTGGCCTTTCGCAACTCCCTCTTCCTTTTATAGTTGGAGAAGGACCTGACACCGACTTGCCCCGGATTGGTTCAGTAGAAGACATCCAAAACTTGACCAAGCCTCAAATTTTTCGGTATTTGGAAGTTTACAATATTGAACATGACCGGCGTGCTAACAGTGGTGCCCTCAAAGCACTTTTGCGGCTGAGTTTAGGTTATACCCTCCCTACTGAATTGAGTTTTCATTTTACTTAGCACACACTCAGAGACCATGTTCAGAGGGCTGAAGAACATAGCGTCGGACATCCGCAGCGAGGTCTCCTCCACGGAGCAGACGGTGTACGCTCACACCCACTCGCACTCGCAGTCGATCACGGGCCCGGGCTCAGCACGCACAAAGAGGTTCCTGCCCAACTCTCTCAGCAAACACAGCAGCAACGGCACCGATGGCGGCGCCAACGGCAACGGCAGGGGGAAGTCCAAGTACAGACTCGACGAGGAGTTCGACGGACGCACAGAGGACGACACTGTCGTGCACCGGGCGTTCTTGAGGTACTTCCGAGACGAAATAAAGTCTGTTGAGTTGCTCATTAGTGCTGGGCATAGCAAAATTTGGCTGAACTGTTACAAGTTTGGCAATTCTCGCTCCAAAGGGGATGATGATTTTGCAAAAAAGTTGGTAATGTACTTGGAAGAAATTTGGGTAGGCGACTCGCCAGAGGAACACATCCTCTTCTTGACAGTTTCCTCGTTCCTTGCCTAACGTTGTGCCCATGTGTCATCTGGCTTGAGTAAACTGGCGTCTATTAAGGGTAGCACATACTACAAAGTACGTCAAGAATACAACCGGACATGCTATGATCGTATTAAGAGGGCCACTGACACTAGAAAAGACGTGCAGCTAGCTCATGGGAAGACAAGTCGATCTTGTCTAATTATTGAGGACAGAGAGTAGTGATTCTGTAGTGGCAGCCAGGTGGTTGTCTGTTGCGACCGAGATGTAAAAAGAGGAAAGAAAATTAGGGGGATTTTGAGACGATGTCTCAGAAGTTCTTAGACGCCCAGCCAACTGTTCAGTTGAAGCCTTGGATATACCTAAACCATTAACCATGACACCACTACACTTGAATTCAACTTATAGATGCCCATAAACATATGGCGCTCTGTTTATGAACCAGTTAGGTTTATACTTGAAAAAGGCTGATAAAACTTATGATTGAATAGTTGGCACATCCCGTGACTTTCAGAACTCTAGACATCGTCAAGACAATACGTCAAATATCACAGCAACATCAACCAAATACTAAACAGAACACCCCATGCAGCAAGTGGATAGCTAGGTGCTGATAATTTTTTCAATAAGCCTCTTGCCCATTGTGAAACAGAACCAGGAGGAACACCACCAAACAAAAGACGTCTGAAGGACAAAACATTCGAGCAAACAAAAGATTTGATTTTTTCAAAGGGTTGAACAACGACCAAACGCAGAAGTGTGTGGTCGCTTCTTACAAGAAGGAAAATGCGGACAAGATCCCACTGATTAGCTACACCAAGGGACTTTATGGTTACTGGAAGATGTATCCTAGTGGCTCTGTCATCAGATACGAGTCTCCTCAGGCCAAAAGAGTTGTTCAAGAAATCACCAAGAACAAGGTCTTCGGAAGTCGGATGAGGAAATGATGAAGATGTTAAACCTGGACAACCGGTTTCTGGCCAACCAGGATTTGTTTTTTGCCGTCCACAACTCTATGTAAGGCATTGCAGCTGACTCTGTTTGCATCAAGTTTCTGGGCAGCAAAAACGTCTACTTGTTCACTAAGGTTCCTGAGAATGACAAAATCTGTTCTTTTGCCTAGAAGCTGCAACGGAATTAACTCTGGCAACGGGTATACCACCGATTTAACAACCTTCTGCAAGCTCAACGGGTTCAGAGCTTGTCTCGAGAAACTGGACTTTCTTGACAACTCTATTGTCTATGCAGTAGAAATCAAACAGATCATGTATTACCTGTACTTTGAACCTGGACAATGCCAATGCAGATCCTATGCGTGTTGAGACCGCCATGGGCAACCATATCATGGGCACTCTTGACAAGTATTTGAAGTTCCTGAGTACTGCGTATTTCTACTTGTTGAACGTCGACAAGTACCAGAAGGCTGTTGACCTGAACAAGGAGATTTTTGAAAAGATCAAGGTTCTGAGAAGCAGCATTGGGAAAGCAGCAGACAAGCAGGTTATTCCCTGTTGGAGGAGAGCGTCAGGCATTTGAGAGATATCATGGTCCTGATGAGGGACGACAAAGCGATTTTCTCATTTCCTGTCAAGGCGTCTGTGCTGCACAAAGCGGGAGAGCTGAGACACTAAGGGTACTGCGCCGAGCTATTCAACTCGTACAAGCTGTTCATCAAATACCTGCTCATCTACACTAACGGCAAACGGGTTCCAAGGGAGTTTCTCCAGGCTTTTGAAGAGGAGAGAGGGTACCAGCCGCAGGAGAACTTCAATGCTGTGTACGCCACCATTCCCAATAAGCGGAACAAATACACCGACACCATGACCCGGAGACTTGCCAACGGTTCTGTGATGGTCAACGGGTTCATCTTCACCCCGCAGCTCATCTCCAGCTTGTACAAGAAGCTCAAGGACGAGTACAATTAGTGTGTCTCCGACCTTATCTCTTTTCTCTTTTTTCTTATCTGTTGTCTTTCTAGATAGCTCACCTAAACATCTTCGGCATTGCCTTCTATATATCCTTATCGGCTTCGGCATTCTTATCTGACCATGGCCATATTGGAGCGAGTGTTTCCTGTATGAAAATATGTATTTGTAATAACCCATAAATTAATACTAACAATGATATATATGTATATATTAAACCATAGAGCAATTTTGTACTATGAAAAATTCATTCTCATGTCACTCACACGACAGAATCCAAGTGTGTCTCTCAACATTATTTTCATGTTTACCCTGCTTGTACGAAGAGCATACCGCACGTTATAACCAGTTAGGAAGCGACGGAGTTGCTCTAGGTCTAACAATTCGATGTCTTCAACTGAATTGATTGATGGCAAATCAGTGCCTTCTGGCCCTTCTCCAACCAAAAAAGGAACCGGTATTGAAGGTTCTCTCAGCTCCCGTCTACGAGCATTCTCGGAAGTTCGAACATAAAGCATTAATGGTTTCATTCCGCTAACTTCATCTTTTATCGAATTTATATCAGTCTGCATAGTGTTGATATTGGTCTGCATAGTGTTGATGTTTCGGTTGATGCTGCCGATGTCGTTACTTATTCTTCTGATAAGAGCTATGAGACTATTCTCGTTATTTGTTTGTGCTAGAGCCTTTTGCACTTTGTATTTGGTGACATCTGCTCTGTCCACTCTTTTGCGAGCCCTATATACCTCATCATTTGCAATAACAGCCTTCTCACTCAGCTCCTGCTCGAATTGCATAATGTTGGCTCTAGTTTTTGGTTGAGGCAACGCCACATTCTCCTGGTTGACGAACACATCGTCAGGAATATCGAGTTCCTCGTCTAGAGGATTTTGCGGCTCATCCACTGCCCCACTCTGCTGTTGTAACTCTAGCGAATCCATTATTACTTCAAGGCGTATTTACCTTATGAAAGCTTGTGTTCAAAAAGAAAATGTGATCATGAAGAGGAAAAGGGAATAAAGGGCAAAAGGACTGTAAACAAATCCCTGAACTGTGTTCTGTAGTACGAGATAAAAAAAGTGCGCATAAAAAGTTCACTATTAAAGTATGTTTTTAAATGTTAATTACGTAAGTGCAAAATACGTCGATGCTTTAAATACAAAAAATCAGGAACAAAAATCACTCTATTGGTAAATAAGATAATAAATATGAGAGTCTACTTCAAAAAAGTTGCTGTTTCTTCTTAGTAGTTGTTTTTATTGTTAGTAATAATAATAATATGAAAATAGCTGAACAAGAAATAAGATATAAAAGCCCTGTTTATTTAATATCAACAAAGTTTACATAATATTTGGAGCCCACCGGGATCATTTATTATAGAGTGTCTGTCTTCGGCAAGAAGGATACGGAAATACGGAACAGAATCACCGGCAGTATTATTGCAAACTGCCATGTTTTTATCGGATAATTTTTTGGACTTCCTGTTCTTTAATACCTTCTGCTTGAACCTTCGATAATGGGAATAAATCAGACTTCATCAGCGTTGTGGTCCGCTCACTTAAACTTATGACTCAGAGGTTCATTACATCGGAAATTTTGTCATTTAGGCAGCTAGCCGGTGGCAGCTGTGTCCAAGGTTACATCTACTTGACCCGATAAAATACCAAGGTACCAAGACAACAACAATAACTTAATTGCGAAAAACTGGCTGTGCTCACACCGTTTTTCAATAGCTAAAATTGAACAAGCTGAAATAAGTATTCTTGTACATTTCCATCCCCCTCTATACCCGCTTGTCCGATCTGAATGCCTGCTCCTCAGTGCAGTGTAGTATAAACACTTCAATCATTTATTATTTGGGATTCTCGTAAACTCATCTAGACTGATGCAGCTGGAAAGGCCGACTTCTGACAGGATTGACATCGGCAAAACTACATCGAACAAAAATACAGGCTCTATGCAAACAGCCACATTATTGATCCTTTCAATGCTATACTATTTGAGTGTGAGTTTCTTGGATTCTAGAAATGCCAATTTTTTTTCTTTAACAACAATATATTTATAATTGTGGCAAGGATTTAGCCCAACTAACCAATGATAGAGGCAGGAGCGCGCCAATTTTTTAATAGCGCAGGTCTCAAACCATTTACTTCACCATATAGCAAAAAATGCATAATAGTGTGTAGCCGATTTCACCACAGATATCCTTCTGGAGTTCATTTTTGACAGGATGTTTATAAGCCATACAACTATTGGTCGACTTACCTTACCACATAATCTTGGTAGTTTATCTAAAACTTCTTTACTCTTTTTTTGAAATTTTTTAGTAAATAAATAAATAATTATGGACTGAAAATAGCATGTCTAAAAAAAGAAAACACCATCATGCCTGCAATTCCTTTTCTCTGCAAAATATGACAATTGAACTTCTTTGCCATTGTAGTATATGCAAGATAAAAGTTACCAGCATATTATCCACGGCATAAGCGATCAAGTGGTAATAGTTAAGAACTCAATCCATGGTATATTCTAATGGTCATGTGGAGCCAGAAAGATATGTGTTTCCCATCAGTGAATCAGAGGTAGGTTCCCCTGAAGATCAGCCGACCATTTATCCGTCTGTTTCACAAGGATTGTCTAATAGAGAACGTGACTATAGTGATCATTAAGAAGGGATACGTACGAATGGCCAGTATCAGTGCTTTACCCTTGAGCTGTTGATTGATGCATGGATGAATGGAAAAGAATTACTTATAACAAGAGAAAATTCTCTGCCAAAACCCTGATATATCCCTGAAGTGTTTGTCTCGGAAATAGGACGATGGAAGCGTGTATTTTATTTAGTATCACAGAAAGATAAGTCCAGATATTTTCCAGTTCCATAGTATACTTTCAAAAGTAGTTCACAGAAACAATTTTATATTTAAGAAGCAGTCATGTTTTGTTTTGCTGGAGTTATTAAAGTAAATTGACTTTTCCACCTGGATCTTTTACTTTGATGCTAGCCACCGGCCACATTAGGGAGAAGATATCAAGATAACTGTAGTTTGTCGTTGATAGAAGACGTTCAGGTATTTCCTGTATACGTGCAGATCTATTGCGTTAGGTAAAGGGAAACTTTCAGAATCTCTATGCAGAGTATTCATTGAAGGCTATATTTGATTATCTTGCCGGAGCTGGACCATTGGGACTAGTACACACTACATTGGGAATACTACGATACAAGTGAATATCGCGATTATCATGGGAGTGTCCCTGATACCAGCGAAGACGTGGTCAAGAGGTTGTCGTTCTGTGGATCAGGAGGCTCATTGAATAAACGATTCCTCCTGACTGATAGGAGGACAGCAGTAACAGCAGCGACAGTGATGTGGCAGCAAGGTGGCTGTCTGTTGTTGTGACATGCTGTGCAGAAGGTATGGAAATTGGGGGAGAAATGCCCAAGCAGTTCTTATTCGTCTATGCAATCGATCTGTTGATGCTTGAACACAACCATTGGCGATGAAACTGGCGGATTCAACTGATGTATGTCAACGGTTAAACGCTAGTTTATTCCAATTTTATTGGGAAAATTCTTTTTTGCCAGATTATGTATAATGTGGCTGTATCTGTGCAATTAAGGTTACCAGCAACAGAATGATCAGTGTCAGTAGCTCAGAATACCACAGTGTGTATGTTCCACCAGATCTGGACTTAGTGTACAAAAGAGAAAAGTTCCATATCCAGCGGGTAGCCTGCAATAGCCAAATCCAGATGTATTACTAGCCTATTCCAAACGGGTGTCGAAAAAGCATATCATTTAGAAACGAGTAGGAATGATGGTTTGTTGCAGTATTTGACGTGCAAGTTTCACAGGGAAGATACGTGAATTGGGCGTGAAAAATCAGCCAGAACAACAAGCGCTCTAATAAGAACCAGGAAATACAGTGTACCGGAGTACAAAAATCACTGTGATTGGCAACCCTGGTTTATTCAGTGGATGAAAATAGTTGTTACATTCGGGTCGAATGCAGTTGTCCGGACTAAATTAACTATGTAACTTGAGATCTTTCTGTGTGCTGAAACTGGTAAGATACTCCTAACGGTTGCAGAAAGTAGTTTAGCCCTCGTACGCGAGAGAGAGATTATAATAAGTACACGCTGGAAAGCGACATAAGTCCCTAGGGATGAAAAAGTTCATTTATTTCTGCACCCGGCTCTGCGTGGAGCGATTATGCGCCGCGCGACCCTGATGCAAGATCATGCAAGCGTATGCGAGCGTATATGGAAAGTTTTTTTCTCGGAGAAGATGAGATTACTGCCGAGTTCGGCGATAAATGTCGGTCCGAACGGTTATATTCAAAGGAGAGCAGGCTTTGACGGCCACCGGAAAGAAATCCTTGGTGCAGTTCTTTACGGCAAGTACAGTGGTGGTGGTCGGGGCGTGTGGATTAGAGGCGCTGGCGAGATATGGCCGGTTGAAGTGCGCATTGCAGGATTTACGTTGTGAAGGTTGTTAGCAGATATTGGCTGAATGTGAGAGGTTTGGTGCAGTGATCAATGTAATCTACAACGCTGATTGCCAGAATTTACGTGGTTTGGTCATGATAAATCTGGTTTATGAGAAACGGCGAGTCGAGGTTGTGATACAAAAAATGTGAGAGAGTTGAAAACAATGTAGATGTCCTGAATGTTAAGGTTATATTTGGAAGTGTTGAGATTAGATGCCAAAACAAATAAGGAAGAAGAGATAACAGGTAAGAACCAAGACATCTAAGTAATCTGAAACCGTTCTAATTTTTTTATTCTTGATGTAATATCCATTATTAGTAGTGCTTCTTTCATTATGTTTGTTGCATAATTTTAGCCAACTAATATAACTAACCTACAAACCAATACTCCCAACTACTATTATGGGAATTCTCGCTCCAGTATGGCAAGAGGGGTCTAACGTGAAAATCAGTTTGTTAGCAAAAGGGTCTAACGTGAAAAATCGAAAAACGCTAGACCCCTAACGTGAGAGCGCGACCTGAAAGACCCCCTAATGTGATTAGTATGGGGAAAAAATCGGGCCGGCGAGCTTACCGGAGGGGGAATTTTCGACGTTTTTTCCGTTTCCTGTTTTCTGACGGTATGTGGTCGGTGTTCTTGTTGGACTGGGGTCTGGCTGGAACTGGGCCATTGGGGCCGGTACACACTACAATGGACAGTCTACAGTACAAGTGAATATTGCGATTATCATGGGAGTGTCTTTGACACCGTTAATGATGTGGCCACAAGGTTGTTGTCCTGTGTGAATCAAGAGGCTCATTTGAAGACAGCTAGAAGACAATCCTGCCTTGACCATTGGGAGACGTACAATAGAAACAGCAGTGACAGTAATGTGGCAGCCAGGTGGCTGTCTGTTGTTGTGACAGGCTGGACAGGGGGTACCGGGGGATTTGTCCGTGCAGTTGACCTGTTAATGCTTAGAATATTACCACTGGAAATTGAACTCAGATCAACTGATGAAGTTAATAGATGAATGTGAATTCTTGGCAACTGAATTGAGTGGATGTTCAATGAAAAGATTCAAGTATAGTCTGTGATTGAATACTACATGCAAGAGGAAGTTATCAGCACACTATTCGACGGCTGAAGCGATCAAGTAGTAGTTCCGAGCTCAATCCATGGTATATTCTGCTGGTTATGGGGGACTGGAAAGACATTTATTCACAACCAGTGGATCAGCAATAGGTTCCCATGAAGATCAGCGGACCATTTATCCGTCTGGTTCACAAGGACTGTCTAATAGAGAACGTGACTATGGTGATCATTAGGAACGGATACGTGCGAATGGCCAGTGTCAGTAGTGGAAGAAGATCAGTTCAGGCCTTCCTCAATTCGATAGTGTACAAGTAGTTTACAGAAACAGTGCTATATTGAAGAGGCAGTTATGTTTTGTTTTGCTGGAGTTATCGAAGTAAATCAACTGTACAATCTGGATGGTCTTTGATGCTAGCC